AGGCCGGCTCAAAGCGCGAGGGCAGTGAGACGTTGAGCGAAGGGTAGGTGGGAGTATATAAATGAAGGTCGCAGATGCTACATTACCTGGTGAAACGAGGTCATCCGCTTTGGGAGAGCCATTCCGTACTACCGTCCACTCGTCCGGTATGGGCAAACCATGGTGCGTGGAGTGCTTTCCCGCTTTCTTTCCCCTACACTCATGAGGCTCTCGTCTGTCACGGAGCGGGCGCTGGACGATCAAGATAGAAGCAGTCTGCTTAAAGAAGCATGCAGAGAACGCCTTACCGAGACGGTGCCACAGAAATGACGGGGCAGCCGCAGTATATTGTTGACGGTTCCCCTAGTCCCGATACTGCTGAGTAGGTACCTAGCCAAGCTCAAGAACAAGTGGTCCCCGACGAGTTGTAGACAGTAAGTTGGTAGCATCACCTCAGAGCAGGGTCCAACCCCAGGCGGTCGGCAAGTGGCAGACCACGATACCGCCCCCGGTTAGGCACAGGCAAGTCTTTCGGAGCTTCTCAGCCCATACCTTGTCCTGTCATTCATCCGTGTCTGCGCGCTTTGAAGCGAGTGCATGCTAACGATAACATGCTGCCGACTCTGCATCGACCAGGTCCGTCGGTTAACACAAATAGGTTTTGTTGTAACAAAGGATAAGATGGCCTGACGGGATGGTTGATGTTGATGGTTGCTTTCCGCCCGATACCGAATCCCCATAGGAGGGTGTCTCTTGCTGAGAAGTTGGTATTTCCCGCAAAGAGGATGACGCGGCAAAATATCCTAAATTCGGAAACCGGCATGCGAAAGCACAACATTGTATTCCGGCTGAAGTCGAAGTTGACACTTGACGATCGAAGTGGGCTGTGGAAAGGTGGCTACTGACCAGGACAGAAGCTGAAAGTAAGCTGGAGCGGGTTCTGCTGTGAGACCCAGGAGAGACAAACAGTGTTGTGCAACTCCAGCTTGAGAACTTGGAGAAAAATTGATGCGCTCTTTCCATATTTTGGGGCCAAGGCACATACGTACATTCTCTTGCCTCAATCTGGTTCATTCGGATGCAGTAACCACGAATTTCATCTCCTTTGACTTGCTCTTGCCCTGATGCTGACCAACACGATAATATCTCCCTCGCCTCGATTTGTTCGGAACATGATAGATGCCTTGTCCAATCCCCACGACCAGGTTCAAGTCAGACACTGAGTCTCAGATGCACTTATCCGTCTCTTCGTTGTTACATCACCGAGTGTCAAGTCCAATCGAGGCATGAACACCAACGGCCTGCCGTGCCAGGCGAAGCAAGCCCGTTTCTGTGGAATTTCAAGGTACCGAACCTGACAATAATAGCACGGCACGAGGCTCAATATTGGAAGGGTCTCGTAGCACTGCATTTCAGCTGACCCGGACTTGCAACTCCCCGTTTCCCGGCTACTCAACAACCCAACGTCGACGCATCATAGCACTTCTGGCGCCCGTGGTAACGTGCCATGCATATCCAACTCCAGCAGTGTTGTCCATTCTCCGCTCGTTGTCTTTGTTCCCGCTATCGAGCTTGGGGTCCCGGCAACAGCGAAACACCCAGATTTGAGAGTGATGGCACGACAACCTGGAAAGGCCGAAGATCTGTGAAAAACACACCAGCACTAAACCCCATGCGTCCTGTTGTCGAACTGGTTGACCACTGCTAGTCAAACGAAAGTTGGATAAATCCGTCTATCCTGGCGTAAGCCAGAATACAGCCTCTTCCAATCCCATCAATCCGGTTATGCACTCCAACCTCGTAGGGCAAAACAACACCTCGTCAATTCATCCCTCCGTACGCTATGCCACCATAGCAGCCACAACCCCACCAATCTCCCCAAACAACACCCCCTTGAACACCGTCTCGCCCATCTCCTCAGCCCAATGCCCAGCCTTCTTCAACGCCTCCTTCCACGCCTCCCGCTGACTATGATGCAACTCCTCCCACTCCTTCGCCTGCTCATCCCCATCCTCCGCCCTCACCACCTCCTCCTCGACATGCCGCAGAACCACCTTCTTCCCCCCTTCTCCAACCCCCGCCCTAAAGAGCCCCCCACCCTCCTTCCCTTCCCCTTCGCCTTCCCCGGCCCCGGATGCAGAATGGTGCTGGTATACCGGGGACGCGGGCGACGTCACCGTCGCCTCCGACAGGCCGTAGTAAAGCCCGGGACTGTGCCAACGGATGGGCGTGATGGACCGCGCGCCTATGCGCGGCTTGGACAGGCCTTTGACTTCCATGATGCCCTGCAGAAGGAGGGCGAGGAAGGCGATGAAGAGGGCCGAGCCGAGGAGCAGGTTTCTGGGGGACGGCGCGCGGGATTTGAGAGCGAGCACGTAGCGCGAGATAGGAGCGGGTTGTTGGGTGGTATTGCTGGTGGTAGGGAGAGTTTTGAGGGGGAGGGAGTGGAGTGCGCAGGTGTTGCCCATGGAGCCGATGGAGGCGAGTTTGACGTGGGGGTGCTTTTGGGAAGGGGTTGGGGGTTTGGAGGGCGGCGTGAAGGGGGAAAAGGCCAGGCCTGAGATAGGCCCAAGGTGGACTCCCTTGAGGGTGGTCACGGGGTGCAGGTTGGTGATGAGGTTGACGTCGCCTATGGACTGGTGCTCGAGGGTGTAGAGCGTGATGGAGCTGTCCTGGCCCGTCACGGCAATGACAAACTGCGTGTCGCTTTGCTTGGCTGACGGCGTGGCTGGCGGCGAGAGGTTGCGGACAGCCAGGCCTGTGGCACGCGCAATGCTCTTGGGGAGGTGGGCTGAGATAGCGAGCCGGCCTTTCCCTTCCTTCCCTTCTTTCCCCAGGTCGGATGGCTTAGGAAGCCGGTAGCCCTGGAGTACTGCGCCGCCTGCCTTGGGCACGTTTGCCACAGCCAGCACAAAGTCTGTCGTCAGAAAGCGTATGCATCGGAAGGTCGGGCGGTGTTTGGCGCCGCTCGACTCGTCGTGCGGCATTGTGAAGATGGTGTGTGGGCCGCTGCTGGTAGTCTTCCCGATGAGCATGGTGCAGATGTCGTAGTCGTTGCAGTACACAAGCTGATGCTCGTCGTCCGAAATTTGCATCAAGTCCATATCCATTGCCTCCTTAACCAGCTCCACCTTCCCTCGCAGCTTGGGTGCCGGGCTGGAGCTGGTCGGCGCTGGGATGTCGAAGACGGCGATCTGGGAGTCTCTGGAACTGCCTATGGTGCCTGTCGCAACTGCGCCGACCTGCCCCGATATCCTCAGCAGCCTCTGGTATGCATCAGTGTCTGAGGTTGAGAACAAGGAGGAGCGCGAGAGCTCGGTGATTTTGGGCTCTGTCTTGGCTTTGGATGGCAAGTCGGCGGCAAACACGCGGAAATGTTCGTTCTTCCCCTTCTTCACGTCTTCCTCGGCCGAGTTGATGCCTGCGTAAAACAGAACCGAATTGCTGCTGCGGGAACCAACAGCGAGCGTGTTGACGCTGTCCTCGTCGCGGCTGAGTTCTATCTCGGAAACGATCTGGAGCGCCTCCTCGTGGGAAGTATCCAAAACGCTGATTTTGTTCCCGACCCCGCTCCTGGCCGCGCCACCTCCGCCGCCGACGATGAGGCAGTCTGCATCCTGGGGGTCGAAGTCGAGGGCGTATAGTGGGTACGACAGTCGCAGTTCGCTCGAACGTATGGCAGGCGCCATTGGAAGTAGAATCCGGCCGAAACAAATGGTTTTCCGGGGACCGACTGAAGATGCGTAGACGGTGAGCAAGCGGTCGGTCGATAGTCAAATGGGTTGGGGTTGTGGTAGGGGACGTTCTGAGGATAGAGTCGGTTGTCCAACTTGGCCCCGGGCAGAACGCAGATAATGATGCAGTCGCGTGGGGCCTCTTGAGCCTGGAGCTTTCCGTGTCCTCTGCAGATCTGTCCAATCAATGAAGCGAGCGACTTTTCCGTCTGCACCACAAGCTTGGCAGTGCCGCTGGACAGGGATGAGCTTCTGAGCCAGCATTTGGGAGAGCAGCCCCGGATGACGTCGGGTCTTGGCGATCCATGTGCTGTGCAAAGTGAGATCACGGTCGAGAAGGACGGAAATGAATAATTGACAAAACTTGAAGACGATTAGGTACCTCAGCGAGGATGTACCGTGCACATGATATCTGTAATCATGTCGCAAGATTCACATGGATAGCCTTGATGTTGCAGTATGGCGCCAGCCCCGCCTCGCCCAGCTCCCTACCGATGCCAGACTGCTTGACTCCTCCAAATGGGATCCTGAAGTCGGAATCATTGCTGCTGTTGATCCAGACCATACCCGCTTCAATCTCTCGCGCCACCCTGTGTGCGCGCACCAGGTCTCTGGTAAAGATTGCTGACCCAAGTCCGTACGTCGTGTCGTTCGCCAACTGGATTGCCTCCTCCTCTGTGCTGAAGGCGACGATGGCCACACATGGGCCAAAGATCTCCTCACGGAAGACCTTCATGTTGGGCTTCACATTTGTAAACACGGTTGGCGCAATAAAGAATCCTTTGCCCTTCTGAAGAATCGGCTCGCCGCCGAGGGCGATGGTTGCGCCCTCTTCCTGTCCAGACTTGATGTACGAGAGCACCCGGTCATACTGCGCCTTGGTCACCTGCGGTCCCTGGTATGTGGTCTCTTCAAACGGGTCGCCCACGACCGAGATCTCCTGGACTTTGGCTTTGAATCTCTTGATGAACTCGTCGTAGACTTTCTCATGCACCATGATGCGCGACGTGGCAGTGCAGATCTGCCCTTGGTTGCTCATGATACCCGAGTGGGACCAAGTCACTGCCTGGTCGAGGTCGGCGTCGTCAAACACGATGAGCGGCGACTTGCCGCCCGTCTCGAGCGTTATGTTCTTCATGGTCGCTGAAGCCATCTTCATGATCTCCTTGCCGGTGGCGGTGCTTCCAGTGAAAGCGATTTTGTCCACAAGCGGATGCTGCACAAGCGCCGAGCCCGCTTCCCGGCCGTGACCATTGATGATGTTTACTACGCCCGGTGGGAAGCCGGCTTCCTTGATGAGCTGTGCCATGTACAGAACCGATAGCGGCGTTTGCTCAGCCAGCTTGAGTACCACGGTGTTGCCGCAGCACAGGGCGGGACCCAACTTCCAGGCGGCCATGTCCAGCGGATAGTTCCAGGGGATGATTTGGCCGCAGACTCCTAGGGGCTCCTTGACCGTGTAGGCAAGCTTGGCTGGGCCGACGTCGATGACCTGGCCAAAGTTCTTGTCGGCGTAACCGGCGTAGTACTTCAGCACATTGACCACTTCGGTCACGTTCTCTCTGAGGGCAACAGCGTACGGCTTGCCATTGTCGAGACACTCGATGGTGGCCAGCGTTTCTGCGTGGTGTGCGATCAGGTCAGCCAATTTCGTCATCAGAGCGCCGCGCTCCGTGCCCGACAGGGACTTCCATGAAGAGTCCTTGAAGGCCTTGCGCGCGGCAGTCACTGCCGTGTCGACATCGTCCGCAGTAGCGGCAAAGACAGAACAGATCTCCTCCTCGGTGCTGGGCCAAAGTTAGCCAGGCAAACAAATGTCACGCCACCACAACTGGTGCATGGACGCACGTGGGGTTGATGGAGGCGATCTTCTGCCCATTGCTGCTCTTGACGAACTCGTTGTTGATGAAGAGACCCAGTGGTTGAGTCCACTTCCTGCCGTTTGGTGCTGTGAGTTCGACCTCCATGGTCAAGCTCTGCTCTCTGGATTGCGCAGTAATCGAGAAGTTTCGGAAAGTGCCAACAATGGCTGTCACAGTCAAAGCCAGGGATCTCTGGTGGCTCCCAGACGTGAAACTAGATCTTTTCCAGACGCAAGAGGTCCGCGGTAGGAGGGCGGGCATCTTGTTCGCATTTGAGACCTTTCTCCCCAACCCCTCTTCGTTATGCACAGCGGATAACAGAACGGTTGCACAGGGTAGGGTGCTTCCGAGTCCCTGGAGTCCCTCGCGGAGCTCCCGCCCGGAAATTTAAGTTACGCGCTAAACCGCCAAATAACCTTCCGACATACGGCAATTTTCACTTCGGCTTCTTAACAAAAGCAAGTGCAGCCCGTGAGGGATAGAGGTGCGACGGGAATTGAGCAGCGGAAAGGCAGGCTCGGCAGGCTCGGCAGATTCAGAGCTAACATTGAGTAGGACCAATGAGAGAAGGTTGATACGCATTAGTGGGTTGCATTGATAAGCACCCTGCACCGTTTTGTGGGTTGCACTGTTACAGGCAGAGTCTTGTGACATCAGTTTCAGATGACTGGTGGGTTTCTGGTTCGCAAGCCTCCAGTGCACATCATCAAAGCAGCGGACGATACACATGCACCCAGATATGCAACACCGAGCCTGCCCACCATGGTCGAGATAGCCGAGTCATCGTCGCCCGTACCGTCCCTGGTCTTCGCTATTGTCACGCTGCTCTGCATATCGGTCGTCGTTGTCTTGATTCTCCGATACTACCTTCCCCTCCGAACAACACCCGCCTACCTCCTGGTGCCCGTCTTCTTTGCGCTATGTCTTCCTGCGAGCATGGTTCTTCTGGTGCCAATAGACTTGGCGTCCAGCGCCATGGTTGACGATATTGATGCGCAGGGGATATGGCTGCAGCAGCGGACACTGAGAGTTTCGTGGCGGATAACATACTGGCTTACCTTTGCTCTGACTTGGTATGCGCCCTGTGAGCCTTCTGGTCTGGCGCCAGTCCGGATCTTGTTCTGACGCCTTCAGGTTCATTCTCCCTATCCTTGCCGAATATTCCGACTCCGGATACCGGGAACCAAAAGACAAGCTCGTCGACTCTCTGCGCGCCAACGCCCAATACTACGCCATCGTCTTCGGATCCGGAGCCCTTGGGTTGATATACGTCCTGGCGTCTTACGGGCACTTCTCCGAGTCGCTCAAGAGCACCGTCATGGCTCTCGCATACTGCTGGGGCTTGGTGCTGGCAATCTACTTGATGGGTCACGGTCTCGTTTCCATCCCCCGCCGCCTGTTCCGCAAGGCCAACATCAGCGGCAGGCTCCGCCGCATTCAGACGCAGGCGCCCAAGGTTTACGAGAAGATGGACGACGCTGAGATGGATCTCGAGGACCTCGAGATGCAGGTGGCCGAGCTTAGTCGTCGCAAGGGCGGCAGCGCCAGTCTTTTCCAGGACTGGATCGAGGAGTTAGTCGACCTGACCGACCTTCCGGAGTCCCAAACAGGCCGGACAAGTGTTGTGAGGGGCTCAGGAAACCAAAGTCCGCTCCCGAACGTCATCACCGAGAAATACCTGGCCGAGCTTACCAGGCGCCTAATCCGGGCGAGGCACGCTCGGTCAAGGTACGTCAACGAGTGGAATCGTTTGCTGGAGGATGCCGTCAGAACACAGGCGATTCTGGACTCGGCCGCCTCCAAGAAGCTCGACTTTGGAAAGGTCTCTCCTAACGCCGGCTTTTGGGACCGACCCCCTCTGCTCACGCCCTACACACGCTTCCTGTTACATTACTACTTGATTCCTTACCTCCACGCTGCTCTGGGCGCCGTCCTCTCCATAGCCTCCATCTGTATCGTCTGGTCCGAACTCGTCAAGGGCCTTTTCCCCCAGCTCTCCGTCATCCGCTATAGCGTGATCCACCACCATGTCGGCGGCAACGGCCAAGTAGGCTTCGCCGGCCAGATGATCGCCGCGATCTGGATGGTCTACATGTGTGCCGCCGCCCTCGTCTCGATCACCGAAGTCAAGGTCTGGCGCGGCCGCGCCCTGGTGCGCCGCAATACCGCACACGAGTCCGCATTTTGGTACGCCAGCCAAGTCGCCCGGCTCAGCGTGCCCCTCACCTACAACTTCATGACCTTCCTGGGCAGTATCTACCGCGACACAGTGTTCTATGGCTTCCTTGGCCAGCTGATCAACCTCACCCCGCTGGGCAAGTGGTTCGACTACCTCTTCCCGGCCTTCATCCTCATCCCCGTCTTCGCCACCCTGTTCGGTCTCTACGGCAAGGCCAAGCGCGCCTTTGGCTTTGACGTCGCCGTCCTAGACGACGGTGACGACGGGGACACCGACGAACGTGGTGCCGCGTTTGGCACCGGCTCGTGGCGCGAAGGCCGCGACCTCATCGAGCGCGAACTCAACGGCACCTCGGCCGCCATCCGCGCGCGCCGCGCGGACGTCGCTGGCGGCGGCGGCGGCGATGCTCGATCAGCGCCCGTCCTGTCCATCCCCCGCGCCGGCCGCCGGGATGGTACTAGTAGCGCCGTCGGTGGGCCGACCACGCCCTTTGGGACATCCCCGACTGCGGGCAGCGCTGGGCCGGTATCATCCGGTCGGCCGCAGGCTAACACGTCGGCGAGGAGGGTCGGTCGGGCCGCGGCGGCCGCGCTGGACGAGCCGGAGGACGAGAATTTTTTCGAGGCGTTGGGTCACCGGTTTAAAAACACCATTGATACCATGGACACGCCCAAGTGGCTACAGGATATTGGGCAGGGTATCAAGAAGCCCAAATGGATGGGCGGGGGTGGCGGGGGTCAGGGGGCCAGCAGCACGGGTGGGAATGCCGACATCAGGAGGTGGTTTGGTGGTGAAGGGAGGATCCGGCTGTAATGTTGTAATGCTGTAATGCTGTCCTTTCTTTGTCGGCTTTGGTTTACCATGCATTGGTGGGTTTGGTGTTGTTGGTATGGTGGTTTATTGGGTTCATTGGGGCATCGCTGGGCGTTCACAAGACCACAATTGGTGTACCATTGGGATAGGAGCTCCCTTAGTTTCGAGCTTGGCGGATGGACATTCATTGTTGCTGATAGAGCTTGGGCAAGAATCTTCTAATGCTGACTGGGCAGACTGGAAAGGTCTGGATCCATTGTCTTTTTGTTAACAGAACACTGTGGTGTTGGGCACGTTGGTGACCCCTCTCTGCGTGGTTAAGCTTGAAACTGCGGTCGCTCGCTTCTTCGGCTTGAAGCAAATTGGTGGGGAGAGCTTCACATGACTGGAAGCGATCGATGCTGAAGAGTAAGTACTCTAGGAGCTTTGGCGAGTATGCGGATCGGCGACTTCGAAGCCCCGACGAGTATCGGTTCGTTATTCATTCAATTCGCTTTTGGACCATGGTGGTGGACAACCACTTCATCTCCCTGGGTATCTATACAAATAAGACGACATAGCCCACCAACGCCGGACCAAACCTATGCTTTCCCACACAACTAGCACCTGGTTTCCCACCGCAATGCCACCGGAGTTCTCGAATGCCGCCGTCAAACATGTATCGCAGGACTGCTCTGCTTCTAGTCCCTAACCTCTCTGTCAGTTGCCGAGAGACAAATCAAGACACCTCACACGAAAATCTCCACCTCCACCACTCCACCCGAACGCCTCACGTTGTAGATGGACAGGACGGCTTGCTCCCACTGCTCTTCGCTGGTGATGGTCTTTCTACCAAACGGCGTGTGGATCTCGATGGCGGGAACCTGCCCTGATGCTTCGAAGGACGCCTTGAGAGATGAAAAGGCATTGTGGGAAATCACATAGTCAGTGTGCCGGTAAGTGGTGGGGGCGGCGAGATCGCTGCCGTCCGTCCTGTCCCTGACGTAGACGTGGTACATGAGCCTGGCATTCGCAGGAATCTCGACCTCGTATGGGTTCTGGGCGACGCCAAGTGCGGCTTCGGCATGCTTGCGCTTCTTTCGGCTGCTCGCGTCTTTTGCCAGGGCCCCGAAGAATGCCTGGCTCTCTGGAGTGAGTGGAGGACTTTGCGGAGCGCTCGCCGGCGGGGCGGACTGTGACCGCGACGGAGATTGCGACGACGACCCTGCCGATTCGACACCAGGCTTTAGAAGGCGAGCTTGAGTACGCAAGGTAGCCTGGTGAGTCTGTCTCTGGTTCATGTAAATTCGGTAAAGAAACATGACAAAGCTCGCGAAGAGACTAATACACATGTTAGCAGGCCCCACATGAGGCAAAAGCAAGGCGGGCTTACATTGACGAATCTCTCGGCCACAGAAGAGTCCGCGTTTTTGCGTTTCTGCAACCCTCGCCGAACCAAGTTGTTCCCCATTCCTTGGTGATCAACATGTACCATGCAATGCTGATGAGATTCTTCTTGGTCTCAGCTACGACAGTGACGGGTTGTTTGACGATCTCAACGAGTGGCGACTCCTTCAGGAGCTTCTTCATCTCCGACCCGAGAAGCTTACCGAGACCGTAGTCTAGCTCAAGGTGCTCGTAGAGAGTCTCCATCTTGGTGTTGCGGTCTGCACTTTCGTTAGCCGTTGCTTACAGAAAATGTTGGGGAGCATGCCCGGCGTGCTTACTGAGAGTGATGAAATACATGAGTTCCTCGGCTTCTTTCAGGTCATGATCGATGCGCCGGGGCAGGCGCATTTTCATGTTGGTGTAGCTGTAGGCATAGCGAAAGCCGGGGATTTGCGTTACGAGAATGACATTTTCATTTTGTGTCTCTGGCGTGGCATCGCTGTCTTGATTTCCTGCTTGAGCATTAACGGGCTGTTCGTCGCTTGTGATGAAATGCCACAGGCGCTCAAGTTCGGCGTCCAGAGCGGCGTTGCCGTCGAATTCCTCAAACGACGCTACTGCGCGACCACAGCCAAGAGTGTTATGAGTGGAATCTTGGGTACTAACCACGTGGTCACCTGAAGTGCGTCCGTCATGGTGCAATAAAGAGGCACCAGGAGGATCAGGGACTGCGGGTAGATGGAGCAGAGGCATTGAGAGCGCATGCTGGTGATTCGATTGTGCTTGCGCGTTGACCTCAGGAAACCCAAGCTGAGCGGCATAATTAGTCGCCCGTTGAGGGCGGTCTTGTGGCGAAGGTGATGCAGGCTCACAGTCATGCTCTGGGGATGGCTCGATGGCGCCGACTTCGGTAAAGAGGGAAGTCAGCTCGGTGTCATCGTCGCCACCAAAGAGCGAGTCCGTATCGTCGACTTCATCTCCGTCGCCGGAGAGAAGACCAAGACAAAATTCATCGGCCATGCTGATGATGGCTCTTGCCATGGGCGGTAAGGTATTCGACATTGAGGTAACTGTCGAACTGTAGGCAGCAGCGGGGGGGGATTGAGGATTTGAGTCCGGCTCTTGGCGGTAAGATTCGTTAGCGCGAGTTAACCCTAACCCTATTTTGCCGCATTACATGACATCATCTTTTTCGGCATCGCACCCGTGGTTGGATGCTCTCGTTGCAGGAATCTCTGACCAAACGGGCTTGGGCTATCACGGTACCGACTCGTGGGTCGCTGGCTCTCTCATCATGTTTGAGAAGCGGCACAAGGTCAAGACTGTGCAGAGCGCGGTACTAGCCGCCCTGTCGGTATTCTCCGGACTCCATGGCTCCTTTATGCTCTAGCGGTGACATCTTTGTAACATCGCGGCTGAGAGTTTGATAGGGTCCAAAGAGCCTTTCTGCCGACCTGATCAAACTCAAGATGAGAAAACAGCAACCATGAGGTCACGCACCAGTTCGAGGCTGACACGGAACCTAATCCCTACTCTCTAGCAAAAGTCTGTCTGCCATCGGCTTGACGCCTTCACATGGTAAGCGCCTCCCACCCCGACCCATCAGCAGCCTCACAGCCGGTAAGCAAACCTAGGCGTCCCCTCAGCGCCAACCTGCACCCTGAAGACGGCCCCACCGAACTTCTTACTCTCCCCCTCGCCCTCGTCATCGCCAGCCGTGGTGATAACCAATTCCCCACCACCGATAAAATCACAGCAGGTGGCGTTCCTCGTCGGGATCCTGACCTCGCCCACGACCTTACCCTCGGGGCTGATCTTGAGCACGCGCGACTCGCCATAGACGGCATGCCACAGGTTGCCCTCGGTATCGACGCGGAACCCGTCGGGCTCGCCGGGCCCGTCGTGGCGGTAGAAGACGCGCTCGTTGGACACGGAGCCGTCGGTGGGGTCGTAGTCCCAGGCGAACACCTCGCGGGCCGACGAGTGCGTGAAGTACATGGTGCGGGCGTCCGGGGAGAAGCCGACCGAATTGGGAATGGTGAGGCCGGAACGGGTCGGCGTGGCTGCGGTGGCGTGGGAGAAGCGGTAGAGGGACCCTTGATTTCGGAAGCGTTAGAGGTGAGTGGTTGAGTGACAACACACGTCTGGCTTTGGGAACCTTCATGTGTTGTTTGAGCTATTTTTGGGAAACTTAGGGTGCGAACTAGGATGCTTTGGACGTCGCGGAACACGGCATGGGCCGAGGTGTGCTGTGCTGAGGGTAGCAACAAGAATTCAACGGCAGCAAATCCGCGGTACTGGGCGTCGCACCCCCTTACTGCTTTTAAAGCTCTGGCAGCTTGCCACGTAGAACGAAAAGGCGATGTCTCGCTCTTTAAAAAGACTTTGAAGGGAAGAACATGGAGACTCACCCTCTGGCTGGAACGGCCCCAACCCGAAATCCGTCATGGTACCAAGCCAGAACCGGCCGTTCGGATCGACCGCGCCGTCGTTGCTCCTGATGCGCTCGCCCTTCGCCTCCCCAAACTTGGTCACATACTCGTACTTCCCCGTCTTCCTGTCCAACACTGCCAGGCCCTGCTTGGCTCCAATCAAGAGAGTATCCTGCGGATCCCGGCCCTCGACGTCAGCCGTGACGGTGACGGATTCGTCGAACTGGAGAGTCTTGAGCGAGGAGGTCCCCTCGGTAAGCGAGACGGTGTGAAGCTGCTTCTTGATGATGTCGATGAAGCGCAGCGTGTGAGTGTCGGGTTCATAGTAAGGCCCCTCGCCGAGTGAGCAGTGCGTATCCAGATACGGCTCGCTGACGTGCCATTGTTGGAAGTTCTGACCCTCTGCCATGGTTATCATTGACTCCGCGTCCACCCGGCGTGTCAATGTCGGTCTCTGATGTTACGTAAGGGGCGAGGTGACTGGAAGTGGTGGGTTCCAAGAACTGGCGCACGCCGCGAGAGGAGGGATACTTGCGAATGCTAGGCACCTTAACCCTTGCCAGCAGACAGAGAGTCGAGACGTAGCGGCGTCATTATTATATATGATCTGGCCTCGAGTCCATGCGGAGCCACTTATTTGAGCGGCCCGGATCGCGGGGTTGCAATCTTTGGTCCCTCGTGGGGCGGAAGGCGGCCCTCAGATCCGCCACGGCCGAACATGTTGACAGCCGCCGGGAAAACGACGGTGTAAACTCCGGAGGTGGTTTTTGTTTATTTGCCTGGAATGCCGCCCCGGCCGTGACAGCGATAGCCCAAGCTCAAGTATAAAAGTAAGAAGTCTTTGGCTGAGTGTTGAAGTTCATATGACATGAACCGCCAAGCCTTGTTGTCTTCGGTGAGGCAAGTTGATGCGGAATCTTCGAAGCGCCTTCCGACGGAACTGCCTCGAGCCTGATGAAGGCCAGTCCCTCTCTTGCTGATGAGAGTCGGTCCTTGTCCGCGGAGGGGGGAATGCACTTGAACCTTGAATCACAGAAGGAAAAAGAAGGGACGAGTCTGTCCGCAATTTTGCATCATGTCGACCGCTCTCCAAGGCGGGCCGGAAGATCCAACGAGTGCCTGCGACCGGTCGGATGCAGGTTTCAATGCTGCCATCTTGTTCCGTCCCACAAGCCGCTGGCCGAAGAGGTCGGTGTGACGAACTCCCTCACAGCTCTTTTTCCCGTCCGGCAATGTGATGGTTAAAAAAATGACGATGTCGCTTACCGGCCGCCAAATTTCCCGTAATCTGCACCCTTTTCGTGCTTCACTTGTTTCTGGCCTTCTCGTTTGACACGCCGTCTTTTGACATCTGCTTGCTTCTTGGGAGAGGCACATGATCTGCGACAACTGCACGTTTCTGGCTCCGAAATTGAATGGGGGGACTTGTTTCTCCATGGTTGCAGATTTTCTCGTCACAGTACGGACACCGGGGTCGGCGTTCTGCCCTGCCACATCTCATCACGCATTCCAGGTACCTAAATCGCCCGGATTCGCCGTCAGAGACAACACTACTTTTTGATTTCCAGGAGGTGGTTAGGGTTGCGCTGGGCTCTCGTCACTTCCTACACGTGAACTGTGTACAGTAATAAGGCACACACTGGTTTTGGCGCCCTGCAGGTTCCAACGCATGCAAGGCTAGGGTTCACGCTGCATACCATCCCTGCATATCGTGGAGCTGAGCCCAATTCTGCGAGTTGGCACGTCCAAACCCCAGAGTTGGCGTGTCCCTTGCGTGTCCCTGTTGAGTTTAATGTGTGGTACGGACAGACCAGTCAACCTCGGGTCTATCAACGTATGAAGCTGTAAAGAGAAGTTCTGGAGTGAATTGTCAACGAGGGTCGTGAGCAATCGCAAATACACTGTTAGTTATTGTCTAGCTTTACTTGTACTTGTACACTGTCTTTTCGTGGGGGTCAGATCCAAGATAACGCCTCAAACCTAAGACATACTCGCCGTGGAGTTCCTCATGGACCGTTGGGTCAGCTGATGCTGTTTGGCCTTGCTTTTGACAAACTTCGAGACGTCTCATTGCCCTCAACTCTTCCTCCACTTCCCACTCCTACATCTCCGCAACCAATTTTCATGACTGGAAAACTTGTTCTGCTCGATAACAAAGCAATTCCGGCAACCAACCTCGTCCTCCGCGGCCACGACCATGATCTAACATCCCTACTTGACGCGGAGTACCTCAACTGCCCAGGTTCCCAGGCAACTTACCTTACTACACAGTACCTAACCTTACCTTAACTTACTTGGTTGCAAGCCACCTGACGTTGTGAGCTCACCGAGTATTGTACTGTGCAAGGCAGGCAAGATACCTATACCTTATGGATGCATTTCCTTTCCGTACCGACTGCGCACTTTTCCTCTGTACAATACCTTGATTTTACGCGAGCAGAACAGCCCGATCCTTGGGATGCCTTTCCGATGTCGGGTATTCGATACGCAAGGCCGCATAACTGGCCGCAGATCCGCACGAGCAGCAGAAACGGATGCAGTTGTTCCTGTTTGGGAGCATACGGTTAAGGTAGAAAGAACCTGTAAGGTACCAAGCCGCCCAGGGCAACACACGTGTATCTGCACGACAACCCAAAAAGTCGTCAGGCTGCAATGCATCATGGATCTGAGTCCGAATGATTTGTTACGACATAAGGATCTGTGTGAGTGTCCAATACGTACCCGGAATGTCCGCACGGTACCAAGGTCATCATCTCCATTCCAAGGTTTGCAGCTTGGAAAGCATCCAGGTCGTAGCCGATCAGCATGGGCGAGCTGCTCTTACGCACCCCAGTATGTGTGTTAGAGCCCGTATTACGACAAGAAAGATGGTAATGGTAGTACGGGCTCAAGTGATGAATTTTTTTGCTGCTAGCGCAAGGCTGATGCCCCGCCTTCCGCCTTCCGCGTTCCGCGAATGAGCCAGCCATTTGGCAAGCCAAACGCCCCGTCGGGGAGGCGCTAGTCCCGTCCCAATCCAACCTGGAATGGATCCTCCATGGGGCCCAAACAGTTCTAGCGATCCACTGCCACGAGCCAGGTGTACGATACGACCGCGATGTGGTTACAGTCGCAGCCGAGACTGGGAACTGCGAAATTGTCACACTTGCACTTTGGGCACCTGAACTCTTGCAGGAGAAATCAGAACCGAATCCTCAGCTCAGGAACGCAGATCTTGTCAACTGATCCGGGGGACGACAGTTCGGGGCCCTTTTTACGTGAAGTACCACAGTACTCCGTACAGACACCACCAAATCCTACAAAGCCATCAGGGATACAGTGCAGGAAGGTATCCGGCCAAGGGTAATGGCAAATCACTTCCCATCTTTCAGGGCTCCATTCCGGCACCATTGCACGACACGAGATGAAGCCCGCCACCCTCCGTTTTGCTCCACTGGCCCCCCCATTCCAACATGATGAACTGGCGAGGAAAGGAAGAGGAATCGCGTCTGAGACCCGGCACATCTCCGCGGCCCGCTCGGTGGAGTCGTTGGGTGCTCGGGTGGTTCCAAATGCGGCAGTTACTCTGATCACTCGCATCCTAACCCACCACCGACGAACGCTTGCAAGAGGAACGGACCGTCTCGGGACTAGCGTAGGAACTCAGTAGATTCGGCCACCTCCACTTCGGCTGGCAGGGAGTTTTGGTCCACTTGCACCAACTCTTGCCCTCTTTTTTGCTTTTGGTTTACATAGGCAGTTTAACTAGTAAGATACTGATTAGTAAGCTGATTACTATTACTATTATTATTATTATTATATTATTATTATTATTATTATTATTATTATTATTATTATTTCTATACCGCTATGACCTAGGACTCGCTGGACCCTCTACCACTAATTATAAAGGAAGACTATGTCTATAAGGCTAGACTAATAATCCCTATCTTCCCTATACTAATTTGAAATCCTAAATCCTTCTACTATAGCGAAAAGAAAAGCGCAAATAGCCAACTAGGCCATCGAACTAGCTTGATTCTAGCTATATAGCTAGCCTATACTCCAGGAGCTTCCTAGAGTAGTATAGTAGCTATCTAATTACCTCCTTTGTAAGCCTTCTCTCTTTATTTCCTTACCTGTCGAGAGCCTTGTACAGGTCTCTCTGCGAGCGTATTTCTGTAGCCGGCTAGGTCTTTAGCTTCGGTAGTTAGCGGTTTAGACATAAGTTAGTAAGGAGCTCTCGGCCTTTATAAGGCTTTCATGTCTTTCTAGTGTCCTTTTATTAAGTTTTGGCTAGTAATCGGCAGGTTATACGATGGGTAGGGCCTAGTTCCGGGCCCTAAACCATTATAGTCAGTTAGTAGCTTCCTAAGCCCACCTAGCCTTCCAGGCCTTATTGAGAGCCTCTGTAGAGTTCTTGCCTTGGGCTCTCCAGGCTGCAATAGCCAGCCTCTATAGATTCCTCTATTGCTAGAGATTACGTTGGCCCTCTAGCCCTTTACAGTCTTAGAAGCAGTTACAGATCCTGCTGCAGGCTTCCTCGACTAGCAGGCTAAGAGGCCGATAGTTTAGAAGAGGCCTTATTGTCAGCTGAAAAGACTAAGAAGTCGGGAGGATAGACTTCTGGAGCCTGTCTTCGAAGTCAGCTAGCTTCTTACTGAAGTAGAGGTCTTGTAGAAGAACCCACGTTTCAGCCTCGAGGTGTCGGGTTGGGGTGGCCTTATAGGCCCCGGTCATTATCCGTAGGCTCCTGTTCTGAGCTTTCTGGAGGTCTTTTGCGATGCCCTGTGGCTGACCTCCAATGATAGTAGGCCGGTGGAAGCTTGAAGCTCCATAGGCTAGGGCACTGTAGATGCACTTAGTATAGACCTCCCTTGCCTTGGCTAGGGCTGGGCCCCAAATCTTAGCAGCTATTCTAGATAGTGCAAAGTCCTGTGTTTCAGCTTTCGTTCGACAGCTTCCCAGTGGGCCTTCCAAATCTAGCCTCCAATCTAGCCTCCAATCTAGCCTCCAATCTAGCTAGACTCCAAGGAACCGGCTAGAAGGTGTAGGTTGTATGGCGTCGAAGCCTTGGTCCTGTGGGTGGGCCAGGTTGACTGAGTTTGGCCATTGCCTTCGGCCTTTATTGAAGTGGATCAGCTCGCTCCTTTCTCCGGCAAAGACTATCCCTCTAGACTCGGCCCACTGTAGACAGGTCTTCTAGGCCTCTTCTAGTTGCCGGCAATTAGCCTGAGGCCCTCTGCCAAAAGCGAGGAGGTTGGTATCATCTGCAAAGCTCACTATAGCTATCCCCAGATGCTTCTCCATCAACGCCATATATAGAGAAGCAATATATAGAATGACAAGAATCGGGGATAGTAGAGAGCCCTATGAGGCCCCGGCCTTGACTAGTATAGGCTCTGTAGCTTGGCTGTCGAAGTCCAGCGTAGCCGTCCTATCCTTAAGCCAGGCCTTAGTCTACCGCGCTAGTCACTCAGGGAAGCTGCAGACCTGGAGAGTATCTAGTAACCTTGTATAGTTGACTGTATCGAAGGCTCCAGATATATCTAGCTGTAGTAGGGAGGTGGTTGCTCCCTGTCTCCAAGCCTTCTGAACCTGAGTAATAATTAGGCGTACAGCTAGTTCAGTGGTTCGGCTAGCCCTATTGCCTATTTGTTCATCAGGTAGTAGGCCGTTCCACTCAGCAGTTTCTGCCACCCTCCTAGCCATTATAGCCTCTAGGACCTTCCTTAAGATAGGTAGGAGAGCTATAGGCCTATAGCTTTTAGCAGTTATTAGTTAAATAAGATAGTATATATTGAATAGAATAGGTAAGTCGAATTAGAAGTTGAAATAAGTAGTCAAAACAGATTAAAATATGCTAGCTATCTCAAATATCATGCTATTTTGAATGGATTGAGTATTAATATCAATACAGCTAATGTAATCAATGCAATTGACACAGTTAATGCAGTTAATATAGTTAAGATAATTTGAATAGTAAGATCATAAGATGGCTGGGATAGTGGCGATGGCAAAGCTAAGCCTCTAATCAGTTGGAAAATGGGGCGTTATTGAGTCCGCTTGCCCAGCCAGAGTGGAGGTGGTCGAATCTACTGAGTTCCTATGGTAGTTATATTCCGCTGTCTCGGCCGCTGGATGTCATCAGAGTCGTCCGACCCGCCCCCCTACGCCGCCCGCCCTAGGCGATGACGGGCATCTCGGATCCCGCCAACCCAACTCCACCCGCACTGCAACAAGTTACTCTAAGAAGCAAGCGTGCGCTACGCTCGCCATGCAGATCTCATCTCACGCCTCCCATCTCCGTTGACCTACCAGGATAGCTGGCTGTGAGCAGACGCGCCGAAATGACGCAGCTTAGGCTTTCCGTCAATGGTGCTGATGTGGAACTGCCGCAGCTCGTTCTAGGCGTGGCTTTAGCTAACACCAGCAAATTACTCACGACCATCCAATGTGCTGGAACCTCCCGTCTGCGCTGCCAGCTCACCAACCCACGTCCGCTGCTGCGACATGATCAACCCAGCGCAGACGGCACTTACGAGGATCTGCTGCGGTTTCCGGAGCGCGGCGGATGGCGGCCTTTGTCGGTGAGCATCTTCTCTCCAGGGGTCAAGCTTACCGCCTCTCCGTCTTGATTCATGCCTGCCTGGGCTTCAATGCGGTATCAACAACCAGCACCGACATCAAGATGTCCAACGGTTGTTCTCCGCCGCGCTGACACCAACAAGTAACTATCTCGCTCCATTTGCCTCTAGACTCGGTTGGTCCCGATGTGCTCAAGAATGGCTTGTGGCCACGAAAGCTGTGATGTTGTCCGAGACCAGCGGCTGTCGGGGACAAAAGGAACCTGCCGAGCTTGGCCAAGCAAGCGCCGTTCAAGTTGTTGCGAGGGGGCGTGTATGGTGTGGGTGCTGCATGCGCGACATTCGCTCGGCGGCGCGCGCCCAGTCCTCTGGGTCTGTCAAGGCGGTCAACAGACATCACCTGCAAGCCTGCTTTCAGGCCAAGGATCTCTCGCAGGCTGATGCGGGCGTATTGTGCAATGAGTATCTCATCGACAACATGACCGTTACCAACACCCGTCATTTCCTCTCTCAAAAGGAGAATTCCCGAACGAGTTGCAAAGCGTGGACGAGGCCTTTGGACCCGACCAATCTCCAGGACACACCCCCCGGTTCCTTGTGGTCCTAGCTCGACATCCACCGTCAGCATGGCCCCCCTGGCTGGCCCCATGCACTAGGCTGAGCCATTACGACGCCGCTCAGTGACGAGGGTGTCATCAAGGACAGCCCCGTTGAGGTACCATACCATACCGCCGAATAAGAAATTGGTGGACGTAATGGGCGGTCCAAAGGCCAGGGCCCAGGAACTTCCCTTTCCAATGAACATTGACGCCGTGACTTCTGTTACTCTTCCTTGGAAGCATCACAGTTTACGACCGTCGAGTCATATCAGGCTCTACCTTTCACCACATACATATCCCACCCCCTCACTTTCGGGGTAACAACGGATCAACACTCCCGGCCAGAAAAGGGTACGGTTCCTGGCGTCGAAACACCTTCGTCGACATCCGGTGTCACAATAGCGCCCCTGCTTGCTCGTCTTTGCGCCTCTCGATCCTCACCAATGACGGCAAAACCTCGCCATCAATTGGCGAGTTGGACTGAAAGCAGGAGAACACAAGAGTAGATTCCTGGCTCTTGTTTTGTCCATACGCGAAGCCCCCTTACCGCATTAGAGATCCCACGTAACGAGTCAGTGTGCCCAAGTCCTCCGAGAGACGTCCACTGGCTGTCCGTATCCGCAACTCATCAGTGCTCGGCCCACCGTGACTACGATTTTGGCGTCGATCGCTCTAAACCTGGCTCTCTGTTCTGCTTGGCTGGGAGTCACCTGTTTGTTACGGCTTCTGCCTCGCCCAACTGGCTCAGAGCGTGGCTTCACCGGTGCCCGTGTAGCACGCCCGGCCTAACGCAAGCCAACGTCCTCTGGCTTCCGATCCCGAACACTTATCTATTGTAACTCTCTGGAGGGTTGCTTTTGTTGGCACGGCTATCCCGCGGGCTGTTGTTGACGACGACGTGGCCGTGGCCTAGTTCATTCCTCTACAGGACACGCCGTCCCTTCACCGACAGTGGCCATCGCCCCAGCTAACCTCACTGGGCCACCGGGGCGCAGACGCGAGAGCAAGAAGCACGTCCCCGTTCCGGACTCAAATCTATCAGTGTGGCGATCCAATCTCTATCTCGGCCGGTTCGAGAACCAGCGTTGGGCTGGGTTTGCGCGGGCTCCTTGCAGCTGTTGTCAACGGCCACCCGAGAGGCAGTACCTGAAAACGGCTGCAGACGTCAATGTCAGCGAAGTCAAAACTCCAAGAGCCAAAGGGGAATGGTCGCGATGTCGCAGGGAGGATCTGCGCCTCGCCCTGTCTCTCACTCCTCACGGTCCCCGGTGAGAGCGACAGATACCACAGCCTCCCCTTTGCTTCAGCGGAGTCGCACCCAACAAGGTGACCAGAGATCACAGCCACTTCGCGGTTCTGCTAGCGTTGCGCAGGTTCAGGACGATGCAACGAGCCAAGAGGCTGTCAATCAGGCGTTGGACACTCGCAGTATACTGAATCCAGTTGGGACGCATGGGGAAGTGACGGAACAGTTTCGGTCTTTCGCCCAGTCTTCCGTCACGGGAGGACGCCAGCAGCCGCCTATGGGGCCTGATCAGTACGAAAGGGAAGCATCGCCGCCGCGTCCTGTTAGCTACCAGAACCCAGACGCAACCACACCACAATCAACAAATCCACCAACGACATCTCCCGCAGCCCAGCCTAAATCAGGGGATTGGGGATCCCCCAACACTGTCCATCCATACCCCATAGCGGCAAGGCGGATTTTGACGCCCAAGTCACCAAGAGCCGTAAGCTTGAGTCGAGCAGCGATGAGGACAGTGGAGGCGCAACATGCCACCCCAAGCCTAGCGACTCCGACACCGAGAGGCGCTATTTCGGCCCACGACGCCCAAATACACGGGAGCGGGCTCTCCAGACTCGGAACACCACCACAGTTTTACAGCTCTTGCTCGGCACAAGGACCAGCGGAACCCTCTCCACCGAGACCGACATCCGGGCTTGTCCGATCGCTTTCGCACCCCAGCTTGAGCCATGGTCTTCCATCGGCGCCCCGTCCCAAACCATCGCAGCAGCCGGGAAGCTTGAAGCGCGAGCGGAGCGGGAGACCTGTCCTATCAGGACCTCCATTTGCGGCTCCCCCCGCGGTCAGTCAACAACCGTTAGGAACATCTGGGGTCCTAGCGGACACGAGGTGGGGACCTGGCCTTTTGGGATCGATGTCCATCGGAGGGGCAAGGAATCTGTCCATCACAGAAGGCCAGCCAGTCCTGACCATTACACCTAGTCATGGGGAGGAGATTGTTGTCCCGGTTGATGTCCACCAGGGGTCGAAAGTAGCGGACCAGAAGAGGCAGCGCAACGCGGGGGCCTCGGCAAGATTTCGACAGCGGAAGAAGGAACGGGAGAGGTCACAACAGGAGGAACTACAAAAGCTGGAGAACGTAAACCGGGAGCTTGAGCACAGGGCCGAGGAGCTTACTAGACGATGCGAGGAACTCGAGGCTCAACGGGATTTCTATCGAAACGAACGGAACCGCCTGCGAGATATCGTATCCCAACTGCCAGGTGGCAAAGAATGGGCCGGCAGAGGGCCTCCGAGCCCCATCTCGAGGACCCCGGGAGCGCCTTTTGCCTCGGGCAGCGGTGGCCTGCTCGTCCAGCCCCCGCCGCCGCCGCCCCCCCATGGCCATCCGCAACCACTCCAGCACCACCCAACCCCGTTCCCGCAAGTGCCCGCCAACCCGCTATCCTACCCGCACCCGCGCTCGAGCTCCTACGGTGACGCCTCCGCGCTTGAGCCCCCGGCGAGGCGGAGGAGAACGGATTCGGAGCCACAGCTGTCAACCAGCTCTTACACCCTGATGACGCCTGCACCATTGCCGCCGATCAGCAGTGCCGTTCCGGCGCCGCCGCCTCCACCACCACTACCAGCTTCTTTTGGTGGTGTTCCGCACTCACCCCATCTCACGCCGCCCCCGATGAACGCGCGATTGCCGCCATTGCGATTTGACCAGGCCCGGACCCCATCAACCACACCCCCGCCGGTTCCGACCGTCCCTCCTCCGCCGACGACGATGCCACCACCACCGCAATCAGGAAGCCCGTACGTCACAACTAGAAGATTGCCCTACGAGACGGGGTGGGCTACAGAACCGCGCCAAGCAGCGGAGGGCGGCCCCAGGTAGCAAGGGCTCCTTCTGGAAGTAAAGCTTCCGATATCGACCGGCTGGGATTCGGACTAGACTGGATTCCACGTCTTCCTTTTTGGCTAACTTTTGCCATTCCTCGCTCCCTTTCTTTTCCCTGGGTTGGGCCGGCTATATTAGAGGACTTAGAGATTCTGCTCGGGCAACCGGCAATGGAATTATCTCCGCGGGAAGAAGGGGGAAGAAAGGCACCAAAAGCTGTGTCTCGTCGCTCAGGTTCTTGTCTCTCGCTATCACTCATCTGACCTATATTGCATTTTATCGCTGACTCTATTAGTAGCATGCCACTCTGTTGGGTTGGCTTCTCCTTTGTTTGCATCTACATTTTTCAACCCTTGTGAGTTTTTGGGGGGGGGGGAAAGTTATGGGGGTGTTTTGTTGCGATCAGTATATATACTTTTTCTACTTCTTACCCTTTTACCGTCTTGGGGGTTTTTTTCCCTCCTTTTTCTATTGATTTATTTTTTTTGGTCTATTTGGGCGGAGCATTTGATACCAGACTGGATTCTCCCCCACTTCGGAGGCTCAGAAGTGTGTTTTTGTCTCTTTTGTCTCAGCGCGCCCATCACGTAGTGACTCATCATCTTTCATTGGATACCCGACCCAACCAGAGACCTTAGGGCGGCTCAGACCGGGGTGGACGAGTGGATGGAAGGGAGCGAATGGCCTAGGAGAAATGGGAGGTGGTACAGGCATGTTCAGGCGGCCATCTCAAGGGGGGTTGTTGATTTGGACGGACATCAAGTTCCCTGTCAGCCAATCTGCAAATCCTCTGCATGGATGGACAGGCTAGAAATGAGCCCGGCCGCCTTTTTCGTGATTAAGGTCTTCTTGTCTCGGACAAGGCTGCAGATGCCTGACAGTAAGAGACATGAACTGTCCGAGTGAGCTGTCTGACGGAGCGCCGCCCAGCAATGCAGCATCAAAAACAAAATCCAAATCCTGTGTGATCATGGAAGGACACGGCAGTTCAAAATCAATAATCATTCAAAAACAAGCCGTCTCCCATCCTATAAGGTCAAAGCTGCCTATCCTGTGAGTGGGAGCTGTGATCGTGGAATACCTGCATATTCCAGACCTGCGCGATTCGACTGTGTGATTAGCCGCAGCCTCTTTCCGCTTGACCTCGTTTCTCACAGCCCAAGTGAATGTCAACACATTACGTTCAGCCTCACGACAAGGACAACGATGCATGGATGCTTCGCCGCATAATGTCGGATGGATGGCGGTGGCGCTGTTGCTTGGCCTGCCTCCAGAAAACGTAGCGATGCAAAAAGCACCTGGGCGTGTCGCCGTTGCCGCCCCTACCGCTGTAGCCTCATTCCGGCTCTTTCATACCCCCAACTTCCCTAGCAGAATTGGTAGCCTCAGACGGACAGATCCTCAACAAAGGTACCTATTCGCCTCGGCCCTTTCCCCGGTGTGACTAGACGTCACGTCACTTCTCACGGCATGTCAAAGTCCATAAGTCAGCTGCCATCAGACACCTGTTCATCAGTAATGTCGTCTGAGTCGTTCCAGGAGAAAGCAAGCTGTCTTTGTCGGCGGAATCGACCGTGACAGTTGCAGGCGCAAACGCCCACCCAATCTGACAATGAGAACCGTGCCCAGGGTTCAACAATAAAATAGAAAGAAAAATCCGTGGGACGAGCATCTGGGCATGCTGATCGCTCTGTCGAAGTTATCCAAGAACGAACGGCTTTCGCGCAGTATCTATCTGCAAGTATCTGCAAGATATGCTGTTGGTGTTCGACTGCTTGAAACCAGACACTGACGGGGACGAATGGGAACGAATCCACAAGAATGATGGACATCTTGCGGCTGCCAGGGGCTTCTTTGGGATTGCTTAGCCAAAGACAACGAAAACGACAACGATGGATGTCCGAAACATGGCTACACGGAGTCGCGAGTTGGGGACACCCGTGTGAAGCCGCTTAAGCCTTATGAAGGTTGAGCTTCTCACTGATCAGCCGGATATGGATACGTCTGGCCCATGGTCAGCACCAGATTCGGAAGAGAGAGAGCACAAGCTGACGCAAACCCAGCTATAGGTTCCGAATCCGAGACGCAATCGTTGTAAAAAGGGGATCAACCGCACCGGTCCAGACTAGGCTCATTTCCTATCAGGCCGACCACATCGATCTTCGTCATACAGAAGAGGCAATATGGTAACATATCCGGAAACAGCCGCGATCACAAACGGATACCGACCCGTCGACGTGCATGTTCGGAGTACGACCATCTGTGTGCCGTCTTGGCGGTGGATAGCACCGTTAACCTCCCGTTCCCGTACGCCGTATGCGTAGTTGGGAAAAGCGACGTTACATCACCCGCTTCCTCGGGTCTGGTAGCAGTGGAGCACCCTGTGTGGCACGTAAACAGCGTCGGATCGTGGTGCTGACACTCCATGCATGCAGTGCCACTGGCTACTGTGCACGCAGTTGTGGAAGGTGATATGAGAACTACGAACTAGAATAACTAGACAGAAAGTGATGAAATAAAATGTTACGGTTGGGCGCAATTGACCACTGCGTAACACTCTCAAAAGAGAGACCGTGGTTCGAACTGTTCAGTCGAACCAGGAATTGCACACATGAACCTCACTCTGTCACGATCCCTGACATAGCCCTCTAGTAGTTGTATCAATGGAAATAACACATCCAGGGCTCTGGATGGAAGTTATGTGCCTAGAGCTTGCCGACAAGGGGCGCGTCGGGCAGGAAATTGCATATTCACTTATAATGCACACTCGCTTATAATACATACTATAGTAGAAATAATAGAGTAATTAGAAGATTATAGGAGTTAAGTTCAAGATTACACGTCATATATTATTATTATTATTCTTATACCGCTATGCCTTAGGGCTCGCCAGACCTTCTACTACTAATTATAAAGGAAAACCATGTCTGTGAGGCTAGACTAAAAACCTCTGTCTCTTCTCTACCAATCTGAAGTCCTGAATCTACCTATTATAGCGAAAAGAAGGCGCAGATGGCTGTCTAGGCCATCGAACTAACTCAGTTCTAGCTGTACAGCTAGCCTATACTCTAGGAGCCTCCTAGAGCATAGTAGCTACCTAATCACCTTCCTTGGAAGCTTTCTCTCTTTGTTTCCCCACCCGTCAAGAGCTCTGCACAGGTCTCTCCGCGAGCGTATCTCTGTAGCCGGCTAGGTTCTTAGCTTCAATAGTTGGCGGCACCACATAGCTAAGTATTCCACTATCTCTCTGCTCCAGCCGCATTCGCAGTAGAGAGTGGGTATTCAAGAGATCCTGGCCCGGAAGAGGAAGTCCTTGAAGCTTATAGCTCCAATTTGGGCCTGAGTTAGTAAGAAGCTCTCGGCTTTTGTAAGGCCTTCATATCTTTTGTCAGGGCCCACACCATGAGCCCTACACTTGGGCAATTGGCGGGCGAGACACTGTGGATTTCTTGGCGCAGCGACATGACTCGCAGCAGAGAGAGGATATCTGGAGAGCAGGAGACTCAGATTGGAACTTGGAACTTCCCTCTCTCAAGGATCAGTCAGTTGGTTAGTGGTGCACGCACAATACAGTCGTCTTGCCTGCTGCCTGTTGAGGATTCGGTGCATCTTCCTTGGTGAGCTTGTGTGTGTCACCTTACATCTTTCTAGTGCTCTTTATTAAGTTTTAATCATTAGTCAGCTGATTATACGGTAGGTAGCGCCTAGTTCCGGGCCTTATACCTTTATAGTTAGTTAGTGGTCTCCTAGGCCAACCTAGCCTTTTAGGCCTTATTAAAAGCTTCTATAGAGTTCTTGCTTTGGACTCTCCAGACTACAGTAGCCTCTATAATAATATTGATTAATAGAGCATTACATACTAATTACTTATAAAGCCTACTACTAGAACTGGCCAGCTTATATATATATATGCAACCCTAATCCTAGCACGGGCAGCGCTCATAACAGGTAGTGTATATTTAAGTTCTAAGATGCAAGTGACAATACCTTTGCGAGGGCACTATAACAACCACGTCCAGATACGTCGTGTTCCTGAAGGCGCCGAGACAGGAAAACGTATATCATTTCGTGGCTGAGACATAATAGCGGATGGCGACAGCGACGACGCAGAAGAGAGACCAAGGTGAAAGACACACCTGCTGCGCAGGAAACTTCAATGTCTCACCAGAGAGAGAAGGAACTGCGAGGGAGGCTCCGTGCCACAGTATATGTAAAGGTATTTCTGATGTGAGAAGCGTCAGCAGATGGTGGGGCCTTGCGGGCTGAAGGGGCGGGAGAGGTTAGACCCTTCCGGCGGGGTACCGTACCGTACAGTCCCCCCCTCGGGAATGATTGTTAGCGTCTGCCCTTGACGAGGGGGTCCTCCCAAGACTTCCAAACGACAGAACGGCCTACTTTGCCGCAACAAAAATGGGCTTGACTGGGAGTTGACTGTAAACCTTTCTCTATCCCCGATCCCCTTGTGCTATAATGACTCAGTGATTGTCGAACTGGGAAGATGTCGTAGGAAGTGCGGTGACCCTGTCCGTAGTTTCGCACTAACAATCATCCAGAGTAGTACTGTATGCTAGTAGCATCTTGGCAATCTGGCCTATGCATTTGGCCTTCAGTACACTCTGCTAGTGCACGCCAAATAAATGGATGTGAGAATTATCCTCTCGGCTACTACTCTTAACAGTAGGTTCATGAAGCCCTGCTCGTCAAACGTCACTTTGGATTGAAACCAGAAACTCAAGAGGAGAAACAACCGTCGAAGTTTCCAACGAGGAGGATGGAATTGCCTCGTTCGCCCAAGCGGCGACACATTCTTTCGTCCATCAACCAGACAGAAGCAAATGGCGACGATGAGGGGCTGAGACGCTTTAAGCCCGACCGTATCATGTCCCCCGACATTTCTACTCCGCGAACCGACGATGTTCCTGCGAAGCACGACGACGCGCTCAAACAGGAAGCATCCGACTTAATGGGCAGCGACACAAGAGCGCCCAGGACGACCAAGTTCCGCTTCAAGTCCGAGCCGTCCAGGTCGTCGCGACGGCGCGAGCGAGGCCAAGATGACAACGACGACCGCCGGCACAAATCTCGATCGCCATCCCGAGACCGAGACAGACACGAGTCCAGAGAACGAAGACACCCCCCGCGTCATCATCACCATCGCCGCCGCCGCCATGGCCGAACCCTCCGTTCCCGCTCGCCAGCCCGCCCAAGATTGAAACAAGAAGAACCCGACCCCTTCCAAGACCCGCCCCTCTCCCCCACCACCGCCTTCCGCGAATCCCTCTTCGACGCCATGGCCGACGACGAAGGCGCCGCCTACTGGGAATCCGTCTACGGCCAGCCCATCCACATCTACCCGGCCCCCACCACCACCACCACGACTTCTTCCTCGGGCGTTGGTGGTGACGGAGGCAACAACAACAACAGCCATCTCGAGCGCATGACCGACGATGAGTACGCGGCCTACGTGCGGCAAAAAATGTGGGAGAAGACGCACGCGGGCTTGCTCGAGGCGCGGGCGCGCCGGGAGAGGGAGCGGGAGGAGGCGAGGAGGAAAGCAGAGGAGGAGGCCCGCGTCTCGCGCGAGATGGAGAGGTGTCTCCGGCGCGGGGAGGAGAGGCGAAGGAGGAAGGGGTGGAGGGAGCGGTGGGAGGATTATGTGAAGCGGTGGGCGGAGTGGGAGAACGGAGGTAAAGGGGGAGGTGGTAAGGTGGAGGGAATTCCGTGGCCTGACGGGGCGGGGAATAGAACAGTGGAAGGGAGAGAGATGGAGCGGGAGACGGTCAGGGCGTTTTTCGTGAACGGTATCGGCCTGGATGAGGTGGGCGAGAAGGATTTCGCGGCGAGGCTTAAGGAGGAGAGAGTCCGGTGGCACCCGGATAAGATGCAGCAGCGGCTTGGGGGGAAGGTGGATGATAAAGTCATGCGGGACGTAACAGCTATTTTTCAGGTGGTGGATGCATTATGGAATGATACCTGGAAGAAAGGCGGTTAATCGTTAAAGAGGTGGTATGGAGGGCGTTAATTTACAGAGGGGCTTGCTAGATATACGATATCACGATGGATTACGAGGCGCTCAAACAGTGAGAGTTTTGGCTGTCAGTTGTCCATCATCGGTTGGGTCATTCATGATAGAATCAGCCATGCTCAAGGGGGAAGCCGCAGTTGTGAGCGCTGTGTCAATCACAACCTACCTACGCTTTAATCTCGATCCCCTCCTTACGGATGGGACTTTCTGATGATGCCCAATTTGTTTGTCGAATTTGGGGCCAGTGGTTGTAATGTAATGGCTCTGTCATATGGAACCCCACACCAACCTGGCCAAGCCAGCCCTAGACTTTTCGGCTGCATGCTGCAGGATCTTCGATGCTTTTCCATTTGCGGTGAAGCGCCGGATACAGGTAGGTCGAATTGTGGAGACAGCCGAGGTGACGTCACCACTCGTGGATCAAAACGGCCAACTTGGTATGTGGTTGTTTGGACTCGCTGAAGGGCCTACTAAACCCCATGTACTCACGAAAGTTTCATCGACTTGCCGACGCTCAATGAGGGAAAATTGCAGCTAATGAGTGTGTGGCATCCATTTGTCATTCTAACCTGCCCAAGAAAGAGTTTGACTAGGCAGGGTTCATTAAGCAGGACGTAAAACATGTAGTAGCTCGTCCCATTCAACCTTCAAAACAAGCTAAATCACGCCGACCCTGTGATTTTGGTTCGTAAGGAACAGTAACCATTCCACCATAGTCGTACAAGAATTAATTATCCCCCGCCGAAGAAATTACAAGTTAGCCAAGACGGCCGCACCACCAAACAAGGCCCCGAGACCGACAGCAGCCGTCTGGACAGGCACGGCACCGCCGCCCGAGGTCCTGGACGAGACGGCCGAGCTGACCGAGCTGATAGCCGAGCCAACCGAGCTGGTGGCACTGGCGATCTCGGACGAGAGGGACGAGGCCTCGGCGCCGGTGGCGGTGGAGAGCCTCGACGACAGGCTCGAGAGGACGCTGCCGGCTTCGCTCGTGACGGACTCGACCGCGGACGAGGCCTCGGACTGGACCGACGAGATGGCAGAGCTGATGGCGCTCGAAAGGGAGGCCGTGTCCGAGATCGACGAGCTCGTGGCAGCGGTCGTGTCGCCGGTGACGGCGGTGGTGGTTTGATCTTGGGCCTGCGTTCGCCGGTTAGGTAAGGTACTCCGATTGGGACGAGGGTAGAAAACATACCGAAGCCAGGGCAGCGAGGGCGGCGACGATGACGGCGTAGTAACGCATCTTGATGGTTGGGATTGGATTGAAAGTTGTAGTGAGAGGAAGTCGGAATAGAAACGAGGGCAAGTGAGTTCTCTTGGGAACACCTAGTGTTTATGGCTGGGCAAGTTTTTGTCTAATGGAAGCAAAGGAGGTCTGAGACAGGATGACTATGAAAGGTCGGAGGTCCTTATATAATGCGAGCTTTGCAAACGAACTGGCCAGGCATGGTCGTCAGAACGCAAGGGAGACGCCATGCCATGCTTCCGGTGGGCTCGGCTGGAACAGCCAAGTTCTCGAATGCGGGCAACCGGCCAAATGCAGCGAATCAACAAACGAGACGTTTATGACCATGCCATGCAGTCCCGTCGCCGTCACAATGCAACCGGAAGCAAGGGCCATGAAGCCTGCTCCAGTACGGATACGTAGTGCGGTTGCATCACTCTTAAGGTGGCGCAGTTTGCTCCATGATGCTTCCGCCAGCCTCGCAAGGACACCCCCACATGTTGCGGAAGAGGCTGTTTAGGGCTGCTTCTGTCCGAAGCTTCCGAAAATAGAGGTGGCAAGCAATGGGGCCGTGAGCTGTTGTACACATAAAGGTACATGTACACAGTGCACATGCTCGAACTTGACCTGAGGCGAGCTGACCTCGTTTCTCAGGCAGAAACACACACGAACTCCAGCTTGTTGATTGTCCTTTGTGTCCAGGGGGTTTCTCAAAAGGTAAGGCGACAGTAAGGTGGGCATGCTTCACCTATCTTCTACTGTACCGCAGACGCAAGCAGAGGAAGCGCGGCGGCGGGGCCAATTGCAACTGTTCCTGCGCTAGGCGGACCGGGTAGGTCTTCCAACAGACCCGTTGGTTGAGCGGTACCACTTGTTAACATGGCCGTCAACTCTCTCCTAGTCTGACAACTTCCAAATGTCTTTTGGCTGGGGACCCGAATCAAATCAAGTCGGCCCGTTGAAACCAACGGGAAATTCGCAATTCCGTCCATCTTTCCGCGTCATCATCCGCTGCTACTTCGCGGCGCACTGTGCGGTGGAGCTTGGCCAGTAATGATGTCACTCAATCTGGCTGGATGAATGATCGGCCAATGTCGCAACCACCGCAGTCGAACCAACCAGTTTGCAATGCTCATGCCGCGCAAAGTCGCATACACCTGTTATGGTTGGATGGGCCAAGAATGTTCCGCAAGCAAACTACGCCTCAATCAGACCTCTCGGTAGGGCGAGATGCCTTTCTTGAGCTCGGCCACAATTTCTGCGGCATACTCGGCACTGCTCGTGACAAAGTCGTATCTCTTGCTCTCCGTCGACTTAAAAACAACCAGCTGTTTTGGCGATGTAAGCATCCGACCCCGACATATATGCAATGTCCCGTTTGAAACGCACCTTAAAGTTTGTTGGGTGTTTTCTCGAGACCTTGCAGCCAACCACATTGCTGAAGTGGACCGTCGTCGACTTGCCGTCGCCTTCAGCCAGCTTCCCGCCCGAGGCAGGCATGATGTGGATGTACTCGCCATCAATGGCGAGCAACTTTTCGGACAACAGCCGCATGGGCTGCTTGCGCCAGACTGTGTATTTCTTGTAGTTGGCGGCGACCCCAAGCTCGTCCTGCTTCAACACCTCCTTCGCCAGCGGGTGCGTGCCCAAAAGTTTGGACTTCTTCGTTTTTGTCCAGCTGGCGTTGTCGGTGAAGAGCTGCGGCCTTGGCGAGGAGCTGCTCAGCGATCCGGTCATAAGAGGGCCATCGGAAGCAAAGCGGCGCCTATAGAGATCCAAGTCGGTGACATTGCCGAGTGAGGCGACGGTTCGGTCGAGCAACACGACGGTTCCGGAATGCGGAAGCTTCAGCACATGATTGGCCTTATCTAGCTGCCGCTTCCTGCAGGCAATGTCGAGCACCTCGGCCAGCCAAGTGTCTGTGCTCACGTCCAGTGTGATCATCTGTCCTGGGGCGATATCCGAGGAATGAATGTGAATGCGCAAGAGCCTCTTCTCTCCGCGCGACTGCACATTTGCTGGTTGTGTCAACTGGGGAATGTCGGCGAATATCGTTGTATTCGCGCGGTACGCCGTGTTGAGGAGCGGATTCTCTCGTGGCTGGGCCGGGGGTGGGGGCATGCCATCGTCTGGTCGCGGGGTGCTGCGAGGCGTCGGGTCCTTGTCCTCCTCCGCCCCTGCCGGCTCTTGCTCAAACTGCGGCGTGCTACGTTTGTTCTCCTCGAACTCTCCTGGAGATGCCTGGACCAATGCGAAGACGTCGTAAACCCTCGAGTTCGAGCGGGATCGGCCAGCCTTATTGTTGGCCGTGGTAAACGAAATGAGGGCCTTCTTCCGTTCTAGGGGGGGGAAGTCGTCGTCGACCTCGCCATCTTCCTCGACCATGCGCAGCGTCCACCAATTCACATTCAGCTTGTCACTGGGGAGTGGCGGCTCCAGCTTCTCCTCGTTGTAGCGCCACAGGCTGAGTCCGATCAGATCAGCGACCGTCACGGGTCTGTCACCACCCTCGCCTTGATGGATGGTCCGTCGGATGAGTACCTCAAACGGCCGTGATGGCGTCTTGGAGAAAGGGGCATAAATTCGAAGCATGATGGGATTGGGGTCTCCCTGACCTGACAGCGAGGCAAAGCTGTCAAAGGGAAGGGCCGGTTTTGTCTTCTTCGCTCTTAGGGCGGCAGAGAGTAGACTCTTTGGCTGTACCATGCTGAGGGGCCGAATGGTGCTCATGGGCCGTGGCGGCGGCAGCTCTCCCACAGGTACATGCAGCGGAGGGGGTATGGCCGACTTGCGAATTGTGGATCGTCTTGTGAATTCCCGGGGAGGCGTTCCGACCACTTGGTCTCTTAAGGATGCATTCAGGGGGTTCTTGACAGCATCCAGGATTGACGCCGAGTCAATGCTCTCGATAAGGGCTAATGACATGTCTGATGCATCCGAGTCGTCTTCCTCTTCCTCTTCGAGCAGGTCGCTCGCCTGGCGTTTGACACCCTCGATCGGCTCGGTGTTGAGCTTGACGGATAACTTGGCGGCGCGGGCGGCGGCTGCCCGAGCGGCCTCTCGGTGCTTGTGAAATCCGGAGGCATCGAACTCGTTTTCGGAAGAAACCTCGCTGCTCGTCACGGTATCTCGCCGGGCCCTCTCCTTGACCGTCTCGAGGGCAGACTGAGACCCCCTCCGGGCAGCTGGCCGGGGTGACGACAGTGTGGTAGTCTGGCGGAGAGTCGATGATTGAGGAGGCGAAGAGCCGGAGCGGTTGCGTACGGGCATCTTGGCGAACTTGATTTGCTGAGCGGCACGCTGATCGGGCTCGTCGTCGCTCTCATCGCTGAGGTCGCTGCTGTCGTCCTCCTCCATCTGCTCCCGGCGGCGGCGACGCTTTGTTGCCATGCTGGGGCCAACAGTCTCGGCGACGCTTCCGGAAAACAAGGCGCCTTCTTCCCCTTCATCTTCGAGAGTCAAGCCGGGGCGGCGGGGTGCCTGGAAGTACTCCGAGGCCACCGCGGTGGGGATTGGAGGGGAGTGAGTTCGCTTGATGAGAGCCGGGTTTGTGCGCCATCCAGCAGCCTTGAAGGGGGCTGAGTTCAGGAAGCCCTCGTTCAGGGTGAACAGGCGCTCGCCGACGCCATCGGCGATGTCGTTGAGATAGCTGGTCCGCAGCTGGTACAAGACCAGACTAATTATATACAGTCAACACAAAATGAATCAGTTGTCAGGGGGCAGACAGCAGGCAGAACATACTCTTCGAGTTGGATGATCGACATGCCGACACCTCCAACACACCCCAATGTGTCAAGACTGATCGGTAAGTGGAAATACGCTGGGTAAATTCTGAACAGTGCAAGAGATATGGGATTTGTCTCCAGTCAGGATAGACAAGAAGACAAATGAGAAGCCCGTGGAGAATGAATCCAATCAATCGGTTGTCGCGGGGATCCCAGACAGTGCATCCATTAAACGCAGGAGACGTCTGGGGCCAAATGGGTCACTGTGTGAGCTTCGATCCAACCAGAGAGCCGAATCTCATAAAGACCACACCCTATGGGGATGGTAGACGACCTCTCTGATACCGGCGCAGTGTTGCGACATGGGAGTCGCTCGAAAGGTGTAAAGCCATATATCAATTGGCTTGTTCTGGTACGGGTAAGCAGCGAGGGTGGACGGGTGGAAGTCTGCACGGGACGCCGCCCCAGTCTTGGCAGACGACCTGACCCACTCTCGCGTTAGCCGCACCATCAATTTGGCTTGGCGCTGCTTCTGGGGCAACTTCTTCCAGACCGGCACGGAACAGAGTTTCGAAGCATCATACGGATACCAACTCCCGGGAACAACAACTAGACGATCGCAAGCATGGTATTAGTCGACTACTCCGACTCGGATTCCGAAACCGAGACTGTGCAGCAGAAGAAGCTCGCTCCCAGCGCCGCCGCAACATCCAAGAAACCCTTCCAGAAGCTCCTCGATCGATCCTCCGGCGCCGGCAAGATTGTCATCAACCTTCCGGCTGCAAGCGCAACCACCGATGCCGCCGTTGAGGATAGCCAACCACCAGCAAAGCGAGTGAAAACTGCTGGCGGAAGCAGATTCAGCAGTCTAGGCTCATTTCTGCCGCCACCCAAGAAGACAGCAACCTCCGCGCCAGCAGCACCAGGCAGGAAACAGGGCGTGGTGCCCGCCCCCGGCGTGCATCTGCGGACAGCTGCCGAGCCAGCATTTATTAGGGGCTGCCATGGCGATGATACTGCGGACGTTGATGGCGATGCATCGGCATGCTCGTCCTCTGGCCTGAACCTACCTGCGCCGAATTCCAAGGGCCCCGCAGGCCCATCGATACCCGAAGGTCAAAAGCCAGAAGAAGAGGTCAAGCTTGTCGGCAAACCGCTCATGTTCAAGCCGCTGTCAGTCGCGCGGAAGAAGGCACCGGCCAAGGCCAAGAAGAAAGACTTGGCGGCCGTCGTAACTCCTCCGATGCCAGGCGTAGCAGCATCTCAAACCAGCTTCACGGCTCCGCCTGCTGCATCCGCTACGACAGAAAGCCCAGAATTTCCGCCAAAGAAAAAGGTCTCCCTCTTCTCCATTGGCGACGACGAACCCGCGCCTACAACCTCCGTCACTACCGCACAAACAGGCACTTACGAACCCATGTTCACCTCGGTCCCCGAACCCGACCAAGAAGACGACGAAGAAAGCGCCGTAACATCCACCTACCCAACCTACCAGCAGCAACAGCAACAACAATCCAGCGTCCCCTCACAACACCATCAAGACCTCTCTTCCCTAGCCTCCACCCTCACTCCGGCAGCCCGGCGCGAACTCTTCGGCCGCTCCACCACCACCACCACCTCGTCATACTCATCAGTACTCCCGCCCAATGCAAAGGTGATAGAATTTGACATGGAGCGCGAGTACGAGCACAACGAGGCGGTGCGGGCGTCGGGCGCGCAGCAGGCGTATAACCCGGTGCGATCGATCGCGCCGGGCAAGCACAGCCTGCGGCAGGTGGTCAACATGGCGCAGAGTAACCAGGGCGCGCTCGAGGAGAGCTTCGCGAGGGCCAAGAGCAACAAGAAGGATGCGGCGGGGAGGTATGGTTGGTAGTAAGTGTTGAATATGAGCACACTTTCTGTTTGGGCGGGATGTATCAGGGAAGGGGGACGTTTGGAAAACAGGAGGGGAGGGGGTTGTGTGGATTTGACTGAGATACAGAGTGCGCTAGATGGAATGATACCCTGAATTGCATGTTTGAATTTGGGTTTCATATTGTATGTGGCGCCTTTTTTTTGGTTGAGGTAAAAAGCATGTAAATGCCAACAAAATACGGATCCGTATATACAAGTAAAAGTAGGGAGCAATCCAGTAGGATCTGCTAGCTGAGTGACGGGACTAGGTTCGGTCCGTCCCCTCGGTATTCGAGGTACCACTTGTTGTCCCCTCCAAACTTTCTCCATTGGTCAACATCCACTCTCTAGGACACCCACCCCAACGGATCCGTCAACACGTCTCGACCCTTGCGGTCTTCCCTTTCCCAAACATCAACAATCCCCACTCGCCCCTCGTAATCGGCGAGATGTCATCGTACCCATTCGGCGTCATCGGCCCGATCCTCTCGTCGCGTTGCTGCGGTTGAAGATGGCGTTCTCCCGTGTGCTTCTCATCACTGTCACTATGACGAGAATAACGGCCCCCGCCGTTTACAATCTCGTCTATGGAAATGCCGTTGTTATTGTTGTTGTTCTTGTTCATGGTGGCTGACCAACGCACACTGGCAAACGACTTGATGGCGCTGTGCGGCCGGGCCGTGAGCTGTTCTTCCTCTTCTTCTTGGATTTCCAGCCCGGCTGTCTCTGTTTCCGGCCGCTGCTGCTTTGGGATGGAATGCGTTTTGTTGCTGCCGACGGTCGGCTTGTTAAAGGTCGTTTGAAGCTTCAAGGCGACTGCGCGGCGTGGAGGTGCCGGACGCAGTTTGGGGGTTGTGCGGCGCATTTCTTCCAGACTGAGCTCCTCTGGATGACTCCAGGGTCTGTCTTTCCAGGTGGCGGTCGTTGGCGGTGGCGGAGGTGGCGATGATGGCTCGGGTGGTATCACGTCTACGGCTGTGGCGCTAGACGGATGGGAGCGCAGGGGATGGATCTCGCCGGCTGGCACGTTGTTCTGGCTTTGAATCTCGCGGTACCATTTCTCGACTTCGTCGAGCTCCAAGTGGTCTTCCAAGCTAAGGTCGGCGGTGGCGAGCAGGACCTCCTTTTCCAGGGCGTCAGTCAAATCGAGAATGGGAGTTTTGGATTGCGAGTCTTCTTCTTTTTCCTCAGGGTGCGGAGAATAATCAGCACCTCGGCTGCCCTGCAATGACACTCCTTTCCTTCTCGCAAGCGACTGCTCCATATCGCCAAAATTCCGGTTTCCCTCGGCAAGCGGCCACGCCGGCACAGGGTCGACATCGTTCTCGACCCCACTCTCCTTTTCAATCCCGCCGTACGCTCTTTCATACATGCGGCAGACGTCAGCCAAAGCAGCATCGTTGACGGGATCGAGCCAACGGTATGCAGCCAACAGGGCGCTCTTGCGAACTGCCCGGCGACCGTTGGCGAGGAACAGGCGGCGGAGCTCGTCGACAGCATCTTCAAGGCGGCAGGATGCTTTTGTGCGCGCATAGGCTTGCAGAGCGGTACGAAAGGTATACAAGTGGTCAAGTGACAGAAGTGTGAGGTGCTCTGATGAGAAGAGAGACTCGTGTTGGGCGGTTGATTTCAAAACCAAATCGACTGGCAGTCCAAGTGTGGAGTGTGAGACAGCTTGAGGAAGCCAGCTGGGACTGCAAAACAGCGAATTAGTTATGCACTCAGGTAATCAATGCCTCGAGTCGCGAGCCCTACCCTAGCTTGAACTTCTTTGCCGCCTTCTCCAGTGCTTGTGACAGAGCCTTCTCGTCCCGCGGGCTCAAGGGGTGAGCATAAACGAGTTTGATACCGAACTGGGTCGAGGGTTGTGGTCCTAATTGAGAAACTGCGTTGGTTCCATGTGTCCCGGAAACCGAAGACGCCACGGTATACGGGGTTGCCGGCGTCAGAGGCACGCTTCCGTATGCGGTTGGGCTGCCCGGCCAGCGAAGCCGGTGGCTAAATGTTGAATTGGCGGTGGACACAGAGGAGACTGTGGAAGCCGAGAATGTTGAGGCCTCGCTGAAAGCCGGAGACGCGGTGCCATTGCGGGCCTGATCCAGGTGGACATGAACTATCCTCTCCCGTGTTTGTCCTTCCCCGGCGTTGTTCAGCCGGACGAGCTGCTTCAGGGCTTCTATCCTCGAAGTCGTTGGGAAGGCAGTCCTCGAAGGTGTGCTGGCCGCCGAGACGGGGGGTGATCCGGGAGTGAAGGTTGGGGACGCAATCGGCGAGGTCAGCAGCTGATAGTCTCGGCGAACAACAAGGAGAGTAATGTGTGCTGCTTTCCTCCCTAGCCGCTGGGATGCATATTCCAGTGCGTCGTTGACATGACCCGGGAGGTGGTGGCCCTCAGCAACTGACGGCCCAGCTTCGAGCGGCGAAGAGATGATGCGCCCTCTGAGACATGGGGAGGAAGCCATGGTGCCCGGGGGTTGACTAGCTGCTTGCTGGTCCACTGACTGTCAGGAATCGTCAAGCCCAGAGAGAGAGGCCAGGGAATGAGATAATGAAGCCCAGCAAACGGCTCCGAGCCGAGTCCAAAGAGAGAGACAGTTGGTCGGGCGTGGTGGTGGCTGACAACGTCAAAGCCTTGGGCACAATGCTTCAAGATGGAGACACAGGGCAAACATAGAAGGATATAAATGAAGTCCCCTGCACACCATGTGGCATGTCGTATGCGAGGCCTTGTTTCAAGACCCGGTGCGGGGACGGGAAACACACAAGCAATGTTTCCAAACAAGGAGCGAAGACAATGCCGGCTCGGAATGAAAGGGGTATGTGATGGCAGGGCTTAGAGACTGATAAAAAAAGACTGGGCGGCTATCAGCTATGACGGAAGAGAACATACAAGAAAGATGAAACAAGACACCCTCCGCGATGCCTGCGTTTCAAGTCGTAGCACGGGCTCCAATGTCCGTCCTGACGGGTCAGCCCAAAATAAGAGGCATCTCGTAGCGTGTTATTGTGCGGTGTGCACAAGTCGCGGTTGGCCATGGCCACGGCCACCTCATGCTTTGGCAACGGGGGGCTTCATGCAAGCTGTGGGATGTGTGATGAGGTCCCGGGAAAGGAAGAAGCCTCTGCAATAGCGGGGCATCCGACAAGGGTAGGTCGTCACGGCGAGGCCTGTGGGTGACCAGGCCGTAAACCAGCGACCAGCCCCGCATGGCCATCTGAAAGTTGAAGATGCAGCCTCATTGTGAAAGCAGCGCTGGTGAGAGTCTCTAAGGAATCTCTAACGAGGCGAATTGAACCCCTTGTGGCAACGCAGATATCTCTCTTCACCATGACATCTCGACAATGAAAGTTGGAGACAGCCATCAGCAAAGAGAAGACAACTTTGCATCCATTCGGCGGAGATGTCAGACAGTTCCTGCCCAACTCTGCAGAAACAAAGGAAAAGCGATCAAAAGAAGAAGTCGGCGGTTAGATCCCTGCGCTTGGCTGCCGATTATTCTAGGGCCCACTTCGTTGAGCCTATCAAATGATTCAGATCACGCGGGCTGCCGGAGCACTGACCACCGGCTAAGGTAAGCTTCTTCTTCGAGCCTCGTCAGGGAAGCCAATCAGGTCACCGGGCGTCTAAAACGCACCCCACACATCGCCAAGAGCCAACAACATGATAGCACAAAGGGACGTTTATTTTTGGTAGCTCCTTTCTTATGTCCACCAACTCACATCAACAATTGGTCACGTTGCTTGAAGCTCTGTGAGGGATCGGATATGACAGATGCAATTCACGATCTCAACCACTCAACTCGACCTCTACCCAAGGACGGAAAGGACCCCACAACCACCTCAGCTTACCAGTACTTGCTGTGTGATTTCGGGACATGAAAAGCCAGCCAAGAGGACAGAAAAGAAGGCTGACGACAAGCTCTTACTCGCAGTCAAGGGACGGTGGCCTCTGTAGCAACTGCAAGTGCCATATTTTTTATGAGTCGATGCTGAATAGAGCCAACTGCCTGGAAATGCCTCACCAAGACCTACAAGACCCCTGAACAAACCGAAAACCAAGAGATGCCAAAAACCCAGCATTGAAGGAAAGATGGCCTATGTCAGTCAAGCCGCGCCTTTCATGCCTAGCAGCCGCTCATCTATGACAGCTCCCCCAAAAACCGTGCAATCTAACAAGCGATACAATGAATGACCCGACGAAAACCAGTCGGCCAGCCTCCAGACCGTTCCTCTATCCGTCTCGAGAGCCTTTTCCCCGTTCAAGAAAACTGAGCAGATCTTTGCTTGTCGGCAGTTTTGATAAAAGGCAATTCGCGAACAAGTACTCAATGTGCCCCAGATCCGGAGATCCCAGTTTGTCTCCCAGACGCCGGCGCCATAAGCACAAACAACGCCTTTCAGTTTGGTGCTGTCATTCCCGCACCCAATGCGCCCCAATGACTGAAACCCCCTGTTCGGTGAAGAGCAAAAAAAAAAGGAAAAAGGAGAAAGGAAAAAGAAAAAAGGAAAGAAAGAAAAAGGAAAAAAAGATTGTCGGCCTTGTTCCCGTTGGCCGTCGTCGTGATTTCATGGCGTCATCATGTTCATGTGCACTTCTCAATCTCATTTCTTGCACGTCTCCAGCCGTCGTGCCGCCTCTAAAGTCGCCCGGCAGGCCAGAAACAGCGATGAGTTGTCTTACTCCGCAGAGACCCTGTCATCAGCCGGCCGTGTTGCTAGACGCGACGCTGGAGTCGTCGCTATAATACATTCCCGAGCCGTCTTCCTCCAGTTCGTCGACGACGGTGAGTCGGGCCAGCGAGTCCAGGACGTCTATATCACTGTCAGCCCTGCTTGTTGGGAGACTAAGGGGGGAACTTGTCGACTACTTACTCTGGCTGAGCTGCATGAACAGTTGCGCCTCGTCATCTTCCGACGGTTCCTTCAAGTTGAAGTACTTAGCGCAGGTCCTGATCACTCTCTGCAGGCCCCCGACAGCGCGCTCTGTCACCTCGGCATTGCGGACCACGTAGTTATCGCGAAGAAACCCAAGACACCTGAATCCAAGCGCTCTGGCCGTCAGCCTCATCTTCTCGGCCAGCTCCCGTGCCTCTTCGGGCTCGTCGTCGCGGGGTGGCCGGAAACTGCGGTACATAAATATCTTCTCCTGCAGAAACTGCTCAGTCCCTTCGATGACTGAGGTATCAAAGTAGCCCAGCAAGCCGGGAGCCCACTCGGGCACCATGTCGAGCCCAGCCATTATGACTTGATGCACCGTCTCTCCCGACCTCTGCCTACCATCGTCAAAGGTCTCGCGCCAAAATTCCAGGAACGCCTTGCCCTCAGTATTTTGCAAGCACGAACACTGTTGCGCGGTGTGCTTAACCAAGTCGCCGATCATGCCCGCGTCACTTGCGACGACGCAGAACACCGACGAGGCCACGCGCAGGTATGGTGAGACGCTGTGGCCAATCTGCCCGGTTATCCGGTGCAAAAGGGTGTGGAACACGGCAATCTCCATCTGGCGGCTTTGCTTCATCAGACTGGAAACGATCGAATAGCTCGCCGCTGGGTTCTGGTCGATTGAGATGAGTTTATCCACGAAGGTGTTGACTGGTATCGTGCGAGGGCCAGTGTGATGCAGAATGTCCGCCTCTGCTCTCGTGACCTCAAATGGCTCGTCCAGATCCGCGCTGAGCCTGACTCGCTCTTTGGCGTTGGGTGCACCAGTAGGCTGGCCGCCAGCGCTGTAAGCCAGCCGCACGTTCACAAGCAGATAGTCCAAGAGCGCGATGATGGATTCGTACGACGGGGGTCGGTTTGGCAGTCTCCTCGCGACCGCAGCAACCATTTTGGCGAACTGAACCGAGATGAATGGCTCGGCACTTGTGTCTGCCCACACGATCCACAACAGCCACTTGAGAAATTGCGTGTGCCGCAAGAAGGCTGCCAGCTCGTGGCGCCCCAGCTTGACGAAAGCCAACATGAAGTTGAAAACTTCGGGCCATGAGCGCAGGTGCGCGTGGAAAGATTGCCACAGAATCTCAAGCATCCGGATCACGCCGTCGATAACTGACGGTTGAGGCTCGAAACCGTCCGATTCGTCCCCGTCATCGGCTTCCACGGGCGGAATACCGTACTGCGCCGGCACTCGTTCTTTGATCACCTCGAGTACCCGGATTATGAGGTTTGCGGTTCCTTGCCGAACATCCTCGTCCAGGTTCCGTTGTAGAAGCGATCGGATAACAATTGGGTACCCGCTCAAGTAGCTATGGACAGCAAGGCTGCAGCGAGGGCAGCTCTCACACATGGCTTGAATCCGACCGAGGAGGATATGGAAGTCCGGAACATCCTTTGTTCGCGACGCAACCTGGTCCAGATGGCCAAGAGCCATGACAAGCGCGTGCGTCTCCAGGGTATGGTCGCGTGAACATCCACCCGATTGCAAGTTCTTCAGCTGGAAGAGAGCCAGGCAGACGAACTGAATCTGCGAAGGGTCGAACAGGCAATGCCTCCGGAGCAGATGGTTGTTCTCCTCGTCGATGTAATCCTGTATGTCCTCTGGCATCTTGACGCCGAACGGGACGGAACGTCCGGGACGCTGTAGAAGCTCTTGACTCTTGGCCAGAGAAGATGACCTTTGGTAGAAGAGCATGTAGGCGCTGTACTGCTTCTCGAAAACTGCGCTTCCTGGTTGGAACTGCGGCTGATAATCAGGACCTCCGAAGCACGAGTTTGCCATCAATTCTGGATTCCATGGGCTAACTGTCTCATCGTTGAATTCGACCCATGTTGGCGCCCCGCCGTCGGTTGGGCGCTCCCGGACGTACGAGTAGTAATGCCCTGATTCTGCCGTTCCAGTATGAACGAGGACGCCGACAAGTTCAAAGACGTCTTCTAAAATTTCTTCAGTGGGGTTGCTCAGATGATTGATCGTGTAAGGCCCCATATCAATTTTGTCGGGGAATGCGAAATAGTCGTTGATCTTGCTCCGCTGCATCGTCCGCAAGTTGAAGTCGAAGCGCTTCAGGTGGAAGATGAGGTTGTCTGGGATATCTTTGAGACAAGTCCTCTTGACTGCGTCGACGTGGCGATCGCAAGTGGAACACTTGTACTTGTTGTCGCCTTCCATGATCTCGCCATCGACGTAGGCCTGAAGGCTTTCTTGTAGCGAGCTCTTGCCTTTGATGTCACATTGAATTGCCGAGAAAGGCTCAAGCCTCTCGGAGACGTGCTCGCATTCCTGGGAGCGGACTTGCTGGACCAGCTGGCCACCGTAGAACAAACGGAAGCGATTCTTCTCCTCGCTTGTTAGAAACTGCCCTTCCCAACGATCAAATAGGAGATTGTAGAACTCATCGACGTCCATCTGAATGACGACGTCGATCTGCGTATCTTCGTAAGTTTTGATGCTGGCAACACACTCATCAGGGCTGATGAAGGGCCGGACACTATCCTGCATGAAAGAGAAAAGCTTCTGCGTCTGCCACAAGAGACATTGGCTGTAGTTTCGGTCCCGGACGGTGGCTCCAAGCATGAACTCGCGGAAGTCGACGTTCATGAACAGTTGGCTCACCAGGGAGTTGAAATAGCAGGTGTTGGAGAGATTTCTGAGACCAGCGTAGCCGCACGGAGCCCTGATGGCCTTGGCCCTCTCGAACTGCTGAGGAAGTTCGTACGCATAGGGATCCCCTACCAAGAAGGGTCAGCAAGTGTCTCGTATCAGTCACCGTCAGAACAGCGCCACTAACCTTCTTGCTCGGAGTAGACCGGGACCAAGTCACCCATGTCCTCAAGGAGCCACATGAATTGGGTTGGATCATCCTTGACCAGCGTGAAAATGATCTCCATAAGCCAACCTCGGGTTTGAGGACATGCAATCGGGCGGGCGTGCCCTACTCGTCTAGCCCCATCTTCACGGCGCGGGAAGAGGTGCTTCCAGAAGATCCTTCGGCCAACTCCGCTCACTGGTAAGATGTCTCGGCCAATTCGCTCACTGATCGTGCAAGTAATGTAGTGGAGAAGTCGTATAAAGCCGGCCGCAACAACGTCAATTTCAGCAGGCCTAGTCAAGTCCTCGGATGTCGTGTAGCTGAGGAGCAGGCTGAACCATTCATGGGAGAGGTCCTTGAGATTGAGCGTTCTGGGCTGCGCTTCTTCAAGCGTCTGGAGCATGTCAAAGCTGAGTTCGAGAATCTCAGCCGAGTTACTGCGGTTTGCGACGGCTGCCTTGACGAGTCGGGAGACCACTGGCCAAAACAAGTCCCTAAATCTTGCAACTACCGGCGACGCCTCTTCTGCATTCTCGTCCTCAGCGACTGTGCCAGTCTTCTGCCGAATGAGAAGTGCACAGTTTTGCCTGACTGAGGCCCGCGGATCACGGAGAAGAAGATTTCCAAGCATGCCTGGGACTTCCGGGTGGGAGGCGAAGGCCGACATGAAGATGTCGCTCGCGGAGCAGGACTCCAGAATACCCCGAAGGCAGAGGGTCACATGCTTCGTAGCCTTCTTCTGACAGTTTGCTGCGATACCCATCGAAAGGATAGCTAGGAGGCGATCCAACAAGGGCGCGGTGAGAGACTCAGTCGCAGACGTCGGTAGTTCTGGATCTCCAAGAAGAGACACAAGCAATTCCACGAGCGCAGAACCAAGTTGAATCTGTAGCTCCTGGTTCGGGCATTGTGCAACAACCTGAGGGTCCAGTATTGCCGTGACGACAAGGGACAGGGCGCGGAGCAGGAAAGGTGCACGCGGACTAGGGTTCCCCTCTGGGTCAGGTGTCGAGTCTTCGTTCCCAGAGGCAGCGGAGCTCGGCCTGGAGAATCCGAGATACTCGTGAAGCGCATGGACGGCATAAAGGGACTTGAATGGTTGACCCAGAGGAAAAGTGGTGGCATAGCCGAGCGAGGGGCTATTGATGGCTTCCAGTACCTTCTCATCCGCAGGGAGCTTGACCAAGAAGCCGTAAATCTGCAGATCCTGCCGTCAGTGTCACGGTTCGGAAGGGTGTCATTTCAACAGCATATCTTACCTCGCGAGCGAGCTTCTCATCCATTGAAAAGTATTCCCATAACTGATCGAAGTGGCTCAGGATTTCAATCTCCACAGGTGATGCACCCTGCGGCACCCTTGGTGAAGCTGGGGCCTCTAGCTCCCTTTTGACAAGGATGATGCCATTATGAATCTGTAAGTCCTCAAGAGATTTGCAGATGTCGCTTTCCTGTGGAACGAAGGGCCTCCCTCGGTAGTAAATTCGATAGCTTTCGAATCCGGTGGCTTCTCGCAGGCTTGCTAGCAGCGACGCGGCCGTGTTGCGCTTGCCAATGTTCAACGGCATGACCGTCGTCTGCGTGTCGCCGTCAAATGATTGGTACTTGAGCTCTGCCGACTCACCCTCCACATCCTTTGGGGATTCCAGGACAAGCGACCTAATGTCCGGCGCCGAAAACTCGGGTTTGGCTTGGTGCAGGTGATGAAACTCTCTCAGCACTGCCAAGGAGCGGATGAACAACAACTCCTGATCATGGACCTGCTCGTCGGTGGTGGTCACGACCATGGAGTCGTCATCGCCGCTGACAACCCCATCAGCGAAGTCTTTCAGCTTTTGCGCCGCCGAAGAGAGCTGGCGAAGGCACCGGTCAACAAGGGCTAAGTGCACTTTGCGGGCCCGGTAGAGCGAAAACGACTGAATGGAGCGGCTCTCGATGTAGACATCCCTGACCAGAGCATGAATTGCCAATTTCTCGACCGTGCCCGTTGGCGCAGTCAGAGCAATCCGCCACAACATCTCGATCCCTGGGTGCTTGGGGTTGTCGTCGTCGTCGAGGACGATGCTGCTGGGATCATTCACCAGCGGCATAACGCCCTCGCGAACGAAATCAAGGGAACCCTGACAGAACAGCTTGGGGTCCAGCGATGGCAGATACTCGGTAAAGCATGTCGATGCAAAGGGATTCTCGCCCTGACTCCGCTTCATTGCCACGGTAAGAATTTGCCAGGCGGCATCCCGATCCTCCTTGCAGGCTGCTTCCGCGCCAACCAGCAAATGCCAAAGTTTCCTCCCCAGCTCTTTTGTGATGGATTCAGGCTCGTGAAATATCAGGGCCGTAAGAAGATCTTTCCGAGGGCCGTTCTGGGGCCCGCTGATGACGGCCGAGAAGCCTGCAGCCTTCGCAGCGGGAACAGCAGCAGCGAGCTCTTCGATCAACAGCCTGGTCAGGTCATGTTCGGAAGTCAGCTCATGCAGGTCGCGAAGATTATAGAAACGGGTCGCCATTTTCAGGACCCAAAGGCTTCCAATTGTGGACGGTGACCGGCTCGCAATTTCGCTCAAGCAGCCGCGATAGATCCTCCAACGACCCTCCTGATCAGGCCCGTGATTCAGAATGCTGTCAAACTTCTGTACTGCGAACTGCTGAATGTCAGGATACGCAACTGGCGACTGGGACCCCAAGCATGAGGACTGGCGGATGAGGCGAATGCACAGATCAAACGGGGCAGAGTTGGTGAGGAGGCACTCCTGAAATCGACTGAGGATCTGCTTCAACACCTGGTCGCAGAACTCTCGAGTGCTTAAACCAAAGACTTCCACAGGTACCGTGTTCAGCTTCTCGCAGAAATACAGCAGTGATTCCTGCGAGAAGAGGTTGGCGATGCGGCCGATCATGCGGATGAGCGCATCTGATACCCGTGGATCCTGCGTCGACGTAACCGTCTGCCACAGGGCATCGGTATGCGCGCGTGAGTATGTATTGGACACCACCAGGAATCCAATGACATTGCTACTCTCCAGCGTTATCTCTGGGTGACAAGTCGGGCCTAAGATGTAGTTGACCAAGCCTGTGCTAAGGAGGAAGTCGGAGATGTAGTGCAAGAGAGCGGCAGTCGTCTCGTCGCCTGCCGTCTCGGCGTGCTTCCGGTACAAGGCCACCAGATCGCTACACATGGTGCTCACGGCCATGACACGCAGCTGCATCTGGCCGGACTTGATGAGTTTGACGAAGTGAGTAAACCTCCAATGGTACGCCATTGCCTCGGGCACGTGATGCGCGGCGATGGGTGGGTGAGCCTGCAGATGTTGGTTGATGGTTGCCGTAGGGACCACACCACTTGTCGCAAGACACGTTTGATACGTCTCTGTCAGCCCTTCGATCAGGTTTCCCGCGCCATCAGGCGATAGCTGGTTTAGGCTCTTGTCGACCATGTCTGATAGCATGGCAGACATGGTGGTAAAGAAACTGTACATGCGAGTAATGTTGCGCCTCGCCACCTCGGTAACCTGCTGACCGGGGTAATGCGCTTTCCGAAAGCCGTACTTCAAGACGTTTCCCGCGATGAGGCATAGATTACCGAGGTGCTCCGTGACCACCTTAGGGAACTGTGACACGAGACGTAGCTCAGCCATGGCCAGTTGTCTGATATTGACGAGAGAGCCTCCCTGGGCGGGCGGGAAGTGCTGAAACGTGTCGAGAATCGCGGCAATCTCGGCGCCATAGCTCCAATCATCCTCCTCGCTGCGCAGATGCGAGGCATGCCAAGTCACCTCTTCTCGGCGTGTAAGCGAACCGAGCGCGTAGAGGTAGGTTGGAGAAGCAAGGGACTGCAAGCGCTCCTGGTCGGACAAGGCTGGGTTCCGGAAAGCTCGAAGGTCAAACTCGACGAAGAAGGCCGTCAACTGGGCAAACGACCTGTAAAACGCAAAGATGTCTTGCCGCAAGTCCTTGGACCGTGGGTACACAGACCTACGACCGAGGTTAGTCCTGGCACAACGCTTGCGTTCCAAAAGGCCGACTAACTTTCGATTGACCATGTGAAGGACCAACTGGGGCACTGCCTGCCACATCTCCCGGTAATTGAAGTAGGATTCCTCAACGGCGCGCGGAGCAGCAGTCTTGACGTAGTCGAGATACTTGTCTATCCACTCGATGAAGGCGCGGGACACCTGTTCGTCTGAGACATGCACAGTTAGTGTTGACCGTTGACCGTCGACAGTCGAATAAGGAGGCGCTGAAGTGCACTTACGGGTTGGCAAATATTGCAATAACCGGATGACGGTTTCCAGATATGACTCCGTGACATCGTGGAAGGGGAATGAGATAGTAGGATCATATGTCAGAGACCGGCCAGACTCATCCAACATGGTGATTGAATCGTCATCGTCGAAATCGGCGTCGTCCTCCCCGCTCACCGAGACAATCTCAATTGGTGGGCTGCCGCTCTCTGAGCTCGACGGCATCGGAACGTCGATTGCTGTGCCGTTTGGCGACATGACCACCCCGGATCCCTCTAGGCTAGTGTGGCGGGCATCGGTAGGTGATTCGGCAGGCGGCGGGGTAGCACCCGTCGGGGAGGGTGACGGTGCCGACGAAGGGATCTGACCGGGCGGGCGCGATGGAGTCCGCACATTTATGGTAACGCGGCTGGAGCGGGGTTCTGAAGCTGGCTCATTGTCGAGATGCTGACGTTGTTCGGGGGTAGAAGGTATGCTGAGGTCCGAGTCAATCTTCATGGCAGAATCGTTCTGCAGGTCGGGAGCCGACGTGCCGGCAACAGGTGAGCTCGGAGGAAAATCGAGAGTTTCAGCCGAGCGGCTTCGGGATCCGCTGGTCAAAGATGTGCGGCGACGCTTCCGGGCTAGCTCGCTGTCGTCGAAGGGATTGGGCCGGGTTGAGCAAGGCTCGGAGGAGACAGTGCGATCTCTCGACAGGTCGGCTGCCGAAGCTTGAGCCATCGGGCTTGTGCAAAGACAAATTCTGGGGTAGGCGGTCTTAGCTCCGCAGACGGGTGAGCACCGCTCGGGGAGGCTCAGTGGCAGCTTCTTGGTCTCGCAGTCGTTAGCATGCGGTGGTGGTGTTTTGTGATAGGTGCATGTCCAATAAGGTGGGGGTGGATGCTTGGGTTGTGCCAGAGAAAATGCACTGGCAGACTCGGCAGCCTGCCAAAGCTCAAAACCCAGGCTCCGCTTTGGAGAGCTCCAGCTGGACACGTAGCCGAAGATCAAGTGATAAGGGAACGAAGGTAGACACGAAGCCAGCTACAGAAAGACAAAGAGCTAGCAAAGCCAAGCTCGCTGATGAGGTGAACACTTGGATGGATGGCTTACAATCCCTTGTCCGTGTGGTGCTGGGGTAAGGATTCATGTGCAAGGTGAAGGTGGGGAGTGCGGAGGTATTGACAGGGTGAGCTCCGTCGCATGGAATCACAACCGTGATTTGTATGCAGCAGGCTCCAAGCTCCCGTCCAGGCGAAGAGGAGTGGTAGTGACTCTGTGGAATGGCGAGTGGCGGATCGAACAAGATAAACTTACTGAGTGCTAGGTATGTGCAGTAAACACAGGGAAGAAGAGTAAGCTCTGCCAAGACCACAGAATATATGTTCTGCTGCTGAGGACTGAGGATGGCCTAGAACTGGCCGGCGTATGATTTTTGGTCTGCGGGTCCAAAGATGGAGAATGGGAAGAACTCGTCGTACTGTGGGGCGTGAAGCTAAGTTGAAATGCGGGGTAGGGGTAGCACTAGAGATTAGCGTGCCTGATCAGTAGGTACGGAGTATCTGCAAGCCCATTAAAGTATTACCAACCTGGGTTATTTGGCGCTTTAGGATTCTGGTTATCCAGCTGGTGGGAATTTGGCACTTACTGCCCTAGTAGGCCGTGGTAGGTGAGTCGGCGTAAGTGGGATGACAGGTGTCAGGATTCCATGGATGGCTGAGGTGTTGAAGCACTTTTCAATTCTCATCTAGCTCTAGACTGGCTCCCGTATGAGGGTGCAACTTGAAGACCTGCCCAGGAAAGTTCAGTGGCATTGATAACGTGCTTTGCAATGACGTCTATGCAGCTGAACAATTCTGCAGCACACTGCACTGACTGCGGGTGTTTCAGCCCTACCAAAGTAGTGTACAGCCAGGCCGGCTCCACAACACGTGGGAAAACAGGTGGAGGCAAAGAGAAATACGAACGACTTCCCATGGGCGCCTTCACTTGCTCCCTTCCATTGTTCCATCCTGTGGCCTAGGAACTCTTATACCACCATCATGAGTGGGCATGTAACAAAAAAGCCAGGTCATCTTTTACTGTGCCATCTACATTAGTTTTTTGCGGTTTGAACTCACAGCTCACCTACCCCTCCGATCATGTGGTTGACACCGGTGTGTCTTTATCAGCGCACCGCGGTACAGTACACAAGAAATTTTGGTCCAGGTCCACCCAACGGGCGGACAAGGGTGGCTTTTTCCAACTGAAGGCATTCACAAATCCTCGGGCTCAAACCACAGGATTGCCCGTTTCAAGAAGGTCAGAACCATCATTCCGAAGGGGCGAGAGCACAGAAACAGCCAGCAGTTTCAGTGACCGAGGTCACTTCCAAGCAGCAAGCCAGTGAACAGCAGTCAAGCTTCGATACCTTATCTCCGCAACCAGCCAGCCTCAAGTTTATTTGATAAGTCTTGTAGTGGATTCAGAATCACCACCGGCTGGTTCTAGTAAGTTGGTTGCAATAAGCTATCTTTCAGAACCGTGGCGGCGAGACCTGGTCAGACCAGCTGCAATGGAGCGTAAAAAGATCGTGCACACATTGGACACGCCTTACTCCGTCATCACATGGTCAGTCCGCCACTCAGAACCCGACATCTACTGTGCACGGGCTATGCTAACCGCCACGGAAAGGCCGCGGATCAGTCAGGACGACCAAGATGCTATCCTAGAGCTCCTCTGCCAGTAAGCGCAACCCGGCCTCCCCCAACCAGCCCCGTTTTCTTGACGCCAACATGCATGTGCAGGCTTTTGGCTCCTCTCGGGTTGTATCGAAGAACTTTCATCACCCCTTCCAAAGGCAAACGGAAGCGGTTCAACAATGACCCAAGCTCGGAGACCCCGGCATCATCAACACAAGCTCCTCCGGTCCCTCCCCCGCCAGAATTGGCCGCCCATGTTGACGTAGGGCTCTCGGCTATCTCCCGTACGTTGCAAGCCATGTCTGGCAAGAATGAAGCCGGGCCGTCATCAATAGACGCGCCAGCTAAGCGCGGAAAATCAGACTCTAAACCAAACGCCAAGCCTTATACCGTCGTCTTCGTGGCCCGCTCAGGACAATCTCCGGCGTTCAACTGCCATTTCCCTCAAATGGTAGCCGTGGCTGCTCAGTCACAGTTGGCGGACAAAGCCATCAGGTTAGTCGGCTTCTCCAAGGCCTGCGAGGATCGGCTGAGCGCGGCGCTCGGCATCCCCCGGGTCTCCAGCATCGCTCTGCGGGAGGACGCTCCGCAGGCTAAAGGGCTCGTTGATTTTGTGCGCGAGCACGTGGCCCCGATTGAGGTCCCCTGGCTTCAAGAGGCTCAATCTGGGAGGTTTCTCGAGACTAAGATTGATGCTGTCGCTACAAAGGTCGGGACCAAGAAGCCGAAACCCTCGTGACAGAGAGCGGGGTGGGATTGTTCTGACGTTCAACGACTGGCGCCACTGTCTCCTGGGCGTGTTAGGCGGCATGTGGTAGCATTATGAACAAACAGACGCCAGGATAAGGCATGAGATAGCGTTGCTTTATGCGCATACCCGTTGGCGGTGTGCAACACGCTCCCGAAAGTACTTTCGCCGTGGTCTGACCCCCAGTTGCCCTGCTGCTGAGAAGCAGCTCCCACATGGTGATGCATGGAGTGTTACTGACGCCCGGCGTCATAGAGCGTGTGTGGTCCAACGACGCCTGGAAGAAGAGAATAACGTCTATAGTTGTCTAAAACCTCCACTTTTCGTGGATATCAATTCATTATTTTGTGGCCGAGAACCCCCAACGCCCACCACCCATCCAGAGACCATTACACTAAACTCAGCCTACGTATGCTTCAGTCTCCCCCACAACCCCGCCCCTTCCCGTCAAAACCGACTGATACCCCTCCCGAAGAGCCACGAAATCATCCAATAAATCGGCACGAGAATCTTGTTGCGTACCGACATGCTCTTGGTGAGGTAGGCCCCGCGCCAGACGACCCACGCAACCCACCCCCGGAGCGCGTCGACCTCGCTCTGGTGGATGGCCTTCCAGTTGCCGAGGTACGTCAGCGTCCCCCAGTTGCGAAACCGGAACGCCCTGCTGGCGACCGCCTCGGCCCCGCCCGCGTTGAGCCGCCGCGCCAGGTGTGTCGCCTGCTGCGACGCCACCTGCGCAGTTTTCGGTAGGGAAGGCTCGTTTTCCATGACCGCGCAGTCACCGATCACGTAGACGTCTTCGAGGATGCTGCGTTTGGGTTCGGAGCTGGCTTCAGTAGGTGCGGTGGAGGTGAGTGCGCGGAGGTGCGGGTCCGTCATGATGCCGCCGGTTCGGGAGTCTCGGAGGAGGTGGCGGGTTGTGGAAGAGGCGTTGGAGGGGGGGTTGGGGCCCGGGGAGGCGAGTTGTTTTGCCGCGAGCTCGGCGATCAGCGGGTTGGCCATGAGCCCGGTGCTCCAGACTACCAGGCCCGCGCCGACCTCTTCGTCGCCGTACTCCCTGATTCTGATCTTGAGCGCGCCGTGGCGGCGCCCCAACTCGCCGTCGGCAAGGCGGAGTCGCTCCAGATGGTGCTCGGTTTTCACCTGGATGTTCTGCCGCGAAAACGTGTCCATGGCGTACTTCGCCAGCGCCTGGTCGAACATAGGGAGGACCTTGGGCGCCACGTCGTAGACAGTGATGCTAACCAGGGACATCAGATGAGGATACAAGGGCGCGAGATCGTCGCGGATGAGGTCATGCAACTCAGCGGCAAACTCTATGCCGGTGGGCCCTCCGCCCACGATGGCAAAATGCAGAAGCTGCCGCTTGTCGGCATCGCTGAGATGGTCAGACCCCTGAGGGTATGAGCATTGCTCAAAGAGCGAAAGAATGCGCAAGCGGATGCGCCGCGCGTCGCCAATGTCACGCAGGAAGTGGGCGTGCTCGCGGACGCCTTCAATGCCGAAAGTTTGGCTGTAAGCGCCACAGGCAATTACAAGCTTGTCGTAAGGGATGTCGATCAAGTCGCCCTTGACGCTCTTGCCTTGGGCCGTCACAGCCTTCTCTGTGTCGCCCTGCTCGGATTGCGGTGTGAAGGGGCCTGGAACAACCGTCTTGCTCGCCGCCTCCTCGGCCGCGTTCGCTTCGATACGGATTCTCTTGCGGTCAAAGTCGATGTCATCGGCCCAGCCCTGGTAGAAGCCAATCTTCCCCGGCAACCTCCTGATGGGCTCAATAATCGTTCTGAACTCGAGAGTTCCCACCGAGGTGGAGGCGAGTAAGGGAGTAAAGACAAAGTAAGACCGCGGCGAGATAACGACTCGTTCATACTTGGCTGGATCAAGGGTCCGGGCAAATGCGTAGCCTGCCCAGCCCGAACCGAGTATCACAACCCGTTCTTTCTGAACGCCACTACCTTGTCAGTGCTGTTAGTGAGGGGGTCCTGCCCAACCAGTGTGGGAGAAGGTGGACTGACTTTTGGCGAGACTGAAATGCCTTGTTGACGCATATGGTTGGACAACAAGTTTATGGCGAGCTAGCCCAGGAAGTAGGTTTTTCGAGCTCCGAGATGATAACATGTTGACTGGGTATAAGGCCATTCAGATATTGTCTTGCGGAATGACAACAAACAACACGTCCACCGTTGGGCCAGGGTCAAGTAGTTGAGTGAGTGTCTCTATACTTAAAGGCTGCCTAAAATATTTTCTCCATTCCAGCAGAAGAACCCGCAAAAAGCGAATTTTGGAGCGGGCAATACAAAACATCCCGAGACTGCCCGTTGATGTCATGGGACACCCAGGGGCTGTGTGAGCCACCGGGCAGCCCCCAAGGTCCGGGCTCACCCGGTCACTAGAGGCGCCATGTCCTTGAATGAGATTCCGGGAAGTTATCCGCATTCAGTTGCCCATCGCACAATACGGATATGGTTGGGAAAAAGTTCTTGAGAATTTCCCTCTGACTCGACGTGGATGAGGCTGAGGACTGGCGGCGGGGTTTTCGCCAAGCAGTGTGCGTCGTGAAACAGTCCCGCCGACTCCCGCAAGTGCCGGGCCTTGTGGCACGTGCTCTCGTTGTTCGGGTAAGACCGGGAAAGTGTCTGTGCGGGTCGGGACGTAGGTCAGGCTGGAAGGGTTAGGGCTTGCACTGGACAGAAGGCCTCCAATTGTTTTGATCGTCAATGGTCACAGGTCTTGCTCTCACAATGAAGAGGGCTGTCGGGGCTTAACGATGTACTCCGTACAATCCAGCCGTATTGCTGACCGCCGCCGCTAAGAGCGTTTAGGTCTCGGTCTCCTTTTGAAGGCAACCAAGTCACTACCTTTATGAATCCCTGTGGGAAACATGAGGAACGCATTTTCCTCCTCAGGCTCAGTTGCCCGGTCAAGCGAGTTGCATTGGCCTGCTTTCACTCAATTTGCTGCATTGTTCCTCATCCGCTCCCTCCTTGCAATTGATGCTTGCCGCATGCAATCGCAAGCTCAGCTTCCCGATTGGTTGTTTCGTGCATGCGACCAAGGTTGTGCAGCACAGTAAGCTGGCACAGCAGACAGGGAAAGTGGTCGTCATGTGTGGAGTTTTGAGGTTTCACTTTTGGGCAGAGAGTTGCGTTGCCCAGCAACGCGACCAAGGTGTTCTCGAGGGGCGGCTGTTCTTGTTTACTCACCTGAGCCAATCAAGGAAGCCAGTCACCATTGCACTGCACCCTGAGAAACCAGAAGGCCTCCTTAAACACTACAAACTGAATTCCGCCATCGGTGCAGCACTTGTTGACCCTCACCTTACGTTTCTCCTCTGCACCATTATCGGGTGTCCAGACAGAGCTGCTGCGCGGTTGTGGTCAGCATTCACTGCCATCGCAATCCCTTTGATACCCCATTCATTCAGCAACGCAACATCCCTAGACCCGGTTTGCGATCATCAAGGTTGTTTTGCGACTGCGCAGCCAGCTAGGTGTTTTGGGTGCTGCAGTGACTTGAATCATTTCTATCCCGCAACACTATGCGGTTGCAGTAGCGGATCGCAGCAATCGCGCCAGGAAATCGAAGCAACAACCAAGCCAACCAAAGACACCCCGAGCACATCCCGCACCAAGGGACCCTTATGAGCATGACATCGCAAGAACCAGTATGTCGTCCCAACTGGCACTCTGCCCTGCTGTCTCTTGAGAATCACTTCTGACACCGATTCCCTCAGATACAGCCTCTGCGTCTTTCGAAGAGCAGCACAATGCCTTCTCCAGCAAAGGTCGGCAGCGCTATCCCGCGCCCGCTCTCGGAAATTTCCCCGACTGAGAAGCGGCGGAATTCGCCAAGCTGGAACCAGACCACCAAGGTGAGACAGTCTCATGACGCCTGCTAGCCGAGACTCGCAGTCTGACTGTTTTGCTTTACCGCGCGCCAGAAAATGACCCTCACCGACTCGTCCCCGTTCCAGTCGTCGCCCTTGGAGAGCAGCACCACTACCTCTCCTCGCATGTTCTGGCAGAACCGCAGCTACAACTCGGAAAACAGCTACGGCGCGTGTTCTGGCTCGCCATCCCCGTGCCGCCGCTCCTCCATTGAGCGCTTGCAGAAGGCCTCCCGTGTCAAGAATAGCAACATCCTGGCCCTCGAACAGAAGCAGGAATACGACCCGACGCGGTTGCCTCACATTGAGCGCCCTCTGGCCAAAGTCCAAGGCAACGCCTTAGGCGGTAGTGGCGCCACTGGCGTTCGTTCTGAGAACCGGCCTTTCGGCCATCACAGGAGTGAGAGCAAGACCAGCATCCCCATCCTGAGCCCCTCCAAGACAGTTCCAGCGCCAAATAGCTCGCCGGTGCGGCCGACAACACCCAGCAAGGATCAACCGTCGCCCATGAAGTCCTCGCTCTCGTCGCGCTTAAAGAGCAGCTTCGATCCCGAGACGGGCACATGGTCGGAAATGTCCGGAGACGAGCGCCAACTGCCGGAGGGCAAGTCACTCCACCGCCACCAGAAGAGTGTTACATTTGATGCAGCTCCGCCCCAGGTCAACGAGTATGAGATGGCCACCCCCGATCTCTCCTCCATCGGGAGCAACTCCAGGGAAGGCAGCTACGACTCCGAAGAAGACGAGGACGATGAGGAGCACTACATGATTCACGGCACCGTCGATCCCGATGACAGTTTTGATGCCTCGCTCGAGGACACTGATAAGACCCCCGTTGTGGGCCCGGACGACTGGAGGCAAAGCAGCCATGACGATCCTTTCGAGAACAGCCCCATGCCCGAGGACCTTCCACCCATCCGGAAGCAGCTTCACCGTCGCACAGACTCTTCCAACTCAAACGGCGAGAGCCGGCCTTTGCCACCTCTTCCAGGCTTGGGTTCGATGACAAGGAGCCTGCCGTCACCTCCGCCTGCATCCGGCACCAAGTCCGAGACCCAGAATATCGGTAACGGAAAGATGCCTCTCGAGGAGCGCCTGAGGCTCATGATGCTCTCTGATGACGGCAAATCTGCGGCTGAGCAGCAGCGGGAGCGCCGCATGAGACGCGCCGGCGCTCGCGAGCATGCGGAGAGCCAAACACCCGAGCGTGAGAGTCGGAGCCCCAGCGTTCAGCCTCTGTCAGACTACGAGCAGGAGGCGGAAGATACTATTGGGGATCTATCTGGCCTCGATGACTATCAGCTTCCTCCTCGCATCTCGCGGGAGTCAATCCTCCGCCGTGTGAACGGAAACAAAGCCTTCGACCGCGACTCGAACTACCACTTCTCATCGCCTCCTGCTTCCTCGTCCCCTGAGCGCGCCCTGCCCTATGATCCCGACGTACCTATTCCTAGCACTGAGGATTCCATGATGGACGAAGATTCGGATGACGGCAGTGTCATCATAAAGCGTGACGTTGAGGACAATGACATCGATGTCTATTTGATTCCTGACATGTACCAGCGGTCCGAGACATTGGATGACGAAGACCTGGATTACGACAAGAGGCATGTGGACGATGACAGTGCCAGCCAGTACTCAAACGACGATGAGCCTCAGGACAACAAGGCACAGCAACCCGAGGAGGATCAAGTTCCCACGCCGCGGGCCACCTCCCCCGCGGATGAGCCGGCGGCTGCCGAAGCAGAGAACCGCGAAGCTGCCGCATCAGCCGAGCCGTCAGATCGAAACCAGGAGAGTGATTTCTCCAGAAGCTTCGATTCTTGCATCCTGTCTAAGCCTGAGGAGCCCAAGGTTGCTGCGGAACCCGAGAAGTCAAGCATGAATGATGCTCAGGCACTAGCCCCGCGACCTTTCACGCCCGAGCAACAGCTCACAAGGTCTCTGACGAAGCCTGAATATGATGGCTCGGGATGGGGCGAGCCCGAGGAAGCATATGACGAGCCCGGCACCCCTGATTCAGTCATACATCACCCGCTGCCCGACAGCGATGACCACCGTCCCATGCCCGACAGCGATGAAGAGGCGGCCCGGCACTCTCCTGCAATCCCTGAACAGCTGGCAACGATCAAATCCGCGTCTGGTTCCAAGCTAAAGACGCGGCCGTCTGCCACTCCGTCGGACATTGCGGCCATGCGAGAGGCTCGCCGCCAGGTCAGCCGCGAAGTTCCGCCAATCCCTGAACGTAACCGAAGCCGCATTTCTCGTGACGTGGAGCCCGAGATCAGCGAGGCCACTGGCGACTTCCTCGAGCGCCACCCGAGCTTTAAGAAGCGCAGCCTCACGCTGGATCTTGACCTCGGCCTCAGCCTTGACCAGGACTTTGACCGGGTCATCGAGGCTCAAAAGGTTGCGTTCCACAATGTCCCTTCAGTTCTACCCTCAACAACCGCAGCCAGCTTGTTCCAAGCGGAACAAGGACTTCCCGCAGAGAAAGAATTGCCCCTCGCAGCAACTACAGGCAACATGAGCACTAACATCTCCCAACGTAAACAGCGCGGCTACCTGATGCGACAGAACACGAAGCTCGTCACAGCCAGCGACAAGGACACTGACGACGTCCGCGCTTGCCGCTCGGCTGGTAACTCGCCGGTGAAGCCTGCCCGCCCGCAGTCCTGGACCGTCGAGCCCTGGAGCGGCGGTCAGAGGAAGCGGAGCTACCGCAAGAGACACCCCGTAACAGGGCCCGTCCCGCCCTTGCCTGGTCAGGAGAGCAATGCTGCCGCCCTGGGCCAGGTCAACGAAGAGGACATGGCTGTGGAGATGGCAACTGAAGAGAACGGTGAGAGAGGCAGGCTCTTCGTTAAAGTGATGGGAGTCAAAGACCTCGACCTGCCAATTCCAAAGAGTAAGCGAGAAATCAAACCTCGAGGATCAAGCCGGCGCGCTAACAGTCACAGACGAACGTACATGGTTCAGCCTGACGCTCGACAACGGCGTCCACTGCGTGACTACCGCCTGGCTTGAGCTGGCGCGCAACGCGCCGATCGGGCAAGAATTCGAGCTCGTCGTGCCCAACGACCTCGAGTTCCAACTCACCCTCAATGTCAAGCTCGAGAAACCCACTCCGGCACCCGTCAGCAAGAAGGCGTTGCCCTCCCCCACCAAAGCTTCCAAACCCAAGACGTCAACCTTCAGCCGCGTCTTCGCGTCCCCCAAGAAGCGCCGCGAGATGGAACAGCGCCAGAAGCAGCAGGAGGAGGAGGAGCGGCTCGCCGCCCAGCGCGAGGCGCAGGCCCGGCAAATGATGATGAAGGCGTCGCAGCACCCGACGGCATGGGACCTTCTCAGCCCGCTGGCGGCCGAGGACGGCAGCTTTGCGCGCGCCTACGTCTGTCTCAAGGAGCACGAGCCGCGCTGCTTTGGCCGGCCGTACCAGGTCGAGGTGGCCGCCTTCAACGAGTGGGCCACCGAGGACGCGGGCTTCGCGTCGAGCGTCAAGAGCAAGCGCAGCAACGCCGGCGGCGCCGCGGGCGGTGTCATTCGCCGTGCGCCTTACAAGATCGGTAAGCTCGAGCTGCAGCTGCTGTTTGTGCCGCGCCCAAAGGGCGCCACCGACGACGACATGCCCAAGAGCATGAACTCGTGCATTCGCGAGATGAAGGCGGTTGAGGAGCGCCTCGCCCGCTGCTGGGAGGGCCATCTCAGCCAGCAAGGCGGCGACTGCCCTTACTGGCGCCGCCGCTACTTCAAGTTGGTCGGCACCAAGCTCACGGCCTACCACGAGGCGACGCGCCAGCCGCGCGCGACCATCAACCTGGCCAACGCCAAGCGGCTGATTGACGACCGGCGCACGCTCATGGAAAAGGAGACCACGGGCAAGGGCGGCAAGCGTCGCCGGTCGGCGTTTGCCGAGGAGGAGGAGGGGTACATGTTTGTCGAGGAGGGGTTCCGCATCCGGTTTAACAACGGCGAGCTCATTGACTTTTATGCCGACTCGACGGCGGATAAGGAAGGGTGGATGCGGGTCCTGGGCGAGGTCATTGGGCGCGACAGCCTCGGGTCGGTTGACGGCGCCGATGACTTGACCGGGACAGGCGGGGGAAGCAGCAAGATGAAGGGCAAGTGGTGTGAGCTGGTGTTGAAGAGGGAGGAGGCGCAGAGGAAGAGGGCTGAGGGGAAGAGGGTGCATTCGCGGTCTAAGAGTATGTATGTGTAAGGGGCCGACAGGGTGAGGTGTGTTCGTTGTTGATATGGGTGAGTGTGTTGGGCTTCCTTTTGCGACGAGACACGGCATGACGTATGCCGGGTGTTGCTAGGTGGGCTGTTATGGGAGGACATGTTCGTGATGTCGAGACGTCAGGGACAGGATAATCATGTGGAGTTTTTGTTTGGAGTATGCGGTGGATGAGATGACGCATGGCGATGATGGGGACGGTTGAATGGATGGATGGATACTAGGGATGGGTTGTATGGAAACAACACTGACACATGAGATGTGGCTTTGGCTGGTTCATCAGCCGGGCCTTCCTCTCTTGCTTTCTGCTTTCTCTATTTTTTTCTGTTCTTTCACCTCTCTCTTCCTTTGCATTTCTCTATTGCCGCTCGCTACGGTGGGCGTCATCTTCGGGGCTTACCATCATGTCCCGCGTACATCTACTTGTGTGTCAGTCTAGCAAGCGTACTTTTCTCTGTTTTGTCCTTTGCCCGTGTGTTTACCTTGGTACGCAGCTGGATTTTGTGTTTGTTCTTTGATTCGTGCTGATGCTGTCACACTCTTCTCCTGCTCTATTGAGTAGAGAGAGAGAGAATCAAGGCTGAGAAACAGGTTCGAGCTTGCTTGACTAATATCAGGGGACGAACGAGGAGCCGGAACTCTTGAGGTTACTTCTTCGTGTAACGAGTCTTGCTCTAGGTTCGTAGGGACTGCATTGGTGCGGTCATAGGATACTCTGAGACTTTGGGACATTTCTTTTAGTTGATGCGGGACCTGAGATAAGGTGGGAGAGTTGGGCTGAGAAGTAGCCCCTTTGAACTTGTACTTGATTTGATTGTGTATTGCCTACGACTCCTGCTGGCGATTCCACTCGACACACTCGGCCAGCGTAACGCCGCTGCCCCCAAAGCAATCCAGGGCGCTTCCAATAGTCAGATCAACCTTCCCGCCACTTAGCTCCTTCACTTTTTCCAGGTCCTCCAGACTCCGCCCCCCGCCGGCGTAGGTCACTGGGAGGCTGCACCACTGTGCCAGTTTCTCAACCAACTTCTCGTCGACACCCCTCTGCAGCCCCTCGTTGTCGGCCGCGTGAATCAGGAACTCGGAGCAGTATGGTTCCAGCTCTTTAATGGACTCTGGATCGGAAAAGGGGGTGTTAGGTGCTACATGAGGTGCATGAGTTGGGGACGAGCCTGGGAGGGGAGGTTACCTTCGCAGACTTCCATGTCGGTGATGGTCTGCCATTTGTCCATGGCCACGAACCACCTGTCTCCGCCGCCGTGTCGTCGACAGCTGAGATCTATGACCAGCTTGTTCCTGTCACCGTCCAAGGCGGCGAGGACCGAGTCAAGGCGTGCTTGTGAGAAGGTGCCGTTGGGGAAGAGGAAAGAGGTGATGATAACCTATATAATGTATTCAGTGTCTACTCGCTAGTACTAGTAGCATGACGGACCTTCTCAGCACCAGCATCTATCCACTCCTTGGCATTGGAGTCGTTAATGCCACCGCCGACCTGCAAGCCCCCAGGCCATGCTGCAAGTGACTCGCGGGCAGCATCCTGGTTCCCGGGACCAAGCATGATGACGTGGGCGCCGGTGAGGCCATTGACCCGGTAAAGGTGAGCGAAGTAGGCTGGCGGATGGGACGAGACAAAGTTTGTTTGGAGCGAGGAGGTCTTGCTGTCTAGAGTTCCGCCGACAATCTGCTTGACTTGGCCTGCGTGCAGATCAATACACGGCCGGAACCGCGTCATTTTTGGACTGCAGTCTCAGGCTTCAAATTGTGTCCAAACTCAATTTAGCCCTCAAGCAAAAGGGATGGTGCCGCAGCATCCAGAACCTATCCTCAGTCTCTACTCTGTGTAGAGAGCCTGGAAAGGAGATGACTGTTTTGGTGTTGAGGGGCTCTCAACCTCCCAAGAAGTCGGAGGGGCAGTGCTTGGCATCCGATTAGATAAGCCAGCCAGCCATCGAGGTAACTTACTGGTATTTTTTTTCACCGAGTTGCAAGCCTTCCGCGCTCCAGCCTCGCGACCCCTGATAACACTCAGTCTTCACATTCAATTCCAACATCGCACACAATGCCGAGTGTATTAGGCAAGCGCAAATCGGGCCAGGTTGAGGAAGATGCAGAAGCTCTTGCCAATGCCCAAGAGCTCCTCAGGCGGCACTTCGAGGCGCGTTTCAAACCTCTTCCTGATGCGCCCTGTGCGGCACAAAAGAAATCTACCAACGACCTCGGCAGCCGCGACAGCCACGACAGCGATGTGAGCTATCGCGATGACTACAGCGACGCCGAAGCGAACCAGTCTGACTCGGAATGGAGTGGCGTTTCGGACGACGACGGTATGCCTAAACCCCGAGGTCTCTGCAGACACTCAGGGACCCTTGCTGAGGCACAACAGAAACCGAGACAGATACACCTGTTGTCGAAGTAGTCGACTATACGTCAACCGCCTCAACAGCAGACACAGCGAAAATGAGCAAGAAAGAATTCAAAGCATACCTCGTAAGACGGTGATAAATCTCACCCGCTTTGCGCAATCGCTGACAGCCGGCTCAGTCCTCGCGGCCACCCGATCCCAACCACCAAGCGGCACAGACAACAGCCAACACCAAGAAGACGCCATCCGACCAAGAGGACCCCGAAGACAGCGCCGCTCTCCTAGCCAACGATCTCGCCCTGCAGCGCCTCATCGCAGAGTCCCACATTCTCTCCGCTGCCGGCGGCAACGCCTCCCACTGGCAGTCCCAACACGCCGCTGGCACCGCGACCAACACGCGCGCCTTCGCCGCCGGCCGCACGGCACGCAAGACCACCGACATGCGGATACAGGCCCTGGGTGGCAAAGAGAGCGTCCTCAGCCAAGCAAAGATGCCCATGTCCATGCGAAAGGGCATTGCGAGCGCCGCCGCGGCCAAGGAGGAGAAGCGGAGGAGAGAGGCGCGGGAGAACGGCATCATTCTGGAGAGGGAGGCCAAGAAGTCCAAAGCCAAGAAGAAGCCGAGGGGCGATCGACCCGTCGATCTGCCGGCCGTGGGGAGGATGAGAGGTGCCGAGTTGCGAGTCAGCGCTAGAGAGGCGCGGGCCATCGCCGCCTCTGTGAGAGGCCCGGCAGGAAAGGGGAAGGGGAAGAGGAGGAGATGATTGTGCCTTGCTCGCATTGGCGCAGCTCTCGAGCAGCTGGCAAAGAACAGGTCGAACAGACTGACACTCAGTCCTCTGCGTGCAAGTTTGTCTCGCGAGGGAGGATTCCTTTGGAGCCGGCTGCTTTGAAGCATCTCATTCCGAACTCCTTCCTGCCTTCACCGGAGAAGGGGCGGGGACCAACAGTTCTCAGCATCAACGAGCAAGATGCCCAAGCCTCGGCGTCGTACGCCCATGTTGCTCCCGAATTACGGCAGCCGCAAGCTCGGCCCGACATGACCTCTACGATTGTGCTGGCAAACAAGCTTTCCATGGCCCTGGACTGTGCGGAGTGGGACCAACCCATGGACCCCGCCTGCCTCTTGCTTCCGTACCCTGCCCCTACCTTGCTGGTTCCAAACTTTTTGTGGCCGGTTGGCCAGGCCCTTCAGTGGTTGATCTGCCTGTTACACCAAGGCGACCTGAACCCAAAGCTGGTTCAAACTGCTTTGTGTAGTTGATAATAAAGCAGGGCATGCAGACGACTCGGCTGTGGATCGGCAGACACAGGCGTCATCTGTATCTTTCCATGTCTACCTTAGCCATCGATAGGTGTGCTGGGATGCGATCAGATTGTATCTCCTGTGGTTTGATAGCCAGAGATACCCTAGGGTCAAGTGTTCAAGATACCGTAGTGTTAGAGTTCAAAGGAACCACCGCTGTTCACCACTATGGACAATTGAGGTCGTGGTGCCACTTGACGCTACCATGGGACAAACTTGAGTGTTGTGCAACCCTATGCTAGGGTACGAAAGCTAAGCAATCCCGAATCGTGAGGTCTCATATCCTATGTGTCCTCCATCGCCACGTGAGAGAGACGCGACATGTCATCAAGGTGTGCAAACAAAACTAGCGCAACAGCGGAAGGCACAGCTGTCGTGTTATGGTGCAGTACATGTATAATACCCATACAAAATCCCTGGCCTGTCATGCCCTCCCTGAGCCGAAGGGGACTGGCTGGCGCGGCCAATAGCCCACTGACCTGCCACGGTCAGATCGGGCCACCAGATCGACGACCCAGCTGTAATGTTGCTGGCTGATTGACGTCGGTTGTTTGCTGGGTGCCAACCGGTCGGGTGAAGGGTCGGTCGGTGGGAGCATCTGACCTTTACATGCGGTGGTAACAGTACACAGCCTATGGAAGAGGGTACAATATCCAACAGACTCGGGCCCCCCTGCAATGTCGCCCAGCGGTCCAAGCCCGGCCGAACTACTCTCCTGTCCTGTCCTGTGCTTGCCGGCTTTTCGATAAAGTGATGAAGCAGATCCTTGTAGGTCTATATTCATTGGCAAGGGTAAGCGCCCCTACTACCCCTGAGTTTGTTAGGTACGTAGGCACAACGGACTAATCTTATATTGCCCGGAGGAGAATGAAATTCTTCTTGAAGCGGCATGGCTGAAGGTGAGGATGCCTAGACAGGAACCAGCAGACAAATTGGCACTTCATCTAAACGCAGACCATGTTTATCAACAGGTTTATGCGACGAAGGAGGCTAGGTAAGTTAACAGACCCGCACGCCGATACAATTGTCGAGATGAGAAGCCAGTTTCTTACAGCATCAATTGCTTCATCGCCTGGTATCGATCTTCCGGCACCAGCCATATCTCATGTGCCTATGAACAGACCAAGCAACGTGAGAAAACCGGGAGGGAAGTCAAAGCTATATATACAGAGTCTGGCGCCTTCTTCCTTCTTCATCCGTCCCGTCATCCAACCTTTCCTTTCCACCACAAGAACTCTGAGGAGGAAGACGAGACCTCTTCTCGCCTAAAGTGCACGGAAAGCCTCTTTCTTTCCTGCGCCGCGGCTCTAGCACGATCCATCTTTTTCAGACACTGCATTGCTTACTTACTAGAGAGCAATTCTTGGACTTTGTGAACTAGATCGCACTAACAAAACAGAAAACCAAAACCAAGAAAATGGTTTGCATCGCCGAGGCACCCAAAATCGTGTTCTGAAGTCGGTCGTGCGATACGGAAAGAAATGCCCGCTAAATGAGGCTAGAAATGGGATGAGAAAAACAAGGTACATAAAAAGTCGCGCGGCTATCGCGGGTTTGCGCTGGATCATGCCATGCCGCCAGTGTTAATGGCATGTGGTTGGCTCATTGTCATGGGCATGCTGAGTGTCTGAAGGCTGTTAAACGCTTGCGCATGAGGATGGCTTGTCGTGCTCGCGGGAGGCGCGGCGTTTGACGAAGAGTTGATGCTGCGGTTGACCGCCGCGTCAAGGGACCCGGCAATATACCCGTTCTCCGAGGTCGGGGACGCGTCTTCAATCGAGTCCATCTGGTCTTCACCAGAGTACTGCTCCTCCTCCTCGCCCGAGTTAAAGTTACCCTCGGCACCGTCTGTTCGGTCATGGGTACGCTTGTGCCTGCGACGAGAAAGCTGCGTCAGCGCCTGATCCATGCCTGTACCACCTGGTCTACTTGGGTGCTTGTTGGGCAGTGCTGTTGTGACGTGATGATGGCCAGCCTGTCAGGCCTGAGAGGGTGCTCCGCCCTTTGGCGTGCCACTTGCGCAACATTGCTGCTCAACTTCCCAGTTGTCGACTGACAAAGGAAATGATACACCAAAGAAAAGAGGGGGCATACTGTGCTAGGTTGTCTGATCGGGAGAATGCCTTGCTACAATAAGGGCAGATGTAGGGTCTTTCCTGCGTGTGTGTCCTCACGTGTCTGGAAGGTTTTGGTTAGATACACCGGCAGGAGGATCACATGTTGACAAATGAAATATTCGCCAAATCTTACCGCTTCAGGTGCTCTAATCTCTTGAACAGACGGCCGCAAGAGGGGATCGGGCAGGTGTGCGATTTCTGGGGATAGGGTCCAAGTTCCATGACGGTTGCCGAGCGGGCTCGGCGTACCACGTTGGGACCACCATGCATCATTGGCCGCTGATCGCTCAGCGGACCCAGCTCATCGCCTGGCAAGGCAGAATAATCGTGTTGCTGGAGAGCCATAGGGTTGAGAGCGGGGCTGCCCTCCACGGTGGAGAGCGGAGTCCCGTGGCGCGACAGTTCATGGTGATGATTGCCCAATGGCATGCCCGCGTTGCTGTACGTGAGGCCCGGCGGGGAGGTATCTCCAGACTCCTCTCCTTCGGCAACAGGGCCAACTGAAGCCGACACAGATCTCCTGAGGTCAGAGGGGCGGTGAGCTGCTGAAGTGACCGCGGCGATGGCTGCAGTTGTGGCCGACAGAGAGGGTGGGATCGATGAGCGCCGTCTCCTTTGCTTGTAGGTCGGTGAGCCTTCAATCACGGACGAGTAGACATTGTTGGGGCCGTAAGATCGTGGGAACGAAGGCCCAGCCAGGTTCGACGGCGGAAGGTGGATCATGCCATTCAGGGCACCGACGGGGTTGAGATGGTCCGGAATAGCGCTGTACAGGCCCGTTTCCTCATTTGCGATGTAGGCCGGCTCGCCACCAATGGCAATTGCCTGCTGAGGAGGCGTCAACGGCTCGTACGAGATGCCCCTCTGGCTGTAGTCCTCGTAGTGCGATGAGACGAAAGACGGGGCGGGCGAATACTCCAGAGCGAACGCGGGCATCGATGTGTGCCGCTGGTGCGTTGGGTTCATTGGGACGCCGTTCTGGTTGTACTGAACGCGTTGAAAATCAGGGTCTCGCTTGACCACCGGTTGGGGCTGAGGGATTGCTGGGGCCATGGCCATGGTTCCGTACGGAGCCATGGGGTCCATGCCATCAGACAGCGGCGTCATTGTTTGGGGCATCGGCTGAGGAATCGGCTGAGGCATTTGCTGAGGCATCGGTTGGTGCATCATTTGGGGTGGAGGCATCGACTCCATCGGCGCAACTACCGGAGAGCTTTCCTGCGTCTGAGGGAAAGAAACCGGCTGCGGATTGAACGAGGACGAATTGGCTTGCTGGGCTTTCGTGAGCTGCTCGTACAGCGACTGCGAAGAATCGAACTGAAAGGAGAGAGCCGGCTCGCTAACAGCGACCGTTGTGGCTTCCTGGCCCATCTTCTCCCTCTTCAGATCTCTTTCCAGGGCGTCCAAAAAGAGCCTGTCGTGCGGCACGCTGTACCAGTAGAAAACCTTTTGCTTCTTCTGCGTCCGAATGCAGTTATTCTTGTAGAGAAAATCGAGGAAGGCGCTCTTGGGCTCCTCCAGCGTGGCGTCAGTCCCTGATTTCAAATTGCGGAGGTCCGAAAAGATGCCCTCCTCGAATTTCTTCGAGTTCTTCACCGGCCGCCCGAAAGCCTGGAACCGGAACGAGAGACATCTTACGATGTCTGTCCCGGAAATGTGAAACAGGTTGTTCCATAGTACGCAGGAAACGTACTCGCCGGTTGGAAGGAGAAAGCGTCGAATGTATTGGTCGGGAGTCCAGTCAACTGGTGCCGACAAAAGGAAATACTTGACTGCAGGTCCAGGAGATCAGCCATGTTCGCAATCACTCGGAGCTTGCCTCGTTCCCCGAATTAGCACTCACGATTGTCAACTTGTTGAAGAGCTACCTGAGCATCCTGTGGAAGAGCTTGCTGGGCCTCAGCGCTCAGCATGAACGTCTCTGGAATCTGTTGCCCGGCCATTGTTGCATTCTGTTGTGGGTACATATCGCAAGCGTCGCGCTAGGTCGGACTTAATCGGCGACGGTGCCAACGAACAGCGGTTGGTGATGCGAAGTCGGGTAGTCAACTCAGTTGATATGCGACCTTGAAACCCAGCAAGGCAAGTGGGGTTGATCCCCGAAGCAAATACTGCGCGAATCGATCGTCTAATGAACCAAGCGCGGATGCAGCCAGACTCTGATGCGATCGTGTTCTCAGGCGCTGCCTGTGAACAAATGCTGTTATGTGCTTTTGTTAATTTAGAGGTCGAGTTTTCCGAGGCCAGCCCGTGACATAGGAAATGTGCCCAAGTCTTCAACCCTTTCCTCCAATTGCCCCGAGGAAGTGGCAGGCGTAATCGCTAACCGTGTTCGGGATTTCGAGGCAACGCTGCGGACGCTGACAGATGGTTGCGGTGCGCTAGGGGGGCACTCGATCGAGGAAACAATGGATGAATGAGACCAAAGGCCTTGTTTGAACGAAACAAAACCGATCGATGGGATACCCAGGTACCGATGTCTATCAAACAAGCACAGAGCCGCTTGACAGGGTCGTGGCGGCGATGTACGGTGGCTGCGACGCGAAATGTCGGATGCTTGACGGGGGAGCGCTGGCCTTCAAGTGCTGCAAGAAACGACGGGATGATTGTCTCTGGGGGCTTGATGAGAAGGAAAAACGGAGCGCCGGGCAGTGCAGATGCAGTCAAATGCAAAATGCACAAGGGATGCAGGGGAGAGATTACGCTGGCCTCCTGCGACAAATCCAGGGAGGGGGAAAGGAAGAAGGGAGGGACGAAGAGGAATCTTGGGAAAATGATCGCGAGATGGGCCGGAGGGCGAGAGGGCGGGCGACCTTGGGGGTTTAATGACTTTTGCCCTTTCGCTTGCTCGGGCCCAAGGGACGGGGCCCAGGAGCACAACTTGGCCAATGAATGGGAGGCTAGGGACCGGAAAAGTGGGGCTCGGAAGTTGGTTTGCGGGCCACAGCAACCGGACGCTAAGAAGCCCAGGGCAGGGCATCCATCTGCAGCCAGGAGAAGACACAGCAACCCCGACACTCTCATGCACTTCTTCCAAGTCCGTGATCTCATCCAGCCACAAGAGTCGGGAGCGGCCACACCTTTCACCCAGTTTGAGAACTCTACGAAAACATTGAACGGACAAGAAGTTATTGATGGCTGTGAGGCACCAACAGTGACTCGGGAAAGTCGACGCATTCAGCGTACCTCCTTGTTGCAGACCGGGGATACCTCCGCGCAATGACTTCTGCAACTGTTAGGTCGGCGTGTGATAGATAAGCCTTCGTTTCCCACGCTCCCAGGCGTCGTTGAATCGGCTCTCTCTTGTCGCCTCCTGCCTGTGGAGATCCTGCCCCAGCTCGATGGCGACTGGAGATTGCCGACCATAAAGATCCGATGTTGGTGGCACGAGCGCGATGGCTCCCTCTTGCTGTGGCAGAGTGGAGGTCGATTCTGGCCCCTTGGCTCGCATATGCTCGATGGCAAGCGACAGCCGGTTGAAAGCGCAGGACAGCACACCTCCAAGCTCCTCCGCCATGAAGTCCGGTGGTGGTAAATCATGTGTACGGAGAAGTCAGGCGCCGTGCCTCGTTGCTCCATTACCGAACCGCGCTCCTAGGTGTACCTGTCCACAGTACTGTGTAGGTAGTTAACCGTTCTTCCACCCACGACGACGCGTCGTCGTTGACCGGGGTGCCTAAGCAGACTACGGATACATTAACATTGGGTCTCTTCGATTGGACCCTAGTCAGTCGGGGCGCTCAGTATCGTGATCCTGAAGCCAATACTGCTTTGTTGTGAGTTTCGCTGCTCGTGACGAGACGGAAGCACTGGCCGTCGGCGTTGCAAGAGGAAGCGCTCTAAAAGCCACAGCCGATGCGGCCTTATTGGGGGACCGGCTCCAAGAAATTGCTGGTCATAAAAATATCCTGGCTACGGTGCTCAGGTAGGAAGTGGAGGGCATCGGTCTTCGCCATCACTCGCCTGCTGATTGGACTTCGCTGCCAGGCAGTAACTTTAAGTTACCGCCAATGTAACATCCAATTGTAATTTCAGCAAGACGGGCAGAACACAGTGAGATCGCGAGACGGCAAAGGCGCCGTATGAAAATAACGTGCCTCTCGCCTTACTTGCTACAGCCCAGATACACACGGGCAGCTTATCTACCTGCTGTCCTGGGTCTCCAACCATTTTTGCGCTAGTGAGCAATAAGCGTACGACATCCAAGCTTGGAAGTTACAGCAGGTAAATCTGAGATCTGAGATCATGACCCTTCGATTACTCACTCAGATCCATAGAATGAGTGTGGCCCATACCTCGATGGCTTTCTATGATTCATTTACAAGCCACAACTCATTGTCCAACCTCAGAGAGCATGGACATCTCAGCAACCTGCTCTGCTTTTGCTTGACCCATGCTGACTGGCTGGACATGTGAGCGATGAAGATCGGTGCGAGATAACTGGAACTACTGTATGTCAGAAGAGCCCGATGGCGCCACCAGAACAAGAGTTATGAGCCGTTGACAAACTGGGCCACCCAGCATCCACTGGCTGTCAGTTACCGGAGTTTACCTTACGTCGCGCCGTCTTTGCGGCACCCCACCTTGTCGTCACCTGCAGATGGGCGGCGGATGTGTCCAGCCACAGAATGTGAATCGACCCTGGTCAGATCTGAAACATGCTTCAGAAATAGCTCGCAGATGGCAGGCCAGGTCTGCCCTTCTTGGTCAAGCCCGTATTCTTGCCGTCCGCTTAGGCCTGCGCGGTCTGGACGGGATATTGGGCCTGGCAGACAATGGACCCCGGCTTCCATTGTGTCGTGGTGGAATGGCATTCTTTCGGCCCTTCTTGTCCGGCGAAGTCTTTTTCCCCGGCAGTGTCTGGCGGGTCCTGATCCACGAGGCTCCCACAACTCTTGCTCCACACATCCCGCCCCACAAACAAAATCCGGCAATGGCTTCCTCTGTGGCTGTTCGCCATTACCTCATCTTCCTCGATCCTTCTTGGACGACCCTTCCCATCGCCAACGGTGGGGGCTCTTTAGGTACCTAGCCTTCTTCCCAGGAGACTCTCTGCCCTTGAATCGAACAGGTATCCTCCATGTCATGCTGAGCGCATCCCAGCGAGACGAGCACAAGGGCAACCCCAATATCGAGCCCGGGAACCTCGGTGATTTTGCAGAGCTGCCCGTATGCAAGAACATCTTATCCGGCAAGTGGGTATTTCGGCTTGATAGCCGTGGCGGGTATTCTGAAACACAAAAGCTACCTGTTTCAGAAGCTTACTCACAGCCATTCCCCCACTGCAGACAGCACAAATTCAGACCAGTGCATGTGGGCTAAACTCTTCGATATTAGCCTGGTCTTGGTTGTAAGGGAGAATCCTGGCTTCGTCCGTACTGCGCATTCGACTTTGCATTGCGAAACTCCTGGCGCTGCCAGGATCCCGCCGGGTGGCGGGCATCATTCCGCCTCAGCCAGCACGAAGCGGGTGACGGTAGAAGACAACATCGCAGACAAGCCCAGCCGCCTTGCATTTCATGGCGAGTGATTCAAATGTAGTGTTTTTTGGTGTTCCCTTGTCCCGGCCCAAGCGGCAGTCAAGTGGGCGTTACCCCCGAGCTGCTTAGCTATCCCGTTGATCGTTTGCACTCAGTTAGGCGTCCTATCACAGCCCTGAGTAGTAGGGAGGCAGAGGCGTGCTTGCGATCAAGGAACCTGAGCTCCTGAGCTCCTCAGCCTCTTTACAAGGGCGAGCCTCTTGACGTCTGTGCACCGCAGCAGTGATGGTGGGGTTACCCAACTCGTGTAGACTACGGATACTCCGTACCACAGTACACGTGTAGATAGTTGCTGGCGGACCGTCCTGTGCTTCATCAGGGGCGCTGTTTCACATCTCTGGGCCAAAAATAAGCTCAACGCCTGACCGTAACCTTAACGCTCGTGTGTTGCCCCTGTCTCTCCACCCAATCATGGTTGCCGTGTCACGGGTGGATTTTAGCGAGACGCGTTGAAGAGCCTTTTGTGTGAGGAGCTGAACCGACGCCAGGCGGGTATCAATGGATAAGATGGAGCTGGAGCTCTTCAGCATCCTGATTGGTGTTCTCCGACAAGTTTCTTGGAAGTAGTTTCAATGGGCATATACCACAGTAGCGCCCTGTGAACAGCAAATCGGCAGTGGGATTGACAGCTGGTAGCCAAGAATAGCAGCTGAGGGGCCGGACAAGACGGCCACCAGGGAGTAAGGAACCGACGCCAACAACGGCCTGTCCTATCAAATATCGCCAGATCCCGCGCTGTATTGTACAATTTGGAGAGCGGCGTGGGCCCTTATAGGAGCGTGGTTGACTACCCGCCTTGGCGGCAGCAAGCGTCCGTTGCGGTTCTGCGCGGGTTGTACGAAATCCATCCCCCAATGTCCATTGGAGCCAGACTGCCCGAGACGGGTGAGATCGTGTTCATGCAGTGAGAGATCTCTGTGTGCCGTATGATCATGACCAGGCAGCTCGCCCGTCCAAAGCTGGGAGGCTCGTACAGCAGGGTAAACAAAGTGCGGAGCAAGCTGCGGCGAGCTGAGGATCTGTGAATTACTTTGGCGCCAAGGTCGAAAGGTGGACAGAAGACTGGTGTTTCCCGCCAAGCTGAGGGCACCCTATTGTTTGATGCAGACAGAAGCCTTGGAAGCAGTTGCACTCTGTACAGGGGACCAACAAAAAACTCGATTTTTGTCACCCAGGCGGGGAAAACGCTGGCAGCGGATGTTGGCCGCCATTTGGCGAAAAGCAGAAGCAGCAGCTACTGTGGTTGCGTGCTAAAATTTCAACCCTGCTCGGGTCCTGGCGGGGCGCGCTAAAATCGCTGCCAGCTGCTGCCAGACCCTATGTTGAAAGACTGCGCTCCAATCAAAACCCTTGTCGGTACCCGCGCAGGGCCGGATACTCATCCATCCCACCACAGTGGTGTGCTTTCTCGGAGTCCATGCCAAGGCCGATCAGATCCAAAACACGGAGAGACAAGTTCTTTGTGCCGGAGATCTCAAAACAATCTGAGGAGCTGCTTCGGGTTCGACAGTCGGCGGCAAGTCAGCGCGGTGGGATTGCCGTCCCGTCGAGTCCTGCAGCTACCATTGGTGTACCTGGCAGCCTGCATGAGCGGGGTGTTCTTTGTCGGCCGTGTGATTGCGCAGAGTAATGAGCGAGCTGCAGGACTCCAGATGCAGGCAAAGATCTGAGCCAGAGGTCTTGTCCCTGTGATGCAACCATCGAGCCCGTGTCAAGGAAAAGGGGCTCGCAGTCGAGCAGGCAGCGGGGCATCTCGGACTTGCCCAGAAGAAAAACGGCAGATTTCCGATATCAGCCTGGCTCGTGCGGCTGCAGAGTCCGAAACAGGCGCGGTAGCGCTCGGTCACCAGACCAGGGGAGTGGGAAAAGAGGTGAAACTCGACAAGGCTGGCACAGCTGCTTCCAGAATAAAAGCTCCTTTGCGCTTTGACACGGCAGCGGCTAGAATTCGGACGACACGGCATGGCGGTAACTGTAGTGGGACATTGGGCTGCACATACAAGGTGCCACTTTCCGTATCCGTACCATTACGCACGCGTTGTGATTTTGGAGAGACTGGCAAGCTCCTTCTTTACAATCCGCATATGATGCCTCTTTGGCTTCAATATGCCGGAGACCACACAGATTAACTAGCCAACTCCGAAACACTACGCTGAGTAGTGTGCACTGCTTGCATGGCCACTCTGTTGTGGTCAATTGTGTTTCGTATACAGATACAGTAGTGAGTTGGATCAGATTGTTCATTCAAGTTGAGGGTCGTGACCCCAGTTCTTCAATGACTTAGCACTCTTGCTTTCCGGGTCCTGCTTTGCCTTTCCTTCCTGAGCCAAATGGCGCTTGTTGTACGAGACGACCTTTCGCATGTGGCTAATGTCGTCCTCGTCGTACTTGCTGGGGTCTTTGTTTGGGTTCTTCTCCAAGATCTTGATGATCTTGCGGCCGCTATAGGGTGTTCGTTCAGAATACACCGAACCCATAAGCCAACTGCTTCCTCATGTACCTGACTTACCTCTCGTGGCCGATTGTCTCGCCTGAGCCATCATTCTTGGACCAACCTGCACCGGCTGAAGCCTCACCGCCGAGCCACTCCTTCAACTGGTCTGAGTCCATGTTGACGAGCTCATTGAACTCCCTGTGAATGCGTTAGTCGGTGCATTCCCAGGACCAACGCTGTCGAGCTACAGACAATGTACTCACTTGATGACTGTATTCTTGTCTTTAACCTGAGAATACAGTCAGCAAGATGTCCTAGAAGGTGCACAACTGCATTGCAACGATTCCACGACCATAGATGCCAGAATCCTAGTCAACGACAGGCAGAATCTTCAAGTAGAGTAACTCGACTGACAAAACAGATAAGATCCCCCAACCACAAATACTTCGAAAAGGAATCCACTTCGCAACAGATATTGGTCACCGATCCAGGACATCCCAGAGACAACAGTCCAGCGATATCTGTGTATCGGCTCTATGGGGCTAACATGCCCATTATACATACCATTTTGACGGTAGTGACGTAGAACGTTCGAGCCGGTTGAAGTTTGGTAGATTGAAGAAGATACAACGAAGATGTTAATAGTCGATGGAAGGTAGGCATTCTCGAGATTACAGAGAAAGCAATCCTCTTTGAGTGTTAAGCTCCAAGTTCCAAAGTCAGCATCATTGAAGACCAAATGACATCACCACTATTGTCTAGCCTCACAGACTCTTTGACCAGAAGGTAAAACTACAAAATACTTATCGATACATAGAGATGCGCCAGAATAACTTTAAGGTACTTTCAGGTACTTTACCCTTCTTACATGAGTGGCTGGATTAACACCTAGATCTCTCTGCAACCAACATACAACTTCAATGTTTTCTTCGTATGAGCTCTGCCGTAGGCCTTATTCAGGAGGGAACCAAAGTGGAAGCAATGCACCACATATCAGCTTTCACATGAACGACCAAGGAAGACGTCGTCCTCCATGATTGCATCCCCGGAAGGCTGAGGATCTGGCATCTTCCAGTCTGCATGTTTCCCAACGACCAACTGCTTCTGGGTCACTGCATAAGATCGGCCTTCTGAGACCAGGGCTCCGTAGCCATGATATCAATTGGGCGATTTGACATCATCCCCTGCGCCTTCTGCAAGCTCCAGGGGGGATGAACATCGACTTCGAACGCTCAGACAGTGGAATCCTACCTCAGCGTAGCAAGCGGGGTTCAATGCCCTATTAGGTACTGTAGCCCAACCAACCATGTCCCAAGGGTAGAAGGCCGCTGTCACTGCTTTTCCCCCGTAACCGTTGGCTTTTCCGATGGCCTGCTCTGGTTGCTCGGCGAGGAGCGGCATGCATCTGTCGGATCTCCCCCGAACGACGGTGGATCGCATGCAGGGCCAGAGCTGAACCTCGAGATGGTTGTGGCTTGTGCAATATCGTATACTGTACTAGCGGAAATGCAATGCACTTCCTGTTCCCCCAGCAGAACAAACCATGGAGCCGCCGCAAACATGACCGGCAGGTAATGACGCTGCGAGAAGGGATGTTCCAGCAAGGGATACCGGAGAGCTTCTCGGTTGCGTCATTTCTCGCTTCGAAGTGAGAAGACAATATCCTGTCCATGGTTTGCTCCCTACAGACGTTGGTTGGCAATTAACGGTACCAAACCTGCACTCCACTAGGGAGGCAATGCAGGCCCAGATTCCGTGTTGGGCTTGAAACATGAGGCCATGAGTTTAACAGGAGCGGAAAGGGGAGGGAAGGGATCCTCAGGTCGGCATAACTTACTAGATCGGGACCAAATACCGGGTTTCACCCCCGAGTTGATTCTTGGTTGATTCCACTAAAGCGTCGCATTCGGCAGGACTCTTCCAAAACCTCGACCAGGCGACCATCGGTCTGTCATCAATGGAACACCTTCCCCATGCCGCCCGTCAGATGGATGAGAGGGCCAACAGACTGACAAGTGAAGATGAGGAACCGAAAGGCATCCGGCAAGGCAAGCGGACGGGCTGTACGCTTGTTGACCGAGGATCAGCAACCTCTCAGGGTGGGTGGCCAGCAGATAGTTCCCCACTCAATGACTGAAATCAGTCTTCGAGGATAGTCAACTACATTCGCTCAAATATATATGAACACATATTCGAATCAACTGAGCTAACTTGAGCGTGGACGGTCGACTTTCAACTCGTCACCCATCATCCGCACACAACAACTAGATACTCCTCAGTTCCTTCTCCATAGCCTTCAACTCCTCCCTGACCTTGGGACAGTAATGCTTCCTCAGCAGCTCCCCCTCCCACACCGTCGTCGTGAACGGGTTGGTTGCCTCGATCGTCTCGGCCAGGGGCTTGAATGTCCCGTCACCCTTGCGTTCCTCGGTATTCCACAGCGCGATAACCTTCCGCTTGTGCGTGTGGATCACGTCGTGCAGCAAACCCAGCAACGCCTGGCACGACTTCTCGGGCATCTGGAGTGCGACCGCCATCAGCTGCTTGGTGAAGGCCGCGAGCCGGAGGGGCGGCACCGAGCGGATATTCCAGGGCGGGAGAAGCACGCCGCTGAGGCAGCGCATGAGGAGCACCGTGGTGGTTTGGAGATTGATTTTGTTGACCCTGCGGCTGGTGGGTTTGCCCGAAGACGTGTCGTTTGGATCGGCCAAGTGGAGAGATTTGGCACCAAGTTCTAAGTCCGGGTTGACCGAGAGGCTGAGCAGGCTGCGGTAGAGGTTGGTGATGAAGAAGGAGAGGTCGAGGTGCAGGTCGGAGCGGGCGTTGTGGGCGTCCTGTCCTTGGAGCAGGGCAAAGGCGGTGACGGTGCAAAGGAGAGCTTCTCTGCTAGAGTCGCGGACGACGGAGAGCTCGTCGTCCTCCTCGTCACCGTTGGCCTCTCCATTGACCTCAGACTCAGTGTTCTCGCTGTGGCGAATGAGATCCTTGAGGGCCTCAAGAAGGTCGCCGAAGAAGTCTTGGTTGATCAGATGCGCATATTTGGCGAGACCTTCAAGCACAGCACCCATAAGGTGTGGAGTGCGGACCTTCAGGATGCGGAAGTAGGTGGCAAACACCATCTTCAGCGTTTCTGACTGCATCTTTTCCCTCTCCTCATAGCTGACGGTGGCGTCGGCTTGAGCCATCACTTTGTCGGCCTCCTTCTGTTGCTTGAGCAACTTTCGCTCCCGCTTTGTTCGAAATTCCTTCTTTGCTTTCGCCTTCTTGCCATTTGGCTGATCGCCGGGACGGCTAACCTTGTCCTGCGAAGCCTTACCAACAAACTCGGACAACAACCGAAGATGCAAGAACATGTTCAGGACGCTCTCGTCAACGCGGTACTCGCGAGCCTTCATCATCTTCGTGACCAGAGACACTGCTTCCATGGAAGCATTGCCCTCTTCATCCTCCTGAAACAGCGTCTCCAAAGCTTGCCGGCACTTGAGGAAATTATCGTCCAGCTTGCGCCCACTCAATTTCCTCACGAGAATTCGCAGAAGGTCGCCCCTGAAGTTGAAGTGCGGCACCGCATTGACCAGCGTGCAGGCGCAGGTGAAAGCAATGGTGGAGAGGGATGGTCCTCCTTTCCGATCCTCGGTTGCCGGCGAAGATGCGTGCTTTGCCAGAGTCTTAATGTAGCCATGGTATCCGGATACCAAGGCCTGTTCGTATGTTCGGAGCCGCCGGACATCTTTCGAAAGCTTCTCCCCGGCCATGTCCTCAGATGCGGGCCGTATCCTATATCCAGGGATGACATCCTTGTACACGGTCATTTGAGTAACAATGCAGAGCTTTTGGATGGCCGGAACTGGCGATTCTCCAATGCGAGCCAAAGCCTTGAACGCTTCAGGATGCTCCTCAGGTTCTTCGTTCAATCGCGTCGCAATCTTGGCGAGTTCCTCCTGGGCTCTTCGAATCTGCTCGCGCTCCGGGATCTTTGGCTCCTCCGGAGCTACAGTCTCGGGCTCCTCATCGATGCCACCTTCGTCTCCTTCGCTCTCCAGCCACTCGGCATCGCTAGCTATCGAATTACCGTCATCTTGAACCTGCCATGTTCCCTGGGCTGTCTTGACGGGAAGCCTGCCCCCAGCCACACTGCTGTTCTTCTTGGCTTCCTTCTTCTTGCTCTTCCGCGTTCGCGATTCGTAGTCCTGTTCGAGGTTCCAATTGGCTGCGCTCTTGAAGAAGGCCTGTTGAGTCTTGGCGTCGGTGTTTCCAGGGTCTTGTCCGTCTTCCCGGGGCGGCGTGACCCTTCTCCGCTTTGAAGGACGTGAGGTCATTCTGCTGGTGTCCGGTTCGCAGCAGGCTGGTGGAGGTTGGAGTGTGGCCTTGCAGTGTGGTGTTTCAGAGGGAACGGCTGTAATTTTTCGGACGGCAAGCGAAGCCAGCCCACCAAGCTTCCTTATCGCATACTTGCGATTGGCTGACATGCCCTTATCGGCTTCTTCGACCCAGAAAATTTCTGGCATGCATTGAAGCTGTGAGAAACTGTCGCATCGCGAATCCAACCAAGCCCATCAACTGAGGCGTGTGGACATTTACACTCAGCAATTACTGACCGCTCTCAAATGTGGCGGGCTTAGACGCTTCCTGTCCAACCCAACGGCATAGTCACGGCGGAATTGATGGTTACAATCGCACACTGCCCCTGCGTCTCCCGTTCACGATCAATGCCCGCTTGGTGATACCCTTCGTCGCAAACGAGATAGGAGACCAGAGAGCATACGTTTCGAGAATAGAAACACGGCAAAGATGGCAACATCGCTGGCTGCGCAGTTGGCGCAGATCGCAGCCAACTCGCGCGCCAGCTTCAACGCCAAGGCTCTCAAAGCCACCCACTCAAAGTCTCTGATTTGGGAGCCCCGAGTCGCCGCTGGCCAGACCTTCGCCGAGATCTACCAAGTATGCCACGAGGGCTTCGAGGAACTCTGTCACCTGGATAACCGCTTTGCGCATTTCGACACCACCTTATTCAGCGAACAGAGCCAGGAAGCCGACCGGACCCAGATGACCGTGGAGGAGAATGCGGCCCTGGACAAGCGCGTCGACTCATTTCTGCACCTGGTGGGCAGCCGGTTGCGTCTCATGCCTGCAATCAAGGCCATCGAATGGCTAATTCGGAGGTTCCGGTAAGCATTGCGCTCTTCAAATCCCCTCACAGCGCTGACTGGTCTCCAGTATCCACGAGTTCAACACAGCAGCCCTCCTCACCACATTCCTGCCGTACCATACCATCCCGGCATTTGTGACGCTCCTGTCTATTCTGCCAGCAAAGATACCTCTGGAGTACAGGTTTCTGGATCCCTATATCCGATCCTTGACTGCCCCGCCGAGAGCCGCTATTGTCCAGCAGGCAACCAACCGGCACGAGTTTCTCTCTGTCATCTCCCACTACACCCTCCAGTCATGCCGGGTCAGGCAGGAATACCCCGGTTTGGTGTCATTCTGGGGCGGCGTCATGGCAGAGGCCGTCAATGGCATGCTTGACAAAATGCGATCCGGCAGGAGAAGCATTCAACTGGAAAACGATCATATCCTTCTGCAACAGATTGGGCCAGTTTTAAGCGAGGCTTTGGTGATGAGTGAAGTTCCGGGCATCCAGATTGCAAGCTACATGATTGTCACCATCTTGGCCGCGAAGGGCAGCCTGAACGACGGTGCCCTTGCCGCCTTCATGGACCAGCTAGTCCACGGTTGGACAGTCGACACATATCGCCCGGGCCTTGTCTGTCTCTGCATCCTCGCTCAGCATCGGTCCGCGAAGCAGGTGTCCAGCCGTGTTGCTAAAGCCCTCATGAAGGTCCAGAATCTGGTCCCGACGTTGGTCGAGATCAGTCGGGAACATAGGGTCGACAAGCTGGCGAACGGGCTGGCCCTTGCTTTCATTGACAGATTGTCCAAGAGAGGCGACATTCGAAGCCTTTCTCTCGTCAACTCTCTTCTTTTGGCCAACCTGCTGCAGGAAAAGCAGATCAAGGTTGCCTACAAAGCCATGCTTCTGGCCGCGCACAAAGTCAATGATGAGGTGGACGAGGACGGTCGCATTCGCAAAGAGATTGGGTCGTCTCTTGTTAGCTTGTCGCAAGCTGGAGGTGATGCCGGGGATGCCGTCAGGTCCGCCCTTGGGGAAGTTGAATTCGACATTGAAGAGCTCGAACTCAAGCTTGGGGCCGCGATCCGCCCAAAACTCGCTATCGAGCAGAGTCCCGAGAATGCCAAGGAAGAGCAGGAAATGCGGGCTACTGATAAGCAGCCCGACTTGGACTCAACGTTCCTGGAATTAAGCAAACTGGAACCATCGGCAGCTTCTTGTCTGGTACAGGAATCAGGGAGCCTGTTTCACGATCTCTGCACGGTCTTCCTGGCTACGGCAGCTACTCAAACCGATGTTGAGAGATTCGATTCCACTCCCGTTCTGAGCCGGTCCTTAGCGCCGAGCAACTCGTTCTACTTCAGCTTCTACCTGCGCGTTTGGTGTGGACCTTTTCCCACATTGGCCAAGGTGGCTGCGCTAGACCGTGTCAAGACTCGGCTCAAGGAGAGTGATTGTGCGGACAGGGATTTCCAGGCTATCATCCCTTACTGTGCTGTCGCCTTGAGCGATCCTGCAAAGAAAGTCCGCCGTGCCGCAGCTGACCTTGTTGCGGTTTTGGGATCGCTTCTCAGAGACTCCTCTGGACAGTCGCGGCAGTTCTGGGGCGCCACGGATCTGTATGGCAAGGCCATCACTCCGAGCATGCTCGACCGGGACTCCCTAAAATCCCTGCTTCACTCGGTCCTTATCCCGTGCTTGGAGGAGGCTGTCCTCCACGAGGGCCATACCATCGCTGCCCTGGTTAGCGCATTGGAGAGCTCTAAAAGTTCTTCCAGGAAGGAGACTGAAAAGCGCCATCTTTCTCACGCGACAAGACTCTCCATCTTCAAGTTCCTATGCGGCCATGTCGCAGAATCGCCGTTGCTGACCGTCAAGCTCCGCTTACTACGGTCACTCAACCAAATACGGAGCATCTCGGGTACCTCTCGGACAGATCTTCTGTTACCCCTTCTCCGTTGGTGGGCTGCTCTTAGCCGTGACGAAGCCGTTAAGCTTGCTGCACGAGAGTCGCTGGACGAAGGCCTCATGGATGAGGCCATTGTGGACGTCGTCATTGCAAACCATGCCACGGGTCTCGAGACATTCTTCCAGTTGATTCACAACCCCAACACAGTTCTTAGGCCCAATCTCGTGCAGGCTATCTTTGGCCGCATCATCAAGATATGGCCGTCGATGAAGTCGGATACCAAGTCGGCCACGGCCCGTTCAATGTTCGCCATCACACAAAACCGGCCCTTAGTTGACCAGAGCTCCATCGTGACCGAGGCTGTCGAGCTTCTTCGAAAGGTGGATTTGACAACTGATATCCTGCTCGAGTTCATCGACTCGCTGCAAGACGAGGTCAAGCTCGCGACCGAGAAGCCTACAAACAAGCGGAGACGGGTCAGCACAGCAGAACAGAGCGGAAGCGTGGCCCTGCAGAGCAGTCCGGAGCTGAAGGCGGCCTTGAACAAGACTACCTTCGTTCTAGAACTCGTGCAGGAATCCAACCCGGCGGATCATCCCGAGCTGTTGCCGAGTCTCTTCACAACGCTCTCAGATCTCCACCAGCTCGGCACCCTCATCGGATCCGAGTTAGGCTACCTTCAAAACCTGGTACTCAGTTGTCTTCTCGCCATGATGCCGGCGTACAAGGACAACAAGGACTTGTCAATCGACGCGTCGGTTGGCCATGGAGACGTCTTGGCCACCTGCATCCAGAAGTCCTCAAGCCCTGCCGTTACCAACTCAGCACTGCTTCTGGTGGCTAGCCTGGCCAGGACGGCGCCGGATGTGGTGCTGCAAAGCGTCATGCCCATTTTCACGTTCATGGGCAGCTCGGTGCTAAAGCAGGCTGATGACTACTCTGCCCACGTTGTGAACCAGACCATCAAGGAGGTGATCCCTCCCCTGATTGAGACCTTCCGGAGGAGAGGGCGAAACGTGGTCGCCAGCATCAAGGATCTCCTTGCCAGCTTCGTGACGGCTTACGAGCATGTCCCCTCTCATCGGAAGCACGACCTCTTCATCTCGCTGGTCCAGAATCTTGGGCCCGAGGACTTCCTCTTCGCTGTCCTTGCCATGTTTGTTGACAGATACGGGGCAACCGACAACATGATTTCGTTCACCACGCAGATGATGAGTTCATTCTCGGTCGAGATCCAATTGCAGACCCTCATCAAGCTCCTGGACCTGATCAGCGACATCTTCAAGCCGAAGCCTACCTTGTCGAGCACGCTGCTCGGTGGTGACGGAGTCGGCGAGTACGAGAGCCAAAAGATTGCCGCGAAACAATTCAATCTCCTTCCGCATCTGCTAGCGAACCGGCGGCTGAAGCGAGAGATTACACAACTGGCGGAGAGGGACGACATGGAAACGGGCAAGATCCGCGACTTGTACGCCACGCTCCTCGAAAGTATCTTGGCTCTTGCCGCCACAGTCAAGGGCAAGAAGGTCCTCTACAGCCGCTGCGGCGATGCACTGTCCAACCTCCTCAACCTGCTTTCGATCGCCGAGTTCATCAAGAGCGTGGAGGCCTTGCTCGACCGGCCGAACGTCGGGCTGCGGCAGAAGGTGCTGCGAGCGCTGGAGCTGCGGGTCGACAGCGAGAGCACCGGGGATGCGAAGCCCAGAGAAGCTCTACTCGCTTTCCTGCCCCAATTGACTGCAGTCATTCGGGAATCAGACGACATGAACTACAAACACACGGCGGTGACATGTGTCGACAAGATCTCAGAGAAGTACGGCAAGAAAGACCTCGATGCTGTTGCTGCGGCTGCTACCACCATCGCGGGCGATCACTGCCTCGGCCAGTCATCCCAGACTCTCCGGGTCATGGCCTTGCTGTGCCTCGCTTCACTTGTCGACGTTCTGCAGGACGGAATCGTCCCTGTCCTGCCGGTCGCGATCCCCAAGGCCCTGGCATATCTCGAAGAGAGCTTGGTTGGCGAAGAGCCCAACGCGGAGCTGCACAATGCCGCCTATGCTTTTATGGCAGCCCTGGTCCAGCACATCCCATACATGATTACTGGTGTATATCTCGACAGGTTGCTGACGTGCTCGAACACGTCGGCCGCCGCACAGCTGGATGACGAGTCGAACAGCAACCGGTTACATTGTCTCCAGTTCTTGGCCAAGCTGGTTGACCCCAAGGTTTTGTACAATGCTCTCAACCAGAACTGGAGATCTGCTGCCAACTGCGGTTTCTCGGTACGTATCTTTGAGCCCCAACTGTTGGTAACATGCGCTTACGCCTCTGAATAGGCTGTTGTCGAGTATCTCCAGATTCTAGGTATGGCCCTCGACAAGCATTCTAAAGCGGTTATCTCCAAGAACACGGCGTCGCTCTCGACTATCTTCCTCAGTTCCATGGACCTGAGGAGAACTGTTAGCTCCGGGCAGGTCAAGACTGCAATTAGCTCGTCCGAGCTGGACGAGATCGAGACCAAGATCAGCGATGACGCGCTAAAGATGATCTACAAGCTCAACGACGCGACCTTCCGGCCCATCTTTTCGAGGCTTATGGAGTGGGCATGGACCGGGTTACCCATGAACGACACTTCAGGCCGGACTCTCCGCTTGTTTGTTGTCTACGGCTTCCTGGACACCTTTTTCGGAAACCTCAAGTCCATCGTCACCAGCTACGCCTCCTACATTATCGAGAGCGCAGTCAAGATCCTCTCGTCGGCGGATTTCAAAGACGCCAGGGAAAAACAGCTCTGGAGGCGCTCTCTGCACACGCTCGCCAAGTGCTTTGAGCACGACCAGGACGGCTTCTGGCAGGCGCCGTCGCACTTCGGCGCCGTGGCGCCCGTGCTGGTCGAGCAGTTCCTGCACGCGAGCATCGTGGACGCGGCCGAGGAGCTGATCCCCGCGGTCGTCGAGCTCGCGGCCGCTGCCGACTCGCAGGAGCATCACAAGGAGCTCAACGGGGCGCTGCTGAAGCACCTGCGCAACGGCCAGGCGGCGGTCCGGCTGGCCGTGGTCCGGTGCCAGCAGGCGCTGACGAGCAGGCTGGGAGAAGACTGGCTGCAGGCGCTGCCGGAGATGCTGCCGTACATCAGCGAATTGCAGGATGATGACGACGAGGTGGTGGAGCGGGAGAATAGGAGGTGGATTGTGAGAATTGAGGAGAAGTTGGGCGAGAGCTTGGACTCGATGTTGCAGTAGGCTGATGGCCTGGTTGGGAGATGCGAGGGGTATGGGTGAGATGGGTTGCATGTGAGAACTATGCTTGGTGGTCATTTGGATGGGGAGGGTTGGCGGGATATACTTAGAGTGCGTTCTCTGACCTCTCATCTCCAAAGTTGCATGCTCCAGTTCACGACCGGTTGATAACCATAAGCACCTCACTGAGGCTCACCGCGGAAGGTTGCTTGAGAGACTGAGCCTGTCGGGCAATAAGCTTGAATAATACTTGAATCAAACCACGTGTGCCGCGCAGGTCATGCCATCTTGATGGATCTATCTGTAACTATGACCATTCTTTCGCTCGTGCTCCGAACCCGAAGAGGTCGGACCAACTAATCAGAGTTGACTATGTCTGGCCAGCTTACTAACTCGCTATCTTTCTTCCCTTTCGACGCTTGTTAGCCAGGCGCTCTCAAATGGTGTCACAGCTGTCAACATTCCCGGAGCAGGATCCAGGACCAGCCTTCGACGTTCAGAAAGACCGATTAATTTAGCAGCTTCAGTTGTTGTGTTCTTGACGGCTTCTTCATACCCTTTTGACGGGTTCGAGCTGAGTCTTGTGTGCGGCATAGGCACCAAATTCAATTCAGCAGTCATCTAACAAGGAAGACACCATGCTCAAAGCGGCCTGGCCCCAGGACGATAGTCAAGGCGGGAATCGGGCTCTAGCCCGAGGACACGGAGATGTCGGTGTGAACAGTCTGAAGTGATGTGGATGAACACATGTGGCACTCCCGCGTCCACTGTTACATGATATGTCTCGCTCCCTCATCGCCACGTTCTTTCCACTGGCCACGCGTCGAAGCCTGACCATGCCATGCTGTCGGGTTTCGTATCTCTCCGCTTATGCCATTCTCCCTCCTTTACACTACGGCGATGCCCTTGGAAAATCGTCCCAGCATATGAATCTTCCACCTCGGCACAATCACTGGGCAGGCCCCTTGCATTCTGAACTTGACACGACATCACAAAATCGGGACGCACATCAACCGGCGGACGCAGACACCACAGAAAACGATGGGCGGCATTCAACAGGACCAAAATGGTGGCAAGGCCAGGACAGAAAGAAACCACCAACGTCATCGCCAGAGAGCTCGTCCTTCTGGTTCCTCGCTTCCCATCAGCTTCCCCCGCATCGCACACCAACCCCCTTCACCTGATCCTTCACTTCCTCCCTCCATTTTCTTAACCCATCAACCCCTAAACCAGGCTTTGTCCGATTAACGTCACGAGCAATTGTCACAACTGACCACCCAGAAATCCCTGTTTCCCTACCCGCAAACGACCACCACCTGCACCAGGAGGGCTGTCCTGTGAAAGACGCAAGGTGCGGCAGGCTAAGACAAGATACGGCGAGCCGGCGAAATGCGGCCGGAAGAGTGGGGAAAAAGATCAATATCAGGAAAACGGAAGAGATAAGAGTCCTGAGAAAGAAGACAAGACCGGACGCTGTTTCATCGCAAAGTGAAAGACAGATCTGACTTTGGAATAACAGCAGGCTGCTCCTCTCTGCTCTCCCAACTCGCTCGTAGAATGCCGTCAACCCCCCGCGGCTTCGCAACGCCTAGAAAAGAACAACCGGACAGGCAGCCACAACCAGATCAAGTTATACAATTGTTGTGTTGAAAAGTACCGTCCTGCCGGCATGGAGGAATAGCAGCAGCAAAAGACAGGTGTTTTGCTCGAGATATAAGTATAGCACGCTACGTGGCCAGGTTCAATTAGATGTGAAGACCGAAATCAGCGAGCACAAGCCACAAGAACCAAGACAGGTTAGATGAAAAAAGACTTGATATTTCCTGCAACCGCCAGCCCCCGTATTTCCTCCAAGCTACAGCAGACACAAGATCCAGACAAGAAACCACCCCACCAACAACAGCAAACGAAAACGCAACGTTTTCTTCTTTCCAGCCAACTCAAGCCGCACAAACCAAACCAGGCCATACAGAGGCCGAGATCGAATACCCCGATGTTTCGTTTTGCTGTTGTTTGTTGTTAAATTCGTTGGCCTGTCTGGAAAGTTAAAACTTCCAGGGGCAGGGAGAAGGAAGGGGAAAACCATAATACAGCCCGCCGCCCATACAAAGCCGCCGGGGGGAAACTATTGTGCAGAGAAAAGATCGGGCGTCAAGAAAACAGTGGGAAAAAAAGCAGCGGTCAGCTGGAAGCCGCGTTTACGGTGCATTGTCTGACGTCTGGACGCTGAGATTAGGTTGGAGTCCGCATGATAGCAACCGAAGCGCGCGGTAAGGGAATAGGCTGCTGTCGTGATTTCATCCTGCGCACGCCAAGAGCGTGGATTAGGGGGGCATGTCAACAAGGCGCATTTTGATGACAGGTGGTGGGCACTCGATAGGTCGTCTCGGGCGGCGCAAGAGGGTCGGGAATTCAGTAGGCCAGATGGTATCAGCATCCGAAGGACATCTAATAGGCCCACACCCTGAGCTGTGTGTGTGTCAGCAAAGTAAACAATCCGAGAGGTCAGTGTGACCCAAGGGTTCTCTTACCTGAGCGTCCCAAGAACCCGTGCACAGACTTATGCCGTCGTTCGAGACACCCAGACAGCTGACACGGTTCTCATGGCCCACAAGAGAGCCAACCTTCTCGCCCCGAGTAACGTCCCATACCTTTTCGCCAAACCAGTCAGTACGGATGTGCCCGAACGATGTAGCAACAAGCCAACATACCTTGCATTCAAAGTCGTCATAACCGGCGAAGAGCAGCCGCCCGGACACGGAGGTGGCGACCGAGGTAATGCCGCAAAGGATAGATTCCGACTACAGGTCTCCATGTCAGTGGTGGAGGGCAAGAACCTAAAGGACATTTCAACCACGTACACCGTAAAAATTCAGCTCCCGGTCTGCGCGAATGTCGAACAGGCGACAGGTGGCATCGTCGGACCCCGTTACGAACGAGTGGCCATCGGGGAAGAATTGGATGGCATTGATGTCGGACTCGTGGCCGGCGAACGTCTGCACGGCCTTACCAGCGCGGATATCCCACAGCTTGGCGAAAGCATCGCATGCGCCCGAGATAAATGTGTTCTGGTTGGTGGGGTTGAGGCTGATGCTCATGACGTCGCCCAGGTGGTCGGCGAACTCGACAACCTTGGTTCCGGTGTCGATATCCCACTTCATGCACGTCATATCACCTGACGAGGTAATGATGCTGCGGTCGTTGATGAAGCGGCAGCACGACAGGTAGCCGGCGTGGCCAGACAGCTCCCGGGCCACCCGCGTGGGGCCCTCGCGTTCCCTGTTGAGGTTGTAGATGGAGCAGATGTTGTCGAGACCGCCGCAAGCGACATAATTCCCGCTCGGGGCGTAGGCGCACGTCATGACCCACGACGACCGTAGCGGGATGGCGTGGACCTTGTTTGTTGTGTATGCATCCCAAATGATCAGCTTGCCGTCCTGTGATGCCGAAACGAGATGCCTCCGGTCGGTCGACCAGTGCATGGCGTAAATCTTGGCGAGATGTCCCTTCAATGTCCTCTTGGGCCTCATAAGCGGGCTCTTGGGAATCGGTTCATGGGCCTGGGCGGCGACCGCGCGGACTAATCGACAAGGAAATACGGTTAGTTCGGCCGATCTGACAGGCCCACCGCCCAATTGCTGTGACACTCACGCGTCGTGTCGGCAAGCTCCTCCTTCTTCCTCTTAATCCTGTCCTTGAGCGTCTCTGCCTCGCGACGTGCCTGCTGGATGCGCGCCTGCATCGCCTCGGGCGACACGTCGCTTGGCCGGCCTGGATCCATGTTTGGCTGCAAATGCGCTCTTTCAATCAAAACGGACTCGCTGAAACGGCGGGGGTCGAATCGGCGGCGATGGAGATGGGGTCGGGAATCGGGTTGAAGTTGAAGGTTTGCGTCGTTGTTATGTTCAGTGAAAGAATGCGAGCTCCAGGGGTCTGAGCGCCGACCAGTCAGACAGCTGGAACGCCCGGGGACAAGTGTTGCAGCGAAATGACTATCGGGGAGAGCGGAGTGGAGTGGGAGGCAACGGCCGGAGGTGTCGGTGGACGGATCAAGATTGGCCGAGAATTCACGATAGATGAATCTTCAGGAAATCCAACACGGCTGAAACCCAAGTCAGCAAGCCAGGTCGCTGGGTGCAGCGTATGGGTTTCTGGGAAAAGGAAGGGAGAAAGCAGAAGGGAAAGTTCGGGTTTGGCGCGATTGATGCGATTGAGCAGTGCGATTGGAGTGGAAAGGAGACGGGGGTTGATTTCTGCTTTGGGACTAAGCTGGCGGTAGAATTGGTTATGGATATCCAGGTTTCGTGCACGGATTGAAAACAAGATACGTCAACCCCACCGTCGACATTGCCAAGGGTAATCGCCACGGGTTGCGTGGAACCGCAACGCCCTAATGCATCGCCCCAAATTCACCAACTTCAAACCATCATAACTACCTCAAAACACCATCAATTTTTCTTTCCATAAATCTGAACCTAATTCTATCCTTACGCCGAACCCTGACCATAACACAGACCCTAATAACCTAGCCCTAACCGCGGGGACTGACGCCGCCCCCCGCACCCCGCGGTCCCACTTCGAAGTGTAGTGACTGCGAAGGGTGCGAACCGAGTGGGAAATTGGTGTGGGGCGGGACCTGGATATTCAACGCCGTAGAATTGGCCCGGGGTTGCAACGATCGGTTGTACAAGGGTCAGTGTGTTGCAAGCTGCAAGTCTAGGAAAAACAGCAGTCATTGCGGAAGAGCGGAGACAGGGTCCTTCGGGGTCAATCATGTCGGAAGATCACATGCAACAGTCTTCAAGGTACGCAGCCTTGTCTGACTGCCTCCTGTCAATAGTGACTGAGAAAGTTGAAAGCAAATGGACAAGCAGCCAGACTTCTTTTGGCAATGTGGGGCAGCTCCTCAAGGGATCCAAGGGAGCTGCACTCCTGCAGCTCGAAGGTGCGCACAGACCATCGCTAATTTCTCGGTAATCCGTTTCCCGTTGGCTTTGAGACGCCAGGAGATTTCGAACTCTCTCATCAACCAGGGCTACAACACAATACAATCTAGAGAACTTGAGAAGGAGGAGAGAAAGCATGGAATGATATATGGCTAGAGAGTGCTTAGGTGCTTTCGGCTGCGCCTGACAGCTCTGTGGATCGAACTGTCTCTAGTAGTTTTGAGTATTGGAACCGTTCCACCAATGAAAAGAACACCGATTTTGGAGTCTCGCTGACAAACTCATAACATTAGGTATGTATCCGTACCTATATCTGGGCCCCAGCGATCCAAACCCGATCCAACAACCCATTGCGCCGGCCATTTACAGATCTATACAAGAGGGCGAGGATCCCTAGGCAGTGACAGAGCCCAAGAAATGTCAAGAGGGCGATGAGGGCAAAGAACTTCCTTCCAATTTCTTCCTCCAATACTCTGGCCTAGGTTGCTTGGCATGGCTTCCAAATTCCTCAAGACGACCGCACAGACAATGATTGATCCCGGGCCCAACCTGGTCGGTAAAGATTTGACGCCCCGCCATCCCTCCGTCCTCCGTCCTCGTCCCGAGTTGAGCGGTGTTGCTGTCCGGCAGCAAGACATCTTAGCCCGGGCGGGCGAGGCGATTTTGCACACAAGGCTTGCTCATCTTGCCATGATCACGCGATATCCACACTTGATTGAGGGTCGAGTTTCCAGTTGAGAGACGAGAACGGGGCGAGAGACGGTGTCCCGATCGGACGTCGATGATCTCTCTGCCGTTTTCGCTCTTTCTATTTATATCAGGATGTATCTGAGACACAGTTCTGGCAACATCTTCGTGATCGCAGCCCAATTGAAGGCGCGCGTCGAGGGGCGCACAACAGATGCTGATGATTCAGAGGCGCCGCACCCGCTTCGGCAATCGCCGATCATTTGAGGCTGGCTTCGGGACGGAGCCGAGCGGATGCAGTGCCAAGTCATGAATTGGGCAGTGAAGTGCAGCAGATGCAACCGGAGAGCCTGAACAGGAACAACAACGACCATATCACCCAGCATCGTCAGGGTGTCTGGGTGGGATGCCAAAATGCTTGACTACAAGGCGCTGCCCAAGATTGAGGTATTTTGCTGGCTTATCCTGCCTAGAACCGCTTGACGCTCATGTGACGACGGCCTGTGAAGGCATCAATACCTCGCACTCAAACTAAACAACACATGTAGCTCCACGCCCACCTCAGCGGCAGCATCAGCCGACAATGCCTGCACGAAGTCTGGCTCCTAAAGAAAGCCGCGGACGAAACGGATCTGCAAGACCCCCTGATCGAGATGCCACCAGGAAAACATGACTATGATCTGAAGACGTAGGCTACCCTCACCAACCAAGCAACCAAATAAACCAACCTCCTAACCCAAGAGTTTAATACCCATACTTCCTAAGCTTCTTCCCCCTCTTCTCGTCATACATCTACAATCTGGTCAACGACGGCCCAGTCCTGCGCTACACCACGCTCTCGGTGCTCCGCGACTTTGCGGAGGACGGGGTAGTCTACCTCGAGCTACGCACCACGCCGCGCGCGATGCCGGCCGTGGGCTTGACCGAAGCCGACTACGTGCGGACCATTCTCGATACCATCGCCGAGTTCGAGCGGAGCGCCGAAGGCAAGACATTACGGACGAAGCTTATCCTCTCGGTAAGCACTCACTCCTTTTTCATAATTGGAGCACCAAAACAACAGGTTTACCATGACACACACCCAGATCGACCGCCGCAACAACCCCACCCAAGCCCGCCAGGTCCTCGCCCTGTGTAAACAGTTCCTGGGCCTCGGCGTCGTGGGCATCGACCTGTGCGGCAACCCGGCCGTGCCGCTCGATCCGCAGCTGGCGCCCGTCTTTGAGGACGCGCGGTGCGTTCCCGGGCTGGGCATGACGCTGCACTTTGCCGAGGCCGAGTGCTCTGGCAGCGACGCCGAACTGGACATGTTGCTGTCGTGGCGGCCGGACCGGCTCGGGCACGTCATTTGCGTCAGCGAACGCGTGAGGCGGGAGATTGCCGGGAGGAAGGGGATCGGGTTGGAGTTGTGCCTGAGCTGTGAGCATACAATCTCCTCTTTTCTTTTGGTGTGTTTGTTTGTGGGCTGTTTATAACACCTTTTACTGGTGACTCGGGAGCAGCACGGATTCCGCAAAGGAGACTGCTGCGCATTCCGCTCCAAAAATTCTCCCAGCACCATTCCCAATGTGAACACTCACAGCTGACACGGTTGGCAGGTAATGTGCACGCTGGGATGGTCCATGGCGGATTCGAGAGCCAGTAGGTATCATCCTGTCGTTGCTGCGGTGATTCGTTCCCGGGGCGGGGTGGGGCTGACGGTGGTAGTCACTTTGGCGAGTGGTGGAAGGCCGCCGATGCTGTGGTCGTTCTGAGTGTGAATCCCACATCATTCTTGGCCCGGACTTGTGAGAATGAATGCAACTAACAATGACTCGAACCAGACGGACGATGTGGGTATCTTTGGCAGTCCGCTTTCAAACGAGTACGCTCTCGCGGCCCAGCATTTTGGACTCAGCCGAGCGCACATCTGTGGCTTGATAAGGAAAGGATTGGATGTCATATTCGGAGGCGAAGAGGAGAAAAGCAGGTTAAGGGATATTCTCTGGAAGGCCTAGACTCGGAAAGAGACAACAAATCCTGTTCAATGCTTTGGTGAATAAAGACGAAGAACGAAAAACCTGGAATGGAGGAAGAAGAGGAGAAGAGGAAAATCTTGTAAGAAGAGGCACTGTAAATGTGAAGCATAAAAACTCAATCTTCAGCAGGAGGGTCCGTCGTCATCTGAACAGTTGTCCATTGCTGCCGGTGTACGGTGTACGCTCTCAACTGCAGAGCAACTACTATATACGAATAAAAAAAACAAACGAGCGGAGTCTCGTAACGTGCATCGCGGCCAACGTTTCCTCAGCCTTCAAACCCGGGGGAATCACTTGAAGCAACCATTACCCCCCGTTAAACCTGCCGTCGCCCCAACTACAACACCAAGCGACTTGGCGTCATCGCCCTTTCGATTTAGACCAGGAACCCCACCAACGCCGTAATAAAAGAAACGGAACTGTATACAGAGAACGGGCCTAGAAGCCACCCGGTGCCCCCGGCGGATGGCCGTCGAGATCCACGGTTTCGAGTTGGCGGCGCTGGTGCGCGCTCCTCTGGACAAGGTTGCCAAAGAACCTGAGGGCGTCGCTGCTCTCCCTGCGCACCTTGAGCGTCTCGTCGCGGCGGACGTCGAGTTGCTCAACAGAACGCTGAAGGCCGACCCGCAGGGAATTGGAGGGGATCAGCAGAACCTTGCGTACGGTGCCCGAAATGCGGTTGCTGTTGGAGTGGACATAGTCCATCGCCGCTAGCTGGGTAGAGATTTTGGCGCTGAGGCGGTGCGGGAGAGAATGAGGAATCTGGCTGAGGACGTAGAATGCCATCGCCGCCGCTTTCACGAATCAGTTAGCATGATGACGAGACGAAGGGAACGTTCGGCGGAACTGTTCACTCACCTGCTGCAATTACACCAGGGACAAGCAGGCGGCGCAAATTGTCATTCCCAAGCAGATGGGCGGCACGAAGCGCGATGTTCATCTGGCCGTAGCCGCTGACCACACCGGTGCCGACAACGCCGGCAACGGTCAAAGCCATGCCCGCCTTTTCCTCTCGTTGAAGTAAGGTGGACCAGTCAACAAAGTCCCAGAACTCGGTGGTAATGTCAACCTGGCGGGCTAGAGTATGCTTCTTGTGCTGAAACATGACATCCGACTTGAAGTTGAGGTTCTCGTACTCGTTCCCAAGATGGAGAATGCCGAGCTGCTTGATCATATTGACGCCGGATACTGTCTTGGCGCGGGCGTGTTCCTCGCACCGCACAACCGACGCCGCGATTTGCGACAGCATGGCCTCCTTGAGGTCATCGGCATACTGGAAGGCGCCGAACAAGCCGGGGTAGGGGATGCCGAGGTTGCCATCGCCGGCGTGTTCAATGGCCGAGCTGATTGTTGAGCGAGAATAATCGTAGACATCCTTGCAAGTCTCCTCGATGGTCTGATCGATCTTGTCGCTGATCTCGGACCTTGCCCGCTTGCTTGATTCAAGCTGAGGCTCGATCTCCTGCAGCTCCTTGTTCACCCTGTCGAACTCTGATTGAGCAACTTCTGCGTTGACGGTAGCCAGCACGTTGACATCGTTCAGGATGTTCATCAGATACGTCTTGGCGGGAGCCAGCTTGGAGCGCGCACGCTTCTCAAGCACGAACCTTCGCAAGGATTGCTCGAGCGCTGAGAAGTCCCGCTCCATCTCCTTCTTCTTGCCCTTCCCCTTTGGATCGTCATCGCCTGGGTCACCCTCAAACCCGCCACCGCTTGAACTGCCAGACCCGCCTCCGCCAGGGCCGCCGTCCGGGGCAGGCGCCATGGGAATTGCGGTGCTTGATACGAAATGCACGAGCTCGGCCGACTCTTTGAACGTCGCAGGGCTCAATGTCCTGATCTGGTTGAGAATCAACTTCTGGCATCGATCCTTGTCCCTAATGGCGTCGTAGCCATTCACCACGATGAAGAGATAGGCCTTCTCGGCAGCGGCAGCCCTGATAAACTCGGTTGAGGTCTGGGTAAAATGGTTGCTAGCGGAGACGACGAAAACAACAACGTCAATTTCCTCCTGGCGCGCGAAGATGGCGGTTGTTTTGGTGGTATCCATGTTGAGCCCAGGAGCATCGATAAGTGCAATATCAACCACGCCGTTGTTGAGAAGCGACTCGTCGATTGTCCGTACGTCTCTCACGTACACCTTGCATTGCATGTACAAGGTATTATCCACCACGATCTTTTCCAGCTCCTGAATCGAGTAGACATCGTAGGTGGTTTCGTCATGTCGGTCGTAGACGGCGTCCTTGTGAACTGCGTGAACCTCTTCGATGCCGCAGTTCTCCCTCGCATCAAGTACCTCGCAGAAGATGCTCGTGCAGGGCTGTTGATCCTCTGGAAGGATCTTCCGCCGTAGTAATGCGTTGCAGAAGGTCGATTTCCCTGCATTCAGATCGCCCGTCACCAAGACCTTGCTTGACGTATCCTCGATGCGCTCTCGAAGAGACTGTAGGTGCTTGATGCTCGACTGTATCTTGCCGTCCAACAGCGAGGCAATCGACCCTTTCTCCAACGAATGTACGAGCTGGGCCTGGTGCACCGCGCCAAGTTTCAGATCCAGCTTCAACACCGAGAACTCTTGAGCAATCTGAGGGGTGACAAGTCGTGGTTCGACGATAGGCGTCCTATTCCCGGCAACTCTGCTGGATTCGGCCTCTGCTTCCTCGAATGTGGTCATGGCTCGTCGGAGCATGGGAGGCGGGGCGGAGAAGGGTGGTGCTGTGGCCAAATCGCCGGCGGTTGAGTAGGCCTGGTGCAATCCAGGCCTTGAAGCTGGGCGTGACGGCGCGTCGAGCGCAGCGCGCTGAACTGACGGGTAGTGGGCGGGCCATACCGAGTTCTTTTCCTGCAGCTCCCGCAACAGTTCCACGACGGTGCTTATGGCTCGGCCGAGGGTGGCTCGGTGCTGGTTGTACCAGAGCTGGTGAACCGCGCTGGCCTGGGCGGCGGTGTGGCCCGAGGAGGAGGAAGCCTGGGAGCGTATTGGCCTGTCTGCATGGATAGCAGGATTCCAAGGGACCGCAGCGCTCGGGCCGGACGTGGACGGGCTTACTTCGTCGCCGGCAACGCTGCCACCGTATCCAGAGTCTTGTTCGAGCATCGCTTGGAGATGGGCAGCATACTGCGGTGCCGAGCCTGTGCCAACAGTCATGTATGCCGGGGCGGCCGACGCCACCGGGGGTGCAACGGGATCGCTCGGGCGACTCGAGGTTGACGCGCTTTCGGATTCGCCGTCGTCATCGGTCCTGTACATCGGTACCGACTTGCCCTTGGGCGAAAAATACTCCTGACTCATGGCGGGCGGGCCGGAAATAGGAAGGGTAAAGGGAGTGTGATGGGAATGCTACGCACAAGTCATCTGGGAATCGTGCGGTGGTTGCTTTCCGGTTCTCTTGGTTCTTTTCCACATGATTTTTAGATGAACAATCAAGTTGCTCGAACCTGAACCACAAAGTGCCAAAGCGCCACCGCCAGCTTGGCGCAGATGCATCAATCTAGTAACCGATTATGGCTTACGTCCATATTTGCAAACAAATCAGCCTAAAGCTCCTTATGCACATGCGCTTTTATGCAACTAGCGAATTCAGCCTCGCCTTGACCCTGCTTGCTTTCCAGGTTGCTGCATGCGCTGCCTTGATTACTGATGAATCGCCCTCTTGGCTCGCAGGTCCCCGCTAACCTTCCCCAGACACACAACTGTCTCTCACGTTCAGTGTTCCTGAGTTATTTGCGGACTCTAGATTCCTACTGGCTTGCTAAACCGTCGCCATGAATGTCAGCATTGCCCATAATCTCTGGCAGCCGCAAGGCTGAGGCTAACCGCGCCTTAGATCCTGGAATGGGCGTTCGGCAAGCGCATGACGCCAGCCGAGCGTCTGCGCAAGAATCAAAGGCTCCTCGACAAGGCAATCCGGGAGTTGGATCAACAGCGCGTTAAGCTCGAGAAGCAGGAGAAGACGCTCATAGCCCAAATCCGCCAGAGCGCGCAAAAAGGCCAAATGGGGGCTTGCAAAGTGCAGGCCAAGGACCTGGTGCGCACCAGGAGGTACGTTGGGTCCATCGGGAGCCCGGGCTGATTGTTGCACTGCTGATGCGCTCCGGCTAGGTACATTGAGAAATTCTACGGAATGAGGAGTCAACTACAGAAGGTCTCCCTCCGGCTCCAGGTTAGTGTCCCGAGGATGACTAGATACCTCAGCCTTCCCTTACAGGACCTCTACTTCCAGACGTACCGTACGAACGAGCAAATGATGCAAGCAATGAAGGGTGCCACAATGGCACTCGGCAGCATGAACCGGACGATGAACCTTCCTTCCCTCCAGCGCATTGCTATGGAATTCGAGCGCGAGAACGACATCATGGAGCAGCGACAGGAGATGATGGACGATGCGATCGACGATGCCATGGATGTTGGACTTGAGGAAGAGGGTGACGAGGTGGTGGAGCAAGTTTTGGAGGAGATCGGGGTCGATCTAAGCCAAGCGGTACGCCTTCAAACCGTGCACCCCCACGCTTCTTGGGATATCAACTTACCGTTTGATGTTTCAGCTTGGCGAGACTCCATCGGGATTACAGTCGAATGCGGTGGCAGAGACGAAGGTCGCCCAAGCGGTTGGCGGTGGCGGTGGCGCAGATCCTGGCGACGACGACCTCCAGGCACGACTCGACAGCCTCAGACGATGAGCGAAGCCCCTGGCTTCGAACGACTATATCATGCCGTAATGACCACATATCTTGTACCATACCATTATTGACTGCTGGGAGCAGGAGGCTTGGACAGAGCCAATGAATTGGGTGGCCCGCTCTTACTCGCCCTCGTTGCCTTCGCAACATATGGCGCCTCCTACCTCTTGAAGCTCTGGGAAGTGATCAATGGCTGGAGTTGCCTGCAGACGACGGGGCTGCTTGGAGTTAAGGCGTATTGGGTATACTGGGATGCGGGACAACTACTGGTAAACATCGAACTTAGTTGTGTTTGCCAAGGCCGCTGGAGTTATGCATGAAGGCCGGACTGAAAAGGACTGAAGGTATCCAAGGCGCCGACAACATGAGCTGGGCATGTAATTGGTTGCACACTCTTCAGCACTTATTGCGGGACCTGAAGCGACGACAAGGAGAGGCTTAGTGGGCCAGTCATGTCCAAAGACAAGCATCTCCAGTCTCCATATCCAAGTCTCAACACATGGCTGCCCTCAGCCTCCTGTCCCAGGAATCACTGCTTTGAAGGGTCGCCCACTCAGTCCACGGCAGCTCCGACGTCGACACTCCCGCTGATACCCGGACACTCAGCTACCTTCCGAGGATATTCTGGCTTGGGCTGAATTGAGAGACTACCCCTCTCAATGTCCGAGTTTAGAGTAAGTTCGCCTTAGAAAGACAGTATCACCATCATCTCTGAATACCGCTGGAGCCCTAATTGTAGAACTGCCCCACCTATGAAGGTGGTACTCCATACGGAGTATACTGCAGCTTGAAATGCCGTTGGTAGCAGACTGCCCCAGCCTGGGCCTCGCCCGCTCAGTGACAGCCGCGGCCCACATCAAGTCCTGGGCCTTCCAGGTTGAGCCAACCTTGATGAGCAAAGTTCAGGCTGCGAGCGGGTCGCAGTTTTCATCCGGTAGTCGCTTGCTCTCTTTTCTTCCTGGCCATCTGTGATACTGCGACTCCTACTAGGACCATACGTTAGGTGGCTAAAACTCGATCATCACCAAAGCGGACTGTCTCTTCAATTCTCCGCCAAGGATCTTGGCTAGCGGGTGTCTCAGCTCGCTCATTACATCATCCGAGTGCATCACAAGACCCCTCATCCCAAACCCAAGCAACTTACCAATCCAATGACCGCATTCCCGGCGGTTAGCCATTGAGCTGCAGCAAGACATCTCGGCGGCTAGCTCTCTTATCCTAGAAGCAACAGCTTTTTTGTGCCATTTGGCTGGCAACCAACGACTTTCTACCGAATTACCTGCTCCTCGCGCCGAGTCCCCTAACGTCACTACCGTATCTTACTTTTGGTTAGGCCGCGCCATCAGGCCCCAACTCCAATAAACTCATCCCACGCGTACGCTTCGGCGATTGTCGTCCTGTCTGAACCTTGCGCGCCCGATCCGCTATCTCGTGGCCCTTTTATGCAAACCCGTTTTCCCCCTTCATCCACCAACCTGGCAGGCAGCAAGCGGCGCAGTCTCTCCTCACACGGAGGTCTGCTGAATAGGATGTTCGGCGTTAGCTCGAGCGTCGGAGGCTCCAAATCCGACAAACCCGAGACCGACCCAGCCCTGTCCGATCCAAGCACCGGGAGCGAGAAGGATAAGGCCGGCAGCAAGTCGCCGTCCCCGGAGAAAGCCGACGTCGACATCGACCGTTCCACTCCAGATCAGGCTGCGGGTGCCGTGAAGCCGAGCGGAAATGGCAGCCCTCCTTCTAATGCCGGAAGCTCGGCCGAGCAGAAGAAACGTCGCAGCAGCGGGGTGAGCGGAAAAGCCAGCAACCTTATAGCCCAAGCCAAAAACTCCCTGTTCACTCAGGTTGGGAGTCGTACCAACAGCGATCTGGCTGCTGACTCAAAGTCGTCTAACCAGACTCCCCTGCAAAAGCTCGGCAAGCAGGACCAGGCTCTTGCCGTGCCCCAGGGCCAGCACAACAATGCCGCTGGCGAGTCGCACCCTGGGCCGAGATCGACCTTTAGAGTCGGCGTCTGGGAGGACAGAAACAAGAAATGCAGACGCACCATGGAGGATACCCACGCCTTTCTATACAATTTCTTGCACACTCCGGCACCCGCGTTCGGCGAGGAGGCTGATGGACGGGGCCAGGCAAGCGCTGCTCCCGATCCGCCTGGCGATGGGCAAGGGAGCGGCGCACCAGAACAGGGAATGATGGAGACGGACAATGGCTATTTCGCCATTTTCGACGGACATGCTGGGACCTTTGCGGCGGATTGGTGCGGAAAGAAGCTCCACATAATACTGGAGGAGATCATCAGGAAGAACCCAAATGCCCCTATACCGGAGCTCCTCGATCAGACCTTCACGGCCGTCGATGCGCAGCTGGAGAAGCTACCGCTAAAGAATAGCGGCTGCACAGCGGCCATCGCCGTGCTTCGCTGGGAGGACAGAGTGCCGAGCAGCTCATCGGCTACCGGATCACAGGCCATCGCGCCGGCACTCGCCAAGGCAGCTGAGGAGGCGTCCAAGGCGGAAGACCCGTCATCCCTCTCGGCTCCCGACGCCACTCAGGCGAAGCTGAAGAGCACAGCAACAAGGCAACGAGTTCTCTACACTGCCAACGTGGGAGATGCCCGAATTGTCCTCTGTCGCCAGGGAAAGGCGCTGCGCCTCTCGTACGACCACAAAGGCAGCGACGAAAATGAAGGGAAGCGCATAGCCAACGCTGGAGGGTTGATACTGAACAACCGTGTCAATGGAGTGCTTGCTGTCACGCGCGCCCTCGGTGACTCGTACATGAAGGATCTCGTCACGGGGCACCCCTACACCACCGAGACCGTCATTCAACCGGACATGGACGAATTCATAATTATTGCTTGCGACGGCGTAAGTGGATGCAAGTAAGATCTAAGCGGTAATTGGACATTATGCTGACGATAAGTAAGCTCTGGGACGTTTGCTCAGACCAAGACGCTGTCGACCTCGTCCGTAACATACAAGACCCCGTGGCAGCAGCCAAGCTTCTCGTAGACCACGCTCTCTCCCGCTTCAGCACCGACAATCTGTCGTGCATGATTATCCGCCTTGACAAACAGGCCCTTATCGAGAACCAAAACAACAAAGACAAGGCCATCGGTGTCGAGGGCGATCCCGCCGCCGGCAAGGTCAGCGAATCAGAAAAGATTCTCGACAGCACCAAAGCGAAGATCGCCGAGGGCGCCACTTCGCCCGTGGGGATATCGGCGAGCAACGACGGCAAGGGCCACGACCCCGGCCCGCTTCCCGATGGAGAGAAGGCGTTCGTCCCGACTGTGATTCACGGGCCGGTCGAGGAGGAACCGGTTTCGATCGAGGACTCGCCTGGCGGAGAGATGCAGGCGGATTCGTCGAAGGGCGCGAGCCAGGACACGCCGCTGAAGGACACTTAGAGAGATGCCTTTCGGCTTCGGCGTCTGCGGCCTCCGTCGTGGGACGACCTCAGGCAGTGTGAAGACCCGACCGGCTGGTGCCCCTTTGGTTGACGTCGTGACATTTCTGCCACCTTGTGTTGGTACAGATGTTGCAACACCAGAGTGGTGTCTTTGAGAGGCTTAGCAATGAGAGTCGTCTTGGTTGTTATTGTCTACGGTTTTGGCGAGGGAAACAGGATAGGACTGGCATTGCTTTGGCAGGTTTGGCTTGGCAAGGGAAGCTCCAGAAATACTTGTTTAGCGAGGGCATGGGCCACGTAGACGGACTGGTATCTGCGAGGGGTCTGGTTTGCTTATTTGTAGGTCAAGTGTGAAATACGACAGCACTGTCATTGCTGTGTTCCGGCTGGACTGCGTATCATCTATCAGTTGGATCCAAAGTCACCGTGCAAGCCCATGGTTATAACCAATGATCGACACCAGCTTTATCACTACCATGTGTATGTCTATGGGCTGATATGTGGCTCTTGATGATAGCGTAGGCTGACTCTTTTCGCCTCCACTTGCTAGATACCTTGTCGTACTCGAGTGGGTTCACACCTATTCTCGGATCGAAGCGCTTGGCCACGCAATCTCAGTTGCCAGAGTCAGGCCGATAGACTTGGTACCCATAGCAGTTCGTTGGTGACGTCGGCGAGCTTCATCTGAGTACTTGTCAGGTGATACACTCAAAATGTAGCCCTGTGTATAGTGCTTCTAAGTATTGAATGGCGTTTTCTGGTTGATCTAAGTCCTTCCTCGGCAAGTTACAATGGCAATTTTGTCGAGTCATATGCTCCATTGATTAAAGCGCCATCAACGAGCGGAGGAATGTCCAACAGTCATGAGACAGACATGATCGAATCTTGGGTGTGCGGCAGTCAAAACGAGTTGAGATACAGGGGCTTGCCCATTGTCAAAGCATGCGCGAAAGTGAGGCGGTAACCGGCAGTGGTTGTAAAGAGAGGCTCTGCTCTCAGGGATAAAGATCTCCGGGGAATGAAATGTAAGGAATATACGAGCGAATATAGAGGGTGCTCTAAGAAGAAGTTAGGGCTTCCCAGATGCAATTTAATTTCGTGGAGGTGCTAGACTGGCTCCTTCTCAAAGACACATGTATAGAAAGGGAGCAAATGGCAAAATGTCATTGATATCTTCAACTCTGAAACTGGGAGAGAAGCAAGTTCAAGAGGCTCATGACATTTGCTGCGAGTATTGATTGACCTGGAAGCTGGTTCAGGCACAAGTGCCTGAAACGAAGCTCTGATTGTGGGGCTCCCTCATGCGGTTAGACCCAACAAGGGGAATTGGACTCCACCGTGGGGGAGTGGAAGTTTCGGGATGAGGACGGGAGAGTCAGGAGACAACTTAGGGAGGGGTTGAGGTACCTGTCGAGGAAGCGGTTTTCATGTAATCTCGGGAGTGTTGGTCTAAACCAAGACTGCTGTTAGCTTCTGGACCCGTGGATGGCAAATCTGGTAGTAGATACATGTTTGGATTTTTTGTTTGGACACTGTGTAGACTGGTCTGTCCCTGACCACCGACCCACCCACCCGATGCAGCCAATTCGAACGGCTTGCAGCTCCCATTTGGGCTTCGTCTGGACCCCTGTTCACGCTACCCAAATATCGCACCATGAAAGGAGGCCAATTCAGAGACGGTTCACCTCCTTTCAAACCCATCCCCTGATTCATTCCCCTAAATTTTTCTCTTCGAAGGACCTTATCGTCCACCAGCTTTTCGGTCCAGGTGTCTCTTGAGGATTGAGACAGCGACTCTCTTTGCTGTTGCCTCCCTTCCTACGCCAACCCACGCTCATTCTTCCCTGTGTTTGCTTTTTACTGGGGGGTTTCGTTCTCTTTTGTCAATTGCCAGTTATTTCCTTTGCCCGAGCATTGCTACCTACGCCTCTTCGACAAGCTGGTCGCGACGACATTGGCAAGAACTAGCCCGAAGCTCCAACGGCTGAAGAAGTGTCGTGGCTCGTCGCCCGATTTCCGTCGTCCACCCGAGAGCTGCTGCAACCCTTCTACGGACCCCTCCATGTTTCTCGCGTGCCTTAGTCGCGCTGTCTCGACATTATCTGACAGGCCAAAGGCTCCATGTACCTAAGCTTGGCTGAGTTACACCAGAGCGATACCGAGTCCGCGGATCGCAAGACGCCCGCCCTCTTGATCAGTCCTCTCGACCAAAACGATCACTCTATCCCGCCGTCCCGGATACAGAGAGACGCGGAACTGGCGCTCCAAGCTGCTAGCCCGAGATGTCCCTGAATGGGTTGGACGACGCACAAGTCAAGGAGGCACACGAAGCCGCGGTCGCGGAGCCGGGAGGATGGTATGTCCCTACCACGTACTCTCATCTCTTCTGATGCTGTTGTGCAACTTGTTTTTGGGGGCATCAGAAGCTCCGGTCTCTTGAATCCCTTAGTCGTGCTTGTGTGCTGGGTTACTGGTGATCTAACGCTGCAAATAGGTTCCTCCTCAAGTATGCCTCGCGCGACGAAATCGAGCTGCTAGGCCGCGGCAGTGGCGGCATCGTCGAAATCCGGGACAAAATAGCGCAGTACGAGGAGAAGTCGCCGCTGTTTGGTTTCCTCAGATATAGGCGCCGCAGTGTAATTATCAAGTACCTACCCGATGACTGTTCTAGGTTGATCCAAGGTACCCTCGCGTCTTCATTGCATGGCCCCGTTTTCGTTCACAGTACAGAGGCTTATTCCAAAACCTTCCAGCTCGCGTCACTGTCCACTTCGATGCCGTCTGCGACCGCTTCTCGCCATATGACACCACCTTTGAAATATCCGAGTCGAAGGAGCTCAAGGATACCAAGCTCTCAGCCGCTTGCTCACTCCATGCTGCCTCTGGCTCGACGTCTTCCTCGACCAGCTCGCTACGTCGCAGGCGATTGATGGAAATCGCCGAGGAGGAGGAGGAGGAGGAGCGCGAGAGAAAGCGCCAGTCTGTGGTCAAGGAAGACGAACGCCCGAGTTCCCCCGCCACACAGATCTCCGAGACACCTGTCAAATTGGACGCCGACCTTGCCAAGTTGCCAGAAGCTTCGCGATTTGCCAGCGAACTGGAGCCGCCGCACTTCATGGGCATCCCAAGACCTACTTCGCCGACAAAGTCCTTTGATGAGACGTCACGGCGCCTGTCTTCTCAGTCCTCGCGAACTGACATCTATCCAACGACTTCCTATCCGTATTCGAAGCCTAGGGTGAAGCTAGGTCCAAGGCCCTCAGCAGACCCTGTTGGACGCCCACACTCGTCTGCTGGGAGGGCAACCCATCGGCCTGTCGCGACGGTACCGGCTGGCCTCAAGTCGCTGTCCAAAGGCTCCAGGAAAGACCGCTCTCAGCCTCGGGGCCAGGACGATGAGGCGCCCGAGTCCCCAATCAAGGAACAAGCAGAGATTTCTATTCCGCCGCTCGAAGCAGTTAATAATGAATTTAAGCCTACTAACAACGAAGTTGCCCAACATCCTGAAAGAGCCCAAGCCCCCTCGATATCTGTACCTAAAGCCGCTATGCCGGCCACTGCCCAACCTACGAACAAACAGAATACGATGACGCCCGAGAAAGCCCGGCTGTTGAAAGCCATGAAGTTGAGGGAGAAAAAGAAGATGATGCGCTCGCACCCGGCCGTCGATGCGCCTGCTGGGGATATACCGTCAGGCCCCAACACCCCGGGGCTCTCGGAGGAGAAGCAGGATCCAGAAGCCATTGCTGAGTCGGGGGATACGTCGAGTGAGGACGCGAGGCAACAAGGCGATCTGGCTGCAGCCAACCCTGACTCGGAAGTTGATGTCGCGACAGACCATGCCTCTGTGGATACTTGCACGGATTCCCACCCCCCGTCACCGGCGGCCACTTCAGACATTGGCGATTCCACTCAAGCTTCATCGCTATCTGAATCTACAGATGGAACCATTCTTGCTAAGGACGAGCATCCGGATCGGCATGAAGAGAGTGGAATCACCGACAGCAAGTCACCCCAAAGTGAAGCGTTGCCCTCCGAGGCATCTATCAATGCTGCAGATGCTGGGCTACATGATAGGCACTCACAAGCGACCATCACTCCGGTTGACGAGCCCGGCACGGCTGAGAACAGGACTTCTGCGGCACCTGCGGATGACGGCGAGCAGCCTAGCAAACCGGAAGCGCCGTCAGAGGATCCTATTCCGGAGACCTACTCAATCCCAACATCATCCGAGGCGCCGGCCGCACCCAGCGCATTCGAGAAAGAGTCGAGCGAAGCAACTTCGGCGGAGCTAGTTGACGCCCCAGTGCTAACATCCGCCGCCCTAGAGAGAATGGCTTCCGATGCGGATTCAACTCAGCAAATCACGGCGGCATCAAAGGTCCGGATTCCCCTTTCTAAATTCTCCACGCAGGAGACAAAGTCGCCTGAGGCGGCAGCAACCCAGGGTGTGCCTGAAGTCATTGCCAATACGCCGGATGTGGATTCGTGGCGTGTTGCAGCGCCACCTGTTCCACAAAAGGACGACGGCGCCGTGACGGGCGAGGCTGCTGGGGTGGAATTCAAGAGTCGAAATCTCCCTGAACCAATACCGACAGACTTGAATGTACCGGATCACGACAAGCGGCGCTCCCTCATCAGTGCCCTGGACAACGACGGCTTCATAGAAGAGCTGCAGTCGGCCACCGTGCAGCAGGCTACGCCCGTCACTGTCTCGAAATCTCCTATTTCTCCGTTCTTCTCCGTGGACCAAGGGTGCAAGAGAGTTGCTGGTGAATCAGAGAGCAATGGAGCCGCTCCACGGTTCTCGAGGACTGTATCAAATCCTGTTCGTAACTCCTTTCTGGCCCCTGGGGAAGCATCGGCCGGGCCCGTCAGGTCCGCCTCATCCGGTGCCGCCTATCTGCAAAAGGTCTCTCAACAGCCGGCATCGGCAGACCTGCGGCCGAAGAGCGCCAAGCTGGGCTCGAGCATTTCCCAGCGGATCAAAGCATTGGAAAAGCTCTCGGGCAGCTCTCCTGGTGGAGATGCGACGCCGAAGGAGCGCCCTGCGACGACATTCTTTGCCGTCCGTAAAGCCGCGACTCGGGAATCCTCGAGACCATCGTCTGTGGTAGACATGGCCGGTCCTCTTGTTGGCGGGGTGACACCCTCTCCACCGGCATCCAGGGACTCCTCTCCTGAAACCACCAAGGCCCTTGGACGTGGCCGGTCCGGATCCTTGGTAAACCGGATGTCAATGTTTGAAGGGGGGATGCCTCCCAGAGGCAGACCTGAATCTGTTCAAGTGACGGCACGCATTGTCCGCGATCCGAGCCAGCCATTCCCTAGAGCTCCCGAGTCAAAAGGCGGTTCGCCAGAGTATGCGCCCTTGGACTTGAAGCAGTCACCACTCTTGGTGGACGTGCATAATCGCGTTGACTCGCAGAGTCCTGTGCGGCCTCCTAGTGTTATGTCGGTGCGTACGACAGAGCAGGAGCTTGCAGCCCAGGCCAAACAGACCCTGCTGGAACGGCGGCAGTCGAAACAATCCCAGGAGGGCGACAAGGGAGGCGCAAAAGGAGAAGACGTCGATGGTCCCCGCCCACGGCGACGGTCGTCTTTGTCACTTGTCAAGGACTTTATCAAGGACCGGACTGAGTCAATCATGGGAGCGAAGTCGCCGTCGACGGATAACCTGGGCAATCCCCTCTCATCAGCGCCAACAAGCATGGCGTCTCCTACAAGCTCGCGGTCCCCTTCCCGTCCGCCATCGGTGCACCAGCCTGGCTCTCTTGCCCGTCGCCTTAGCGTCAGCAGCCGCCGTTCGTCAATCGATCAGAACGCTTCTTCGTCGGTGCTAATCCCTGCCCGGACCCCCAATGTTGGCTCTGAACCGGAGGCCGAGGCCAAGAACGGCAGCAGACCTGCTAGCCCGAACCAAAGCAAGACCAGCCGTGCTTCCCGTTTTATCCGGCGTTTGTCCAACACGTTGGCGACGGGCAGGAAGAACGGTGCTCCGTCTATCTCGCCCACCGTGGCCGAGGAGAACGCCGCGGAGGTTGAGGCCGCGTCCCGAGGGAGCACGACCACGAACGCTGCAGCCCAAGCCCCGCCCAGCATCGTCGCGTTCATGGGCGATGTCAATGTCCAGTTTCCGGACAACCTCTTATGGAAGCGGCGGAGCATCTGCCTTGACAGCCAGGGATTCCTCATTCTGAGCGCGGTGCAAGGCACGGCCACGCTACCTACCGGCAAGGACAGGCAAGGAGTCAAGCGGTACCACATGAGCGACTTCAAGCCTCCATATGCGCCCGATGTGGAGTTGCAGGAGCTGCCCAACAGCGTTGTTCTCGACCTGGTTGGCGGCAGCGGACTGCAAATTGCGTGCGAAGACCGGGCGGGCCAGATGAGCATTCTGCGCAGTAAGTTTACCATGTTATGTTTGACGGGTCTACGTGACAAATGCTGACGAGCGGCAGTCCTCGAGGAGGCTCACCACAACCACTCAAGCTTTGGACGTTGACCACCCGATCCTCCTCCAGATCCATGATGGACTACTTCACCTAATTCCCGCAAGCAATGGCTTCGTCCCCTGGTGTGGCAAACACACTGGCACACACTCTTTCCTTGTTGGGTCTAGAAACCCTAGTCTCACCGCGATGTTGATTTCTTGCCCCATACGACCTTTGTTCCCTTTCTATGGATTACACCCTTCTGATACCAGAGATACATTTCGTGTCACGATCTTTGTGCTCTCCCATCGAGGAAGCCACATAAATTGACACTCGCTGGCCTTTCCCTTTTCTTCGTGATACCAACAACTTTGTGACGGCTTTTCAGCAATCTCATTAAACCTTTGTCGGATGATTCTTGGCCCGAGGATGACAGGGTGGCTTTTCATTTCTTGTTGGCGGTGGGTGAAGAATGAGGGATGGAGAGGAAAGGTTGCAGGAACTGCCCGGTGTCTGAGCTGATAAAATGCAAAATGCCGGTCTCCCCAGTCTGCTCATCTTGTACAAGGCATGGTGGCGCCCTCGGCCCAATACCTTCATTGTACATACATTATACATAGCCTGGTGTGCGCCTTTGTTTCTAACTTGAGTCAATCATGTCTGATCTGGCTTCTTCATGTTGTTGAAAAGCAAAGCCCCAGCGCACCAAGCAATGCCTAGCAGCAGGATCTTCAGTCCGTGAGAGGTAAGAGACATGCCATGATAAATACATCTTTGCCGTTCCTGCCACGCGCCCATCAACCGTTACCCATTCGCTTCTTCCCCAAGTCTGGTTCTGACCAAATGAAGTCATCGTACAGTTATACAAAGATGGAAGACGGCCCTCAGTATTCCGATCCCCTTTAATAATATACATATAGACCCGTAAAGCGCAGCATTTACGCACCGCCAGGGCTAAACTGTGTGGCCACAGGGTGGTTCCCACGACACTATCTCTATCCCTCAACAGTGTGTTGTTAAGAAACAGAGCGGCCAGTGACTCTTTGCTGTCCTTTCCAGGGAATGCGTCGCCACACCAAACACCCCATCTTGGCTGTGTCATCAGTGACAGCCATCCTCCGGCTGTTTACAGCGCAGCCTTGGCCTCGGCCCTCCCCCCGCCCTGAAGCGCAGCGCCAATTTCCTCAACCGTCATGCCCCCCTTTTCTCCCCCGGCGCCGGCGGTCAGCACCTCGCCGCCGAGCTCACGCATCCGCTGCTCCTGCTCCATGGCGGCAAAGTTCTGGTCCTCGCCGTAGGCCAGGGCAAAGGGCACGCCGACGAGCAGGGCGCTGACCGACACGGTCCAGGCGGCCCGCCCCGCGAAGGAGAGGGCCGACTTGATGGTAGACGTGGTGACTTCGTACTTGTGGTGGATCCAGCCGCGCGCCGTTGCGGGGATCATGTCGCGCAGGGCGTCGAGGCGCTCGGCGAGGGTCTCTTCTGTAGGGTCGTAATTGGATTCGGTGGAGATTTCGGAGTCTGGTTGGAGGGAGAAGTAGGTTGTTAGTTTAGAGGATATGTGGATGATAAAGAGCGGAGAGATGATTCATACCGGTGTCGGTGAAGTCCTCATCATCCTCCTCTGGGCCCGGCTGGGGCTGCTGGAAATGCTCGTCCTCGACTTCTACAAGTTGGACCATCTTGGCGGGGGGGTGTTGTTGTATGTAGAAGAGAACGGTATTACGTTATATGGTACAGGTGACTGTCTTCGCTCGTTACAGAGGCGAAGATGCGGTTGTGCTTGGTGCTGTTGTAGATTCGCCAACGAAATTGATGATGGATCAAGACTTCAGGATTCAGGTTCGCGAAAGCCGCCTCCCTGGTCAGAACGTCTTTTTTTCGCGGATAAGGAAGATGACTTGGGGCCGCTAAGCCGTAAGCGGGTAGAGGCAAATGTGGGTCCGATTGTCAAGCGGCCCGGTGGAGTCATTGGGTGCAAGTTGAATGGCCAGCGAGGTTTCAACTCTGGGACTCATCTCTCACGCAAACAGACAACGAAGCTCTCCTGGCCGCCACGGATCCAACGTCTGAATTGCCCCTGACTTCTGCTTTATAACCCACAATGACTCTGGGAAGCATTTTCCCTCAGGCCTTCAGCACAAGGTTCAAAACTCTAGAGTACGTACGGTTGGGAGGTTTGACGCTGGTGTCGCTTTTCCATCCCTGACACTGCCCGAGGATATGGGATCTTAATGATTCCAACCTGTCCTGCCAATACCGCGCTACTTTATGGAGATATATAACCACACATCACCAACCCAACATTCAAGCATCATGGTGACAGATACTTGGTGGAAAAAGTAACTGGAATTCTCCCTGTTCATTACTCCTTGCCGCCCGCAGCATTTGAAGGCCGAGACGCCTCCATCTCGTACGCCCGTGACACTGCAGCCACCTCGGCAACAGTCCGCGGGGGATTGTACGCCGGAGCCGCTCCCTGGGGTGTCAGAGAGCTGTACATCGGGTACTGCACCGCCTGGGACACGTCATGCTGCCCCTGCACATGATGGACTTGGGCCGCTCCAACGTCCTTGAGGGGCTCCTGTGGCAGGTTCGGGGGATGGGCAGCTCCGGCACGTTCTGTAGCCGGATGTCTCCTCAGACTTCGTCTGTGAAACCACAGAAGCAGGGCAACCACGAGCGCAAGGAATGCGACGCCTCCGACGGCAATGCCTGCGATGGCCCCCGTCGACACCCCTCCAGAACCGCCGCCGCTGTTGGAACTGCCGCTTGATCCTGCCGTCGTCCCGCCATCGCCGTCGTTGCTGTTGCCGTTGCCGTTGGTGCCGCCGGAAGAACCACTCCCAGGCGCCCCGGTAGTCCCAGTCCCGCCACCGTTGCCCGCCCCTCCGCTTGACTGCGTCGGCCCAGCGCCAAACTGCGATGCGACGGTGGCCAACATGCTTTTCGGGACGCGGGCGCCTTCCTCCTGGCAGATACCGGTCCTGCCAGAGTCCGGAATAAGTCCGACCATGCCCTGCGGACAGCAGAAGTAGTAGTCTGTTTTCCCAAGATGGTACTATAACGTGATCTGTGTCAGTCATCTCCCGAGTTCGTTGTATCATGTTACAGGCTCGCCTCTGTTCCTTACCATTTTCCAATCACTGTTGGCACAGACGGGGAGATTCATTACCGTCGTCTCGCACGGCTCGTCTACATTTGGGTGGACACCAAGCGGGTTAGAACTACCGTACCAACAGCCATCTTCTGGGCAGCGGGAGGATGCGACACATACCATCCGGACAGCAATGTGCTGGCCAGGAGCCGGAGCATTTCTGGCCGTTGGGACAGCAGTTAAGATTGTACCAGGAGTAGGGCTGGCATTTCACCGGCGTATCCGCCGGGCATGACGAGCCGACGTATCCCAGCGGCCAACCCCCCTGATACGTCGTCGTCTGACGTTCGAAGAGTTGAACGGCCGGCTGTGCTAGCTGCATGGCTTCAAGAAGATGGATCAGGAAACGAGGCGTCGGGCAGCGACGCAGCAGACGCGGGAGCGCCTGGCTTTCATGAGAAAAGTACTGAGATCAACAAAAAGGGGAATGTAGTACAGGTCAGGGGCTGATGTCGCGTCAACTCCGACGGCTGAGTCTGGACTGACGCCACTCTCAGCCCTCCTCCACTACTCACAGCCACTCAACACCAACGGGATCCCCCACCCAACATGTCCCCAGCCTATGTTTAATCTGAATCGCTATCAGAGCTGCCACTCGACCCCGAACCGGACCCCTTGCGCTTGTGATGCTTCTTCTCCTTTTTGTACTTCTCGTCCTTGTGCTTTTTCTCCTTCTTGTGCTTGCCCCCTCCCATAACGCCGCCTAGCATACCGGCCGCAGCAGTCGCCGGGTTGAACGCCCCGCCGCCGCCAATTCCGCCTCCATGTCCTCCGCCTCCGTGTCCGCCATGTCCGCCCCCGAGCAGCGCGCTGGCGGCCGCGCCTAGCAGCCCGCCGCCCATCATGCTGCTGCCGCGGCTGTCATGCTGGCCCGGTGGTGGTGCGCCGTATCCTGGCTGTCCGCCTCCGTGCTGCTGCTGGTACGGAGGGTTGTATTGGCCTTGTCCCTGGTGAGGAGCGGATGGGTAGGGTGAGCTGCCATGAAGGGCGCCGCCGTAGGGCTGCTGCTGCTGGTAGTGGGACTGGGGAGGGTATTGCTGCTGTTGCTGCTGCTGCTGCTGGTGGTGGTGGTGGGGCGGAGGAGGAGAGTGGAAGTTCTGCGGAGGGCCTTGCGGTTGGTACTGTTGGTTTGGGGGATACTGGTAGTTTCCCTGCTGCTGTTGTAGAGGGTAGGGTGGTTAGCGGAGATTCCTTGGGCAGGCCGTCAGATATCGGGGTAACGAGCCTGTTGCGGGTAGTGCTGAGGAGGCTGTCCCTGCCCGCCGTAGGGAGCCTGTTGGCCGTAGCCTTGCTGGCCGGGATTGCCGTAGCCCTGGCCTTGCTGCGAGTTGTAGTAGTCTTGAGCCGACATGGCGTTCTGCCTATCTGCGTTCAACGGTGTCTTTACTGGGTTTGCTGAAGATGTCGTTAGAAGAAAGGAGGTACACGTACAGTGTAGTTGGCCAGGAAGATGACCCGGAACGGGTGCGGGGTCCCTTTGACGTAATGCCAGCGGCGTTTCACAGCTCCGGGCCTTTGGCCGCTAGGTGAGTTGCCGCGCGAGCCGCGCCACCAGGATGCTGCTTAGTTCAATGCACTATACAAGTAATCCGTACAGTCCCGCCGGAATGACTGTTAGCGTCTGACTTTGGCGACGAAGTCTTCCTAGAAACTCAAACTCCACGGTACCGTAGAACGGCGTATTATGACGCATAAAAAGATATTAAAAGACTGAGAATGAAGATAAACTTTCCTCTACATTCGGTTTGCTTGTTATAATTGAACGAATGGCTATTAAAGCGGAATGGACGTTTTTGAATTATGCTAGGGACGCCTGTTTATGGTTTTGCGCTAACAATTATTCAAGGCTGTACTCTATCCATTGAGGAACAGCCTGGAGAGCACATCAATGCCAAGAAATGCGACGCTATGACACCAATGCAGTGAAACTTCACGAGTCTCTCAAGTCCAACAAAAGATCTCTCTGCCCTCAGTTGTCGCCGTCCAAGACAGCATCCTTCACATCAGGTTTCGGACTCGAAATCGAAGCAGTTGCCACACAATGAGCAAAACATGCACAGATAGTTACTCGTCTGGAGCTTCGAGATTACCGATCTGGCCAGCCGCCAATGGGCGAGCGACGAGTAGTAACGTTATTTCGTAGCCCAAGAGCACAGTCAGCACTAATCACACGGCAGTTCTGCAATGAGACGGCGCAGCTTGCCAATCCATCATGCATTGGGAAACGAAGCATGGTTCTCGTGTCGCACAGCAGTCAGCATGCCTCAGAATCCACCATGGCAGTGCGGCACCTCTAGGCGTTCATGCCCAGCTCGTGCTAGATGAGCTTGTCAAAACGTGATTCGAGCTGAGCAATCGACGTTTTGGAATAGGTGTACGGATCCGTACACCATATTATCGGTCACTTTACGGAATACACTTACCCGGACGACAAAATGCGCGGCGTCGAGCGAGACTCGGTAACGTGTAGCCGTCGAATAAGTGTTCGAGAATACGCGCTCAGCCGGGGTTATCGCAGACTTTGAAAGTTTGCGCGTTTCAGCCAGACCATCTTACCTGCAGGTGCGGTGCAGGTCATTGCCCAATCCAGACTTGGGACGCTTTTTCAGCCCCCAACGGTGCCAACACAATTCTTCCTCGAATTCCGATAGGTATGGCAGAGCCAGGCTGCCATGGTAGCATGGACTGTAAAGAGCTGACTCCCGTCGCCGCCTCGTCGGCAAGCTCATTCCGTCCAGTGTCACGTCGCACGACCGAACTCGGTACTCGACGATGGAGGCCGACGCTCTGCAGACCTATCCTATGCACCAAGGCGACGACCATCCGACAGGATTTTATACCGCCAAATCTGGAGCGCTGTGGACGGAGGAGGCCTTCCATAGCGATGAGGAACCGGCTGATGTGCGGCCTCGGCCGTCAATACTGGGGTGGCGGTGGGAGCTGCTCTCCCTGGTGTTCAGTATTGGGTGCATGATCAGCATCGTCACCATTCTCCTCGCCTACCAAGATCGGCCGCAAAGCGACTGGCACGGCGGGTTCCTCAGCATCACGGCGACCATCGCTATCTTCTCCACGGGTGCCAACATGGCGGCAGCTCTCGCCCTCGGCGCATGCCTCAGCCAGTACAAATGGCTGCACTTCCGGAAATCACCGCGCAAACTGACCGATCTGGACCTGATCGAGGAAGCGGGACGAGGGCCATTGGGGTCGCTTGTCCTCCTGGCCAAACGACCGTTGGGGCTGGCGAGCGTCGGTGCCGTCGTAGTGCTGCTGTCTTCGATGTTCGATGTCTTCGTTCAGCAAACCGTCACCTTTGAATCACGCGATGTTGCCAAGGACAGCGGCGCCCTGCTTGGGCTGGCACACACCTACGACAGCGGAGCAAGACGAATCTACGGTGCAGACTTCAATGTCGCACGTAAGTTCCTCTGTGATTTACCTGGAATGTGTCATACCTATAATGGGTCGTTGCTGATGCTGCTCAACTTTTCAGCTTCCACCATGGACTTGTCGATGCAGGGAGCCGTGTACCGAGGTCTGTACAATCTTGGATCGCCTGCTGTTTTCAACTGCACCTCCAATTGCCAGTGGAATGGCACCTATTACTCGCTTGGGTTTACCAGCACTTGCGCCGACGTGACCGAGGCGACTATCCGCCTCCATCCCAACGCGTCTGCGACGTGGAACGTCTCGGCTAACTCACCGCTGGACGGGAACCTCACCACTCCAGGCGGTGTTAGACTACCCGCCCCTTATTCGGCCACGTCTTGGCAAACAGTGGTCAGCGTCAGCGCCATCAATCTTTTGAATCCGGCGAACATTACGAAAATGCATCCCGATATCGTCCGCATCGGGGTGTTCAGAGTACCTGTCAATACCACCAGCTTTCGCTTCTCCCCTGATAACATGACAATCGTCGAATGCGACATCGCGCTGGCGGCTTACAGCTACTCGAACTTGTCATCCTCGGGCCAGATCCTGAACGTCGGCCATTGGGAACGCATCCGCCTTGATCCGGGCTTCTTAACCTCGCCTGAAAACGATACCAAGTCTAATCTTCTGAGCTTCAACCAGAGCGGGCTCCCGCTCTTGAGGGTTGCGGTTTCGGATCTCGCAGCCCTCCAGCTGCTGTTCACATCGAACCGCTTCAGCGGCATCATCTACGAAGGGGTGGCCGCCTCCCCGCGTCAGGGCATGGGGGACGCGTTTCGATCGGGTGACATTGCCCAGACGGTGCTTGCCATGGTCGACAGCATGACCGATCAGCTGCGCTCCAGCTACAACGTCGCGGCCGTCGGGCAGAGCCTCGTCCCCGAGGTGTTTATTGAGGTCGAGTGGGCGTGGATCACCCTGCCGCTTGTCGTGCAATTCATCACGATCGTGTTCGTCGTCATCATCATGATCAAGAGCGCGCGGACGCCGGGCTTGCCGCTGTGGAAGTCGTCCACTGTTGCGGTGCTGACTTATGATGTGCGGTTCCGCGACGACGGAGATGACGTGGGCAGGCTGGGGACGGGGATCCGGAGTACCAAGGAGCTGGATGCTCTCGCCGAGTCGTGGAAGGCCAAATTGGAGCTGCCTGAGCGGAAGTGAGAATATGGTATTGCCAGCGTGCGGAAAGAAAATATCATGAATTTTGGCTGGACTTGTACTTACGCAGAGCGAGAGCCTCAAGTCGACATTACATCAGCTGGCGGCAATATGTCCGTCAAAGTCAGCTGAGGGGAGCAGACTGATTCGGTTCAGTAAACATGAGCGATGGCCAGGTACTTGCCCCACATGTATTGTACAAGGTCTGGTACAGCCTTGGAGGTGTGTGCTTTGAATAAAGGCACACCCACAATCAGAGCAATGGATTCTCTCAGACAATTGAATTGCTGAAAACACATGCTAACTCATTATCTCATATACCTAAGATGAATGAATCTTTCTTGACGGGTGGCTTGACTGGGGGCCGAGGCCAGTACAGCGCGAGAGGTCAACACAAACATCATGAACGTTTCATCTACCTCATGCGTTTTCACTTCAAATCTACCCAACAAATTCTGTTCCTCGCTTCAGTAACCCAAATGCCAAAAGTAAGCCATCTTCCGCACCATGCCAATGAACAACTTACTGAGAGAAGCCCCAACTCCAAAAAAGTACAATGCCATGCCATGCAACATCGAAGTCACCCGCTTATTACTCACAGACTCCCTCACTCCAACGACCTCCCCCGATCAGGGACATCCGCAAACCGAATCGATCTCGAAGGCGGCACTCTCGGGGTATCGTCATCGTCACTATCCTCCCCGTCCCCGTGCGGCGCCATGCCCAGGGCAGCCTCTCTACGGCGCCGTTCCGCAGCCGTCTCGGCGTGCTCGTCGTCATCGTCATCACCACCGCCACCGCCAGCCACACCCTGCAAAGCTGCCAGGCGCCGCCTGCGCTCCACCTCCGTCTCCGGCAAGTCCCCGCCCCTCGCCTTCTCGGTCGGTGACGTCGCCTTCTTCGGGGAAGACGACCTCGATGCGGCCTGGCTGCCAGTCGCTTCCGGCTCTGGCGCTGCGGCGGCAGACGTCGGGGCAAGAGCGTAGTCTTTTCTGCTGACAGTCGTCGACAAGCCCGGGGTCTCAGCGGTTTGCGGCTCAGCGTCGAGCTTGGCGACCTCCTTAAGGCCTTGCGATGCGTCCGACTTGTCCAGAACATCACGGCGCGTGGGCTTGTCGAGTTTCCGTAGCTCATGGATGAAATCCTCCTTGGTCAGCCGCCGGCCAACGCCGCCGATGGTGAACCGGATGTGCCTGTCGTCTTCCTCGTCTTGCTCAGCGGTCTTCTTACGCGGCTTCCGTGCCGAGGACTCGCCAGCCGTCGACGGTTCGCCAGTCTCCGCTGTCTTGGCGAAGACACCCATGCCCATGTACTTCAGACCTTGAGGCTTCCAATCAGGTTGAGGTTTCTGCGTTGGCAAGTCGTATTTCTTGATAACCTCGCCGTCTTCGTTCTCCACAATGATCTGTTCAAAATGTTAGCACAGGCTAAAGTCGAAGCAAGGGGGCTTGGCGAGGGACATACCGTGTTGCCGAACTGAAACGCCCGGGCCGGTGCTCCTTTCCTCGCTGGCTTGCTCCCTTCTTTCCTCTTCGCCAGCTCTGCCTCACGCCAGTGCATCACTCTCTTCTTCAAGGAATCATAAGTCCAGCCAGAAGGCCCCGCTTCCGATTTCAACTTGCACGCAAGTTCCTTGGCCTGGTCCGTAACGTTTTCTCTAGTGTGCGTCGGGGAAACCGCAAGCACGTCGCCCTCGCGGTTTTCAGTGATGATATTATCGCCCTCATCGTAAACCTCGACGGGTCCCCTTCGTTCCTCGCTGGGGGGAGCGGGAGGAGCCTCGGCGGGAGCGGCTGACTTTATGGATGCCTCGGCGGAGGACTGCTGGTCCGGCTCCTTTTCGTTAATAATGCCAGGTGTCACAGGCCCAGTCGGTGATATCGGTGTCTCATCTGGTTGGGGTTGATCGGTGCTGCCGCGTAGGAGTTCGGGTGAGAGAGGTGCGCTTTGGCTGCGGCGCTGAGGGAAAATGGCTGACTGGCTGATGGGGCCGCCTGGTCCGATGCCATCATCCCACTTCTTCTTCCGGCGTCGTGCAGCCAACGAGGACGACCTACTTCCCTGTCTGCTGTTATCCTCCTCCCTCTGACGGCGCAGGAAATTTCCAGGGAGGCCGACGGGCGGCAGGGTCCCCGGCGGAAACTCGGGCAGTTTCATCTCGTCAACCTCCGTATCGGACATGGTCCTTGCCTGCGAGCGCGACTGCGACGAAATACGAGGCAGCCGATTCATCCAAGTAGGGCCATCCTCGTTGGCCTGCGTGTACGACATGGTGATGGTCAAAGTGTTGATGTGCTTGCCCAGCGTGAAGACGGCAATCGAAGAGCCGTGGACAATGATGGAGGCGACTACAATGAATGCAACAATGGGCCAAACAAGCACAATCACCGTATAGTGCTCGGAGCCGGGCGGTGGCAGCTCCGGAAGAGGGACGGTGTCATGGTGCTCCAACTCTCCCCGTGCGAGCATTGCGACGAAGATGGCACCGACTCCGATGGGCCCGAAGTGACCAGCGAAGAGGGCTTCGCGCCATGTTTTGATGTCGGGAATGACGGGCTTCAGGGCGAGCATGATGGGAATCCGGCGGAAGAGAATGACGAAGATGGCGAGGACGGCGAGTCGCCAGGCCTGCAGGCCAATGGCGGCGTCGTTGAACTCGTTCCACGGTATGATGGTGCCAAAGTAGACAAAGTAGGCCAGATTGAGCAACAAGTCGATGACGTTGGAGACGTGGGACTCTTCCGTCTTCTGGGTGAACCAGCCGTCGTTGGAGAAGCCGACGCCAGCAGCGAAGCCGACAAGGAGATCGTCGAGGCCGAGGATGCTGCCGGACCCGGCGCAGAACAAGGCCAGCACGAAGTAGAAGACGAGGAAGCTCTCCCTGTCGATGAGCTCGCGCTTCTCGGCGTACTTGATGCCGTGGCGGGCGAGGTAGCCGATGACGAAGCCATACACGGCACCGAAGACACACTCGTACAGGATGGTGTAGACTATCCAGTGGAACGAGACGTTCTTGGCGCTCTGTTTGTCAAGGATGAGATACAGGGACAGGTAGATGAAGGGGAAGGCCATGCCGTCGTTGCAGCCCGACTCGGCCGAGAGCAGGTCGCGCAGGTGCTTGGGGACCCTCTTAGCAAACTTCCCCTTGCCCACGACGGATGAGGCGAGAACGGGGTCTGTGGCCGTGATACAGGCGGCCACGACGAGGCTCTCGAGGAAGTTCAGCGGCTCAATGAGCCACCAGACGAACAGACTGGTGATAAGCCAGCCGAACGTCATGACGGGCACCAGAAGGTATGTGACGGATTTCCAGTGCTTCTCCATGTAGTACTTGGGCAGTTCGACGCCGACGGCGAAGCACTGCACGACCAGGACGATGCGGGAGAACTCGAGGGTGGTGATGTCGACGCTGCCCCATGATTCCGGGTCGATGAGGTTGGCGCCATGGGGGCCGAAGATGATGCCGCACAGAGTGGCCACGGTGGCTTCGCCGATGTACATGCGCTCCTTGATGACGGAGGAGCAAAGCATGAACAGGGTCGTGAAGCCGCCGAGGATGATGTAGACCAAGTGCGGCTTGGTGATGGAGAGGTGATCCCACGCCATGGTCTAGCGCCGGCTCGCCCGCCGTAGGGGTTTCCAGCAGCACGGCTGTCGTGGTTGTCTCTGGGCGGGCGGGCAGAGCTGTGAGAGTAGGTGACGATGCGGGAAAGTTGAGCTGAGGTGGTTGGTGAGTGGGTTTGCCCAGGAAGATCGTCCCAATGCCGAGAGTATCAGGAACAGCCCAGAACAACGACGTCACCGGGAGTCGGATCCAGAAGCACTCGGCAACAAAACGAAAGTCAACCTCCGTCTACGACCAGTCTGGGTTGTCCTGTGTCCCCTCCAGTGCCAAAATCCGACCCGACGAAGGACCGCAATTGATACATTCAGCGAACATACGGCAGCGTGCCAACTTTGGTTAACCAATCTCTGTCGAGAAATCCTGACTCATCCCACGAGGAGCCGATCCAGAGGCGACAGCACGAGATTTTCAAGCCGACTTGATGTCGGCAAGAGACGTGGACGCGAACTGAAAACCTGGGACGGGAGTATCCGAAAGTGGCCTAAGAACGTGAATAAGATAAGGCGAAGAAGGGACGATACAAAGGACGATCCAAGTCAAGACGGCAAGGAGCGCCAAGGCCGCATACAGCGACCAACGCCAAGACGGCAGCGAGGGTTTCGGGCGTTGAGCAGTTACCAGCGCCTCGGAAGATCTGGAAACAATTCGACAGAAACAGATGGCCATTGGGGGCAAGCAGCGAATGCCTGTGGGTTTATATGGAAACAATCCGAACCGTCGTCAAGCGAAGGTTCTGTTCTTCTTGCCAGGATTTGCAGCAACCCTGCAGCGAGGCTTGGCGTCAAGCCACGGTGGGGTATGTGGGAACCAGTAGGACGCTAAGCCTGTCTCAGCCGGGTACCGTTCAGGCCGACTTTCCGTCCCGGAGCCTCACCAATTGGCCTCCCATCCCGAGCCGAATTTTCGGGTGGAACGCCGCCGACGAACTTGCGGATTGGGCTAAAGGTGGCTTACTCACAGCCCTATCAATGCCAGAGAGTGCTCAGTATGCGCCGGCCATCCCACGCCGTGTTCTCGTTCCGTTCTGTGGTGCAACCTGCCACTCACCGCGATAATACAGGCGGTGTAATCTGGCAACCCGGGACTCGGAACGTTCACAACGTCGCTTGTCTCACGGTTCTGCCGGACCCTTTCAGCCTGCTCAGGCATGCAAATGTATCAGGAGCCTTCAGAAATCAACTCCCCGCTCTCCAGCGTCGTCTCGATTCACAACCGCTTTGATCTGACAAGCTGACAGTATCGACCTCGCCCATCGACTCTATCGTTTTGCCAAGCCTGCCCGAATTCGCCCAGGACTGTGACGGATTCTATCACATATACTGATGCTTTGAGCCGCCCAGACTTTCTCAACCTCGGACGGGCGGTCTCGACTGTCCCCTTCCGGGCTGCTATGTGCGCCAAGATGGACGGGGCCGACACCGTCCCCTCAATGCCTCCCAACCCGTGCGGGAGCGGTGAGGTGTCGTTTCAACACTCAATCTCACCCCGAGTACGGATAGAGTGGAGAGACTGTTGATTGGACTTGCCCAAGACAAACATCTTCACCCTGGCTCCGGGCATCCAACCACAGCTGGGAAGCCCGGCACGGGCCACGTTAGACTACGGCGTCGGACAAGGGCTCAGCTCTCATGCAAGGCCGGGAATTGGTCTCGTGATCCAGGTGCAGACAAAGAGCCCAAAAAAGTATCTTGCTGGCAGTCTTGTGTCCCTTTGGTGAACATCGAGACTGGATGTGATGAAGTCAGTTCCCGACATACTGGGCTACTTGCATCTGCCACGAAGACTGGGTCCCATGCACAATTCCCCTTTCTGTTGTTTCGCTGGGCTGCTGCGTGGGGGACAACGGGACCCGGTTGGTCGAATCCTCGCGTGCTCGGAAACCATGACGGACAAAGATTGACGCCACGGGAACGTCTCCCGCGCGAGGCCGGTGACGGTATTGTGTCCATACGCACGTAATTAGGTGCCTACACCCAGCTTGTAGTTATCGCGCAGTTGATGTTGGAGTGGCCGATGGTCATCTGAGACGTCGACGAGTTGGAGTCGTAGGAACCAGCAGCAGGGTTAGGGTTCAAACCGCACTTAGTTTTTGAGGGCGGCTAAGTGTCTTGGCACCACCTCGCGCACAGACTCCCCGCGTTTTCGACTGCAGACGCGGTTTGCCCGAGATTGACATGTCGACGCGACTGGGCAGGCCTTCGTGCTCTCAAATGTTTCATTCCAAGGCAACTCACGACCCCAGCTACACATGCCGACAGCTCGCCCCAACGGCCTTGACTCTGTATGACTGGGATTTCCAGTTTACCCCTCCGCCGAGCCGCTTTTCCCCTCGATAAGACCATCGGTTGCCGTGCAGGCCGAGCAAACGTGCATGCTGTTGGATTGACTTCCACTGTTCTCTCACGTCCAATGTTTGGGAGGGCGGTCGAGGCCAATAAGGCCGCTGCGGCAAAGCAGCCGTCGCGCATGCCAGCTAATCACGGTGTTTCCCTGGCGAAACAGCTTTTCCCATCAAGTAGCCCGTCGCCCGCACCAAAACGCGAAGAGAATACCATCACCAACATGTGGAACAAGAGGCCCAATCCATCACCCATGGGTGGCTCATCAATATCCGCAGGCACCAGTAAGCCACTGCAAAACCGCCCATTGAACGTCCCCCCGACAATCGCTCGCGACGCCAGCAGCAAGTCTCTCGCCTCGCTTTTGACCAATCCAGACTCGTTCAAGGAAGAGACTGGCAGCCCCCGATTGCCAAGCAAAGCGTCACACATCAACAATTTAGCTTCCGCAGTATACATTCACGAGTCGGATTTCTCAGACGACGACAACCTCGAACTCGACTTCCAATCTGTGTCCGCCTTGCCTCAGCTCCCTCCCCAGCCACCGCAGGCTACGGCCAAACAACGAGATGAGCCCCCGCCGGCGACCAATACAAGCGTGCTCTCCTGGTCACAATCCTCGCCGTCGCATCTCCAGCCACCGGCGCCTCGAGCGGCCTTACCCCAACAGACATCCGCCAAACGTTCCTCCCCGGATGACGATCAGTCGGCCCCTTTGGGTAAGAGAAAGCGCCAGCTGCCTTGGGCAAAACGGGAACCGGAGGATGAGAGCTTAATGAAGAAGTATGGGGCTAAAGTTGCCACGCCGGCACCCAAAACAAAGGGGTCCGCGCCGTGGAATACCACTGCCAGCGCGGTGAAGGCACAGAAGAAGCAGCTGAAATCGCAGCTCAAGGAATCCGAGAAAGTGGAGGCTTCGTTGGACGAGATGCAGGAGGCTGTCAAGTCGCACCGGCCGAAGACAGCGGCGATTTCGCTCAGCAACGAGCAGCGACATGTCAAGGAGCTTGTTATCGAAGAGGGGCAGAGCGTCTTTTTCACTGGTCCTGCCGGTACGGGCAAGTCGGTGCTGATGCGGGCCATCATCCAGGAACTCAAGAAGAAATACGCGCGAGACCCAGAACGTTTGGCAGTCACGGCCTCCACAGGCCTCGCTGCGTGCAATATCGGCGGCGTGACTTTGCACAGTTTTGCCGGCATTGGTCTCGGGAAGGAGGACACCAATATGCTGGTCAAGAAGATCAGGCGGAACCCCAAGGCCAAGTCTCGGTGGCTCAAGGTCAAAACGCTCATCATCGATGAGGTATCCATGGTCGATGGCGAGCTGTTCGACAAGCTGTCCCAAATTGGCCGAATCATCCGGAACAACGGCCGTCCCTGGGGCGGCATCCAGTTGGTCATCACGGGCGACTTCTTCCAGCTTCCGCCTGTCCCTGAGGGCGGCAAGCAGAGAGAGGCCAAGTTTGCTTTCGATGCCGCAACCTGGAGCATGTCGATCGATCACACCATTGGTTTGACCGAAGTCTTCCGCCAGCGAGACCCAGGTAGGTCGAGCCTTATTGATCCACCAAGCCTGCATACTGACAATCTGCAGAGTTTGCCGGAATGCTGAATGAGATGCGTCTCGGGAGAATCAGCGACGAGACTATCCGAAGTTTTCAGGCTCTCAGCCGGCCGCTAACCTTCAATGACGGGCTTGAGGTTACCGAACTGTAAGTCGACCCTCCCTGTAATGGAATTGTCGAGCTAACCATGTTGCTCTTAGGTTTCCCACTCGGCAGGAGGTTGAGTCGTCGAACCAGCGGCGCTTGAACGCCTTGCCTGGAAAGGTGTACCGCTATGATGCGGTGGACGAAGGTGACATCAAGATTCGAGACAGGCTTCTGGCGAACATGATGGCCCCTCCAAGCATAGAACTGAAGAAGGGAGCCCAAGTCATGCTGATCAAAAACATGGACGACACGCTCGTCAACGGCTCCCTGGGAACCGTGATCGACTTTATGTCCATGGCCAAGTTCGAGTTGCAGAACGGGCTTGAGGACTCCTCGGATGTCGAATCAGACACCAAGAGGCGAGTCCGCGCATTCACCAACGCTCTGTTCGAGACCTCCACCAAAGGCGACGACAAGAAGTACCCGATGGTGGCCTTCCACGCAGTCGATGGCACACAACGACGCATTCTGTGCCTTCCCGAAGACTGGAAGGTGCAGCTCCCGACTGGCGAGACGCAGGCGGCGCGCAGGCAGGTGCCGCTGATCCTGGCGTGGGCCCTGTCCATCCACAAGGCCCAGGGCCAGACGCTGGAGCGCGTCAAGGTCGATCTCGGCAGGGTGTTTGAGAAGGGACAGGCCTACGTCGCGCTCAGTCGCGCCACGACCAAAGAGGGCCTGCAGGTGCTCAACTTCCAGAAGGGCAAGGTCATGGCGCATCCGCGCGTCGTCGACTTTTACAATAAGCTGTACAGCGCCGAGTCGGCCCTCAAGAAGAAGGCTGCTGGGCAAATCACCAGCTACGCTGTCAAGCGGGAAAGGCGGGGCGAGGCGTCTGCGAGGAACCCAGTGTCTGTGTTTGACGAGGATGAGGAGGAGGCCATGGCGGCGTACGGTTGAGCGGTCGGTATTTCGATGGAAGTGTCTGCATGATACGGTGTTGTTAAGTACTGTGACTGGCGTCTGCGGAGCAAAGAGGCGGCTTTTTGGAGTGTATCATATCTGTCGGTTGTCTTGGGATGGTAAAACAGCGCCTACACTTTTGGTGGACAGGGCGGAGGGGAGAAAGAGCATTGATTTACATGGGGGTACTACGCTTTGCATGTTAAGAAAGATAGGGGTGCAAGGCTTAGGAGCAAGTGGGCAACAGTATACTCATAAGAACAACAAGAGATATTTGCGTGGATGTCTCTTGGTGTTTGCAAGTTGGCATTGTTCCAGTACTTCTGGGCTTTGCGTTGGCAGTGAGTGAGAGTCTAGCTCATCAGGATGCATGTTGCAGGATGTGTACAAGCAGATATTAGGGGCACTTGACTGGCAATGGGATTCCGACGTATTTCTCTAGTGACACGAACCAAAATTTATCAGGCACTGTTGAGGTTCAGCCACGTTGACGCGGTTGGATCTTGCGACAGCGATCACCATCTACACAAACCAACGCACTTTGTCATTTAGAACAAAATTCATTGAACTTGTAAAAGGTGTGCGGGCAGGGCGCGGCGAGGAAGGTACCGGGTCAACGGCGTCTAGTTCACCAACTGACGAGAAGCCCGAGAGTCCAGGTAGACGATAGGTTGCACGCCACTGTTGAATGACTGTTGAGAGCATGAGGGGACAAGTTTCGTCTGTGCTTGTATCTACGAATGGAACCCCTGACAGCTCCAGGCACCTGTATGGCAAACTCCTTTATTACAGCGAGAAATCGTCTCAGGTTTTGAGCTACAGAAAACAAAGCCGTTAAACCAGGTTCCAGAGGACCTGAGATGCTTCATCTCGCTCAATGGCCCCCCGTGTCGTAGCCCACGGCCGCCGCCGCCGCTCTCAAGTGGCTGGCATAATATAGACATCTCAGCATTGCAGAGCGCATAAGGTATTTTCTTGGTCAGTAGATGGGTGTGTGACGCAGGCTTGGAGCTCGGGGTCAAGGGGGTTAGCCACTCGCCGCCTCCCTCGCTTCGAGACGCCGCGGCCCCCAAACCTATGGCACACCCGGTTGGGAAATGGGAACTTGATGGGTCCCAAGCCCGAAGCTTCGGTACGGGCCGCATTGAAGTTGAGGTCCGTCGAACTTCAGATTCCCCGGAGATAAGTGGCTATGTCCTAACCCCTGACACTGCCAACAACCGCAAGAAGCATGAGGGCAGTAATTGAACAAAGAGTGCCTTTGTCATCATCGGGGTCTGGCCACAGTCTGATCCTTCAGGCATCAAGTAAGATCTCCAAGACGCCCGGCCAAACCTCCGCTTTCAGCACGCCACAGTACTCCTCGCGCAATGGGCAGACCAGCAGCTCTCACCAGCATCGCCTGCAAGGCAGTAGGCCCCGTTGCTCTTGGACTGATGGGTAAGACCCCGGCGGAATCTAGAAGACTTGAGGTCGGTGACATACCTGAATCGGGCTGGCACTGAAGAATTGTCCCAGGCTTGACTCGTCCTTGGTCGCTTACGGAGTACCCGGTCGCAGCAAAAGTCATGAAAAGCGCACTGGATCACGGCGCTAACTTCTGGAGCGGGGTAAGTGTGCTGTCTGAGTTTCCCTTGCAGCCGTGTGCGGACTCGGCTCTTTCGATAGACGCGTAGGAGCTCATCCTCTGCCGCGCAGAGCCTGCAATACGGGCCCCCTATCGCGAACTCGCTGCAGCTGCTTCAAGTATTACTTTGACAACCACCCCGAGGACCCAGACAAGGTCGTCCTCAGCATCAAGGGAGCGTACGCGACCCCGGGATGCATACCCCGGATGGAAGAGTGGAGGGCATCCGAGCGTCGGTCGGCGAGGCACTCAAGCTGCTGGAGGGCGTCAAGAAGATCGACGTCTTCGAATGCGCGCGCGTCGATCCGAAGGTGCCCATTGAAACTTCGACCCCATGCTCTGGCCGAGCTCGTCAAGGAAGGCCAGATTGGCGGGATCGGTCTCAGCGAGGTCAACGCCAACACCATCCAACGCGCCCACGCTGTGCATCCGATCGCGGCCGTTGAGGTAGTGCTGAGTCTCTTCACGACAGATTCGCTCACCAATGACGTGGTCGACCCATGCCATGAGCGTACGTGTCCTGGTGAATACTTTGCCTTGGCGGCCAACAGAAAGCTACGCCTTCCCAGATCTGTTGACAGGTAATATGAATTGATATCCCTACGAATTCTCCATTTCATACTTGCGGCGCATCGCAAGACCCCTTCCGAGAAGCGAAGTTCGCAAATCGTCCATCCGACCGCAGTAATTCTCACTTCATGATTCCTTCTGTCCCTGAGCCTGCAGGTAAAGGAGCTTTTCATGCTGCCCGCCATAACGCTCGCCGGCAACGGGCAGGATCTGCAGCAACGTCTGGATCTCGTCCAAGTCCTGCTCAGTCAACGGCAAGTCCTGGCGGTTCTCCACAAACCTCTCGACCTTCGTGGACCGGGGAAAAGGAATCGCACCCTGGCGACGAACCCAGGCGATGGTAAGCTGAGCGACGCTGGCTCCGTGGCGGTTCGCGATCCGCTCCACCGCCTCGACGAGCTTGAAGTTTTGCTCAAAAGCGTCTGGCTGAAAACGCGGCAGGTACCGCCGCATGTCGTTCTCGGGTATGTCCTCCGGCTTTCGAAACTCGCCTGTCAGCCAGCCGCGACTGACGGGGCTGTAGGCGATTAGGGGGATGCCAACTAATCAAGCAAACACCCAATTCTTACACCTACAGGAAGAAAGAGCGAAACCGTCTGCCCTAGCCCAGAGTCAAGCCGCTATAAATTGACAAGTGTCTTATGGCATGGAAGGCTCAGAATACGAGAGACAGGGGCGTCTTGCGATGGCCGGACTTCTTCAGCGAGGCCAAAGGTACTCCGTATTCTATCCGGGATTTGTCGAACTTGACAAGATAGAAGATAGGTGTCTGTAGAGTCCTACCCTAAGACTAAGTAGCAATGAATGAATCCTTAGTTAAAGGTAGAACGAGTACGCTGTTGGCTAGAAAACGACGGTGTCAAAAGACCGTCTGAATAGATTCAGTTTTCGTGTGACGTTGACCAGTGGTCCACATACTGCAACTACGTGTAGGCAGTCGTCGGGTCTTTGGCGCACCTAGGCCGGACTATCCGATACCGACTAGGTTATCTTTATCGATAAGCAGAAGAATGAAGCTGCAAGTTGTGACAGCCGATTGAATCAACGAACGTCGACGACCCCACCGTAATCTGCCGTCTCGCCTCGCGCCTGGCAATTTCCCCAGACGAAGCCTTGCAGTCGGGCTGTTCCTGGGCAGCTTTCGTCGTTTGGCGCAGGATCGGCATTTTAACGCCATCATCTGAATTCACATCGGCGACTGGGCGCTCGCTTCTCGCTTCGAGGCGGTTCACCAACTCCAAATTCCCGCCACGCCACTTGAATCCGTCGCCATGGCGTCCGAATTCATTGGCCTGCAGATGCTGGTGACGGTCCGCGGTGATCCGCCCCGGCGGCTCAAGGGGACCATCAGTGCTGTCGAAGCCGGCGCCGGTCTGACGCTCAGCAACGGTGAGTTCCGCCTCGGAACTGCCCATGACTTTGATACCTTTACTGACCTGCCGCCAACGAACAGTCTGGGTTCTCGGAACCAATGAATGGAAACCCCGCCTCACCATCCCTTCAACAGACATCTCCGATCTCTCCGAGGTCCCTGCTGCCCCTCCGCCGCAAGCCGTCCAGGCCGCCCCTCCCGTTCCGCAGCAGCCACCGTCTCAGCCTGCCGTGTTCGTGGACCCCGCTATTCTGGCTGTGGGAAAGCCTCCCGCCACGGTATCCTCAAGTCGTGTTCCCGAACTCCATCCGCTGCCTAATACGAGCGAGAAGCGAGACCCAGGGCCAGTCGTTATTCCTTCGGTGCAAATCGCCGGTACATCCCGCGAGGTGACGCCTACAAATGTGACCGCCTCTTTGAAGGGACTGAAGCTTGGAACCGGCGGTGTAACAGCTGAGTCGGCCGAGGAAGAAGGCGCTGAAATTGCCCTCGACTACGGCGAAGTGGTTGGCCAGAAGAAGAAGCGACGACAACGAAAAGCTGGGAACCCAAAGACAGTGGCGCTGGAGGACTTTGAGACGTCACCCGCCCCTGCAGTGAAAACAACGGGCGGAGGAAAGGGCTGGAGGCAGACGCCAATACTGCAAAGCACAGCAGCCTTCCAACCTTTCAACTCACTTAAACGAAACCGCAAGGGCCGGCCGGCCGTCGACAACGGGTGGGCCTCCGAGGACGTTACTGACGTCCAGGAGATGGGCGACTTCGACTTCGAGGGCAGTCTAGCCAAGTTTGACAAGCACAACCTGTTTGAGCAGATGAGGAAGGATGACTTGATTGACGAGGCTGAGCGCCTGGTGTCTCACAACCGGGTACCGCGCCCGAAGCCGGGGACCGCGGGCGGCAAGAACCTGCACCACTCCGAAAATGTCCTCGACATGCCGCCGACCATTCTCAAGCCAGCTAAGGATAGGCCAGTTGCCAAGGAGACGCCCAATGACTTCTGGAACAGCGAAGCTGACGATGGGCTACCAAACAACAGCGAGCGGTTGAGCGGGAGAGACCTAGGGATGGGAAGCAGACAGAGCTCTCGCCGTGGCGAGAGCAAAGGCGCAGGCGGCAGGCGTTCACAGTCGCGCAAAGCTAACGAAACGGCCAGGACAGGGTCTGGCCCCAGCAGAGTCAACTCTGGTGTAAGCCACTACCGTACCCAGTCTCTCAAGGGGAGTCGGCCGAGTAGTCGACTTTCGTCGCGCACTGCGACCGCTGACAAGAAGAAGCAGCTCCCGACGCCAGCCGCTCCGCAGGCTCTCTACCTGCTGCCGTCAAACCGGCGGGTCGAGCCTGTCTCGGCGCTGCAGATGTTCAACCTCGAGAACATTGCTCATAACGAGATCGGTCTGACCGAGGAGATGATGACGGAGAACGCAGGCCGCGGCATCGCCGAGGTGACACTAATTGCTCTCTCTGACCCAGCCATCAAGGTCCGTCATGCAGGCAACGTCGACCAGACGACGGGCAGCCCGGCGCCGCAGACCGTCGTCGTCCTGGCCGGCAACAACAAGTCCGGCTGCCGCGCCATCGCCGCCGCCCGCCACCTACGCAACAAGGGCATCAACGTGCTGGTGTGCGTGGTCGGTCTGGAGCGCGGCGAGCGCGATCTGTTTGAGGACGTCCAGCAGCAGGTCCGCCTCTACCGCAACCTCGGCGGCCGCGTCTTCACCAAGGGCGACTTCTTCGAGCACATCCGCAAGATCAGCATCCCCATGCTAACCATCGACACGCCGCGCGCCTCGCTCAGCAGCCTGGCCAACCCGGCGCCCGTCATGCTCATCATTGACGCGCTGCTCGGGCTGGCCGTCTCGTTCGAGGAACTCCGAAACGGCGACCAGGCGACCGTCTACGAGCTGATCGAGTGGGCCAACCGTAACGAGGCGTTTGTCATGGCCGTCGACGTGCCGTCGGGCGTGGATCCCACCTCGGGAAAGGTCTGCGTCGTGGATGGGAATAGGTTGTATGTCAAGCCGCGGTATGTGGTGGCTGTGGGCGCGCCCAAACGCGGACTGCTGGAGGCCATGATTGCCGCGGACAATGGGGATGGGGATACCGTGCTTGACGGCAATGGGGAGGCGGCGCCGGTGCTGGATGATGCGGTGCTCGAGTGGAAGCTGTTTTTGGTGGATATGGGACTGGGCCAGGCGGTGTGGAAGAAGGCTGGGACCAAGATGAGGAAGGGGGTTGATTTTGATGAGAGATGGGTGCTGGAGATGAGGTATAGGGGGTTGCCGAGCGAGGGGGCTGAGGAGGAGGTTGTTTGAGCTCCTGATTCGGAGGGCTTTGGGAAATTGGGCGTGTATGACTCTGTTGCTTGTTGTGTGTGGGTTGGCCGACTCCATGGGTATTTGCATACTGGGCGGTGTTTATTCCTTCATTCATATGTTTTGGCTGGCATCAAGCACGGCGTTGGGTGTTCTTGCCAGTTCTGGGCTTGGCTTTGCACAGAGCGGGTTGCGTTTTCGGAGGATAGAAGACATGGTCATCTTCATTGCCTGGGGGGCTGAAGCTATACGTCGGGTTTTCAAGCGGAGGGAAAGCTTGTGTCGTTTAAGAGTGGATTCAGGAAACTGCAAATGAGGGACGGACAACAAATTGCTCCCTATTATTCACCTCCGAGGCTCAGACACTGTGTCGCTGATTATAACTAGCTGAGCGCTGACATTTCAACCAAACTCAGAGCGACATGGAAGCCAACATTACCCCCGCACAACTCCTTTGCTGATCCTGCGAGATACGCTGCCTTTGGCCCCTTTGTGGTGATAATCAGCGCATACGCTATCAGCAGGGGAAGCGAAAAGGTGTGAGACGGCCGACCAGGTACGCATGCTTCGACGGTTTGACCCCACTCCCTAACTATGGCCAACGGCTTGCAGTGAGCTTGTCAAGACCCAGTAAGTGGTTGTAGCTGAGCGATTGCCGTTTCGGGAGTAACAGCGTTATTGTGCAGTTTTGTCAGTCAGGAGATGTTGATATGTCAAGGTACCGAAGGTAGGCAACAGGACAGAGTGTAAGCGCTAACGGGGCTGAGAGCCTGAGACCCTATGGAGAGCTCCGACTTGGAGAGATGTCCGCCGGTCAGCTTGACATTCAAGTTATCTTGGTCGTCACAAGATGCGGTCTGTGAATCGGACGCTGAACTGGGAGTCGGGCCTCGGGGTATATATCGCAGAGGACTTCCGCGCTGGCTGTCTGGAACTCTCTCCATTTACATGCACTCTGCCAGTAGCTTCGCTCTTTCTCTCATCAATATCCAGCCTGCACAAATTCACCATTCCGCCGATGAAGCTTTCACTCGGCCTTTCACTGGGCATTGCCCTCCTCGCCGAGGTTGCCACGGCTGCTGGCGGCTTCTACCAGTCCTGTAAAAGCAATGTATGTATCGAGGGATGCTCCCGCATCTTCATCCTTACTTGATTCTCGGTTCCATGCTGTGTGAGGCTGACATTATTACGTCCACAAATCACAGTGGTATATGGACGGTTAGCAAACTGGTTGCTGATTGCAAACGGTGGAATGGCCAGTACAGGGAGGACCTGGCAGGACATGAACCTGTGCATCACCAACTCGTACGGCACGCTGAGGCCCGCTAATGAGTACGCAGATTAAAAACTACCTTACCTCGATCTGACCCCTCGTCTGAACCGGGCTAACTTCTCAAACTCTGCCTAGTGGGTGATTTATGGAGTCTTGTTGGGGGTTGCCAGCAGGGCGAGGGCCTCATCACGGACCCCGAGCCCCCGACCAGTTGCAACACATGCATGTGCAGGACTGGCAATGGGCAGGAAGAGGAATCGAGCTCGTTGAATCTGAGTAGGTCGGCATGCCAACCTGTTACTTGCGTCATCTGAATGCTGCTGACAGGGTCTCTCAGATCCGTTCGTCGAGAACCTTGACGGGTACCTGTGGTGCTTCGGCCATCGCAGCGAACAATTATAGGTAGCCATGGCTAGCGGTTGATGTGGTGCATCCATCGTGTTAAAGTAGGAATAGACTCATCGTTCCGAGCGCATGTGCGTCTCTGTCACGGTGCTTGAGTGAATTGAACTTTACCTCGGCCAACTTCAGGAGCGTTAAGCGCGTTGACGGACTGTGGGCACAAACAATTTGCCCAAATATCTAAAGTCTCCAAAGACGCGGCAGCAAACAAACTGCGTAGCTTCCGCTCATACTCCCCCTGCTGCATGACCTTGTCGCAGCTCCTTCCAGGACTCCGAGAGCATCCTGCCTCAGCAACGTGTTCGATGACGATATATCCTACCGCGAGTAGATGCCGTCGGGGATGGGCAAAGTTTTTGGCCGCTCGAAGAGAAGTAGCCGGCTACGAAACCCGTGTTTTACTTCGCGGAGACGGCGGGGCTTCGACTCGCCTTGTGAATCGTGATATCTCGGTACGAAAACTCCTTCCCAAAGCCCCGGATTGGTGACCACCGCTCTTGACTGTTAGGCCACTTGGCGGTGGTCATTGTCCTTGGAATTTCGAATCGCCTAACTACCACCTACATGAACCTACATGAAGAATTGCTGGCGCACACAGCTTGAGAATCTATCCGATCTGTAGGGCCTGGCTAACCCTCGTTCCCGGTGAGGCTGTGGGTGTATATTTCATGTTGTCTGAGCCAACGACAGGATGCGGCATCAGCATTTTGTTGTAATTGTACCGAATCCAGAGCCTTGACAACATCTCCTATGCACGTCAAACCCCCTCTCAACCCCCATTCTCTGCCCCTTCCCCGTCCCCATCAACCCAAACCACCACATTTCCAGGCACATCCCTCTCCATAAAAAACCGCCTGACCTCCTCATCCGAGTAGCGCATACTAAAATGCATCAGCACAAACACCGTCCCGGGCCAGCGCCTCACGACCGCCTCCAGATCCGCCCAGAGCGTGTGCCTGGTCCGCTCCGCCTGCGCCCTGTGCTCGTCCAACAGGAAACTGCACTCGGTAATCACCACCTTGACGCCGCCCTGTGCCAGCCACTCGGGCGCCGCAGCCAGCGTCGCGGCCGTCGTGTCGCCCAGAAAGGCAAACACGGGCGTCGACACGGGCGCCGTAATTTCGACGCCCTGGTCCTCGCGCAGGGCGCGGAGCTGCGGGCCCGCCAGCGAGCGGTACTCGGGCTTAAGCTTGTGGGTTACCGCGCAGAAGAGGTAGCCTAGGCAAGGGACCGTGTGGTCGCACGCAAACGCGGTGGCCGTGTAGGACTGGGGAGGGGGCAGGCGCCGGAGGGGCACCGTGGTACCGGGCTGGAGGGGATGGGTTGTGTGCGTTCGGAGGAGGGGGTGCACTTTTGGCGGGTTGGGGACATCCTTCTGGTTTCCGTTTGAGCGGTCGGATGATGGTGCTTCTGACGCGCCTTCGTTTGGGTCTGAGTCCGAGGTGTCGTAAGAGTGGTAAGGGGATTTGCTCGCGGGCGGCCAGATGCCCCCGCCCTCGTTGAGCATCGTTTTGGCGTTGAGGTAGTTGTTGAGGGCGTCATTCATCTCTGCGGGGCAGTAGATGTCTGGCGGATCACTGCGTTTGATAAACGTGGGCGTGAGCAGGGTGTGATCGCTATGTCCGTGGGTGAGAAAGATGTGTTTGGGACGGAGCGTGTTGAAACACAGGCCGGCGTCGAGCAGCAGGTTGAGCTGCGGGATGATGAATGACGTGTGCCATGCTGCGCGAGACCGCCCCGTGAGCGTGAGGTTATGGTAGGGTTTTGGGAAGCGCCATTCTAGAATATCCGACCGTGGAGAATCCGAGTAACGGGTTGGGAAGGTTGGCGCCATCTCAACCAGGTTGCCGTCTCAGGGGTGATGTTGAAGGTTGAGTTTGAGTCCTGCTGACTCGAGCCAGATTTTGAAGCCCAACCGAAATACTCGGGTCAGCTAGCAGAATGAATAGGGAACCGAGACCGTTCATTTAGTTAGCGGCAAAATATCGGCTCTCGCTCTGGAGGACAATTTGGTCGCCCACTCCCTGCCTCAACATTGCGAGCCACACTGCCACCACAAACTTCTGCCATTCAAAGTCCGCCACGACCATTGAAGTGCTGGCCGAGCTGACTCACCGGAGATGGCTCTCTGGCACTGCTTTCTCCCGTTTTTGGCTACGATCACCCACAGCGCTCGTCTGAAGCGGCTTGTATTTCAAAGGTATTCGATATCAAAGACGCGCAATGAGTTCGTAGGGGTGGGAGAACGGGCTGAGATTCCAAAACAGCACGCTAGCAAATGATGCGAGTCTAATCTAAAAACATCAACTCAACCCTCTATGCATTGCGTCATTGCTTGCTATTCTCTAGCCTTAGCAGCGCGGTCGACCGATTCGGACCCTTTCGCCGTGCCATCGGCAACTGGAGCAGTCACCGCAGGGTGGATAGGCAAGGTGGTAGTAGTCGACCCCTCCGCCGCTTGTGACGCCTGAGCTGCAACCGCCTTCTTGAGCTTCTTCTTCTCCTTCTCCTTTTCTCGCGCCGCCTTTTTCGCAGCCGCTTTCTCCGCCTCCAGCTCCTTCTGCTTGCGAAGCTCCTCGCCGCCGTACGCATCGCGCCACTCCTCAATCTTCGCGGCGGGGATGGTCGAGAAGAGGAGCTCAGGCGTTCCAATCGTGTGGCCCGGCTTAAGGGCGTCCGCCTCCCAGTGATCTGGAATGTGCGCGGGAGCCTTCTGATCCTCTTCACTAGCCCCCTTGACTCCGAGCTGCTTGAGAATGGACTGGGCTTTAGCCGGCATATAAGGCGATAGGATGTTGGCCAAAAGGTGGATGTGATTCAGAGCAAGGCCGATGACAGCGCGGCAGCGATCCGGTTCCTCAGCAATGAGCTGGTTGCTGAGCTTGTTGTCCTGTAATAGCTTATTACCCAGCGCAGAAATGCTGGTATTGACGTCAGTCCAGGGGCTCGTTTACGCAACGCAGGAGGGAAAGTACCTCATGACGGCGGTTAACCCTGCCCTCAACTTCAAAGCCTTGAGGTCCGCGATGTACTCCTGCAAGTGCTTGTTCACCTCTTTCTTATGTTGCTGGAGGGCCGGAAACTTGGAGGCATCATACTCGGGTACCACGCCGTCCAACTTGGCTTGGCAGAACTTGACGATGCGCTGGCACAGATTTCCCAGATTCTTGAGCAGGTCGTTGTTGTTGGCATCGACAAATTCTCTGTTGAGGGCCGGTCAGTCAATGCGGACAAACACACGTGGGATGCATTCGACTTACTCCCATTTGAATTCCGAGTCGCTGGTTTCTGGCCGCCTCGACAAGAGGTAGTACCTCCAGACATCGGGATCGATGCCGGTGTCGCGGGCATTGTTGCCAAACACACCGATGCCCTTAGACTTGCTGAATTTGCCACCCTCGTAGTTGAGATACTCAGTTGTGGACAGGTGCTTGACCTTTGTCCAGTTTTGCCTAGTGCCGAGCTGGGAGGCCGGGAAGATGATGGTGTGGAAACTGAAATGGGTGTTAGTTGCGGCCGAAACTAACCCTGCGGGTAAACACTTACGGAACATTGTCCTTCCCCATGAATTGGTAGAGTGAGACTTCGTCAGGGTTCTTCCACCACTTTTCCCAGTTCGTACCCTCCGAGTTACCGGCATCCGTGTAGGTTTTGGTAATCGAGGGATACCCAACTAGTCAGGTCAGCATTGCGGAATGGCATGGCAGAGGACAGGTTGACATACTGCAGGCATCGAACCAGACGTAAAAGACCTTCTTGGCGTAGTCCTTGTCCGACAGACCGTCGAGGCCGGTGGGAACTGCACGATGCGAGGTTAAGGGCTTGCTCGTCAAACACGGAGACCGTGGATGGTTGTCAACATACTCGGGACACCCCACTTGAGGTCTCTTGTGATGCCGCGCGGCTTCAGGCCCTGGTCGAGCCAGGAGTGGGTGATGGACACGCAGTTCGCACTCCAGCCCTTCTCGGCCTCGGCAAGCCACTCCTTGATCTCATCCTGCAGGGCATCCAGGCGGAGGTAGAGATGCTTGGTCTGGCGCCGTTCGGGAGTGGTGCCGTCGAGCTTGCAACGGGGATTGATCAGCCAACCAGTCGCCTTGGTCTCTTGATTTCCAGAGGCGTCCAAGTCCGGCTCCAGAGGATCGAGGAGGTTGCCACATGCGTCACACTGGGAATTGAATTAGCGGGAGGTAGTTAATGCTGGTCGATGGAGGAAATCAAACCTGGTCACCGCGAGCACCCTTGTCGTGGCAGAGACTGCATTCGCCCTCAACATAGCGGTCGGCCAGGAAGGAGTCGTGCGTGGGGCAGTAGGCTTGGGTGGTCTCGCGCTGCTCGATGAAGCCGTTATTCCACAGACGGGTGAATATGTCCTGGACGATCTCGGTGTGCTCGGGCGTGGGCGTGCGGCCGAAGACGTCGAAATCGATCCTGAACCAGTCGTAGATGTCCTTGTGGATCGCGTGATACTTGGCGCAAAGTGTCGCCGGATCCACCCCCTCGGACAGGGCCTTCGTCTCTGTCGCGGTGCCGTACTGGTCAGAACCGCAGACATAAACCGTTGAGAGACCCCTTGCGCGGCAGAACCGCGCAAATACGTCAGCGGACTGCAAAGGACTTATTAGCGACTGAGATTCGTGGATGGCTCGCCCGGCCTGCTGAAACAGGGGTGCTCTCGTGGGGTTGATGTGAGCGAAGCGACAGGGTGAAAATTACCAAGACACTGCCGATGATGTTTCCGAGATGTGGCACGTTGTTGACGTAGGGAAGAGCACTGGTAATGAGAATATTCTCCTTGCCGGGCAAGGGAAGCGTGGGTTTCCGTGGTGCGCCCATCTTTACAGTTTATGCTTCGTGATCGAGTTGTGAATCGAGGGGGGTTTCTCTCTGGCTGACCTGGGCCAAATTCAGGTCGCACTGCCGCTTGAGAGGGCGATGGTGGTGGGGTGAGTCATGGCAACTAAAACCGGCTAAACTCCGGACGGGAAATCTTCGATATAGGGTCCCTGTCTCTCATTCTGTCAGCGTCAGCTGAACAGTGACTATCCTTAGTCCGTAGTACCTTAAAAAGATCCTTAGCGAGCTTAAGTCTAGACTCGGAGGAGCAGCACTCCCCGACCTACCAACTCCTTCACCTGTTCAATGAGCTCATTAACCATGGTTCGCTATGGTGGAATGAAGTACACTCTTCCATCGTGTTGAGCACCGTCTACATCTCAAAGACATGTCTTGCCGCTTTGATTTCCATCTTTTTTATCGTCATTCTCCCCGTCTTCGCCCCATCAACCTTTCGCCCGCGCAAGAGTGCTGCTCCGTCTTTTGAGCGGATTCGAAGCTTCTCCTGGTGCTCTGACCGTCTTTGCTCAGATGGTAGGTGCTGGTGGCTCCAGCTCTCGCAAATATTTTCAGGTTCACCTTCCCGTGTCGAACACAGTCACCTCTGACTCCCGTCTCTCACCTAGCACCTCCTGAAAGATCTCGTACCAGCCCTACTCTTACCATCAGTGTGTTGGAAAGTCGTGGCACTGGAAATTCGGAAGCTCGGCTGCCGATGCCCTACTGTTAGATCGACAGGCGATCAGGGAGATAGAGCTAAGCGAATGTAAGGGGTAATCAAGTGCTGGGTAACGAGCTATCCTATAGGTTCTAGACGGCTCCGACCGGGTTTGAGGAGAGAAGAGGGCTAAGGAACTATCTTCATTCATCACCACCTTCAATCAATCACTTCTGGGTCGCTCACGAGGAACCAAAACCTACTAGTTATTGTAAGCTCTCATCTGAGTGATAACCGTGGATACGTGGCTGTTTGTCATTCCAACAGGAGGATGCGCTGCGGGTGAAAGTGTCAATATAAGGCGCGTCGGTCGTGAAATGATATATGAGCATTCCCATCAAGGTCGTTTCCGAGCCGCTGCTGCGCCTCCAAGTAGACTGGGAGTGAGTGGAGCAAGTGTGTCAAACAACCCCTTGACGATCGAAAGCCAGCATAACATTCAATCCTGGTCCTCCTAACTTTGTTCCTGGGTCGAATTGGAGTTGAGGGGCTAGCGCGTTGGTTAATGTTTTCCTTATGTTCCCGTGTCTCGATCCTTTCACGTCTTTCGTCGATCTTGTATCACCATCAAATCAGGATAGCGCTGTCAGCTCCCGCTATAATTCCTAGTCATTAGGTCTGCGTGCAGGCATAACGGCTTTATTTCGTTGCAAGAAACAGCTGTCGACAATCCTCAGGCGTGCTATTGCCAGACGCAGCACTCCCTGATGATTCAACCACAGGCCGCCCTTTCATACTCACCGCTCCATCGCAGGCCCCCCATAACCGCAACAACCACCACCAACCCTCCCAGCACGCTCGCCCCGCCATACACATAAGCATGCCGCCTCCTCAACGCAGCCAGCTCCCGAACCCAAGTCGACACGGTCGTCAAGCACCCACAGAACCCGTCCTGCACGCCCGCCAGTACCTGACACCCCACCACCGGCGCCTTCCCGCCCACCCCTGAGTGCGCCACGTCCCACGCCAGCGCCATCACCCCCGTCCCCGCCAGGTTGACCACAAACGTCCCAACGGGAAACGCCGCGACCTGCCCATTGAGCCTCAGGCTGAAATAGAACCGCGCAAGACACCCCATCGGCGCAAAGACCAGGGCGAGCAAGACCTTCCCCCGCCAGTCGTCGTGGGTCCGAGGGGGTAGAACGGACAGGAGCACCGCGCCGAGCCAGCAGCCCCATCCGAGCAGCACGGCGAGCCGGTCCAGCATCCTGCGCAGGCGGCGCGGGAGGGCGGGGGTTAGCGGAGAGAGGGTGATGGCGCAGTGCGCGCCGAGGAAGAGGGCGGAGAGGGACATCGAGACGGTGATGATAGGGACGGAGAGAAGGGCCAGGAAGGAGTGGCCGCCGTTTCGGGACGGGTGTTGTGTTGTGCTGGTGGAAGGGAGCTCGTTAGACAGGGCGAGGAACATGTCGCGGATGAAGGAGGAGAAGGAGGTGAAGGAGCCGCAGAAGCCTGTTGCGAGGCCAATGTAGAGCGGGATGGTCTTCTTGAGGGCCGTGTGGGCAGCTTTGGCTGTGCCGGTGCCATGCCCTTGGGCGGTGGATGGGGACGGCGGTTGTTCGTCCAGGGATTCATTGCGAAAAAGCATGCGGTCTTCGGAGAGGAAGCCCATGAACAGACTGCCGGCGAAATTGGGCCATATCGAGGAGAAGATGATGGGTGTGCCCGGGTAGGTTGTAAGGGCTTGTAGGCCGAGCCGGGCGAGAGTGCCGAGGATAGAGAAGAGGATCAAGTAGGAGACGGTATAGAGCTGGGTTGTGAACCGAGAGACGTTGTAGTTTGCCTTTTCTAACTTCTCCTCGTCTGGTTGGCGGCCTTCCGAACGGGACAGCCGTCTTGGTAGTCTTTGCTCACAGGCGGTTTTCTGCTCCTGGCCCCTGACCTGCTCCAGGCTTCGGAAGCGTCGGACTGGCTCTTCATGTGGGTTTTGCACAGGCGGGACGTCCAGTGCTTCGTCCAAGCCGACGTAGGTGTCTGGGATGTCATAGTCGGCGCGAGAAGCGGCGGATGGCCGGCAAGGATGGGAGTGGTGTCGCGGGGACTCAAGCGGCAAGGTCAGGGCATGATGGGCAGCGGGTCGGTTGATGGGGTTCAAAGAGTCGTCAATGTTGCGATACAAGTCTTGAGCATTGTATGCCCAGGATGAGGATGAGCCGTGAGAGCCATGCTGTGCGCCAGGAGACGCTGTCTTTTCCAGATGGCCGGACTGTTCCATAGTGATTTATGATGTGCTCAACTGTGTGAGCCGAGTGACTCGGATTCTGTCGATCCCATCCGCAGCCCTTCTGTCCCCCGTCTTTTTTTGGCAGTTCATGGAGGACATGGCAAAGTTATGAGTGCATACGACTACCGAGTGCCTCACGGCTGAGTGAGCACCCATGTCGTTGTCCTATTTGGCATCCAACGTTTTGAAGCCCAGTGCTAAAGGAGCCAGTTAAGACAATCCAGGGTGGAGTCGCGTTGGTACGTGCCTTATCTGCTCTGTGGAGTTGCTGCAAGCTTATCGAACATCTGGATCCCCAACGTCGACTCCAAGCCCCGCTTTCCGCTCACCGTCATCTGGTCACACGGACACAAAGGCACAAAGAACCTGGAATGCATTGCAGGTCCAGCTCGACTGCTCAAGATGGCCAACCCAACCGGCATCGTTCTGGACTTCACAATGGTCCTTCAACTGATAGGTGTTGTGGCACCATCGTTGACTGATAAAGGAGGGCCAAACAAGGCCGCGGTGCTCTGTACGGATATGGAGGTCTCGACTTGTCTGCTCGACCCTCCGTAGGCAAGCCAGGTCAGGTACTGTTATAGCGCCTTGATGTCTCGGACTACGCTTGGAATGGTATGCCAGCCCAGGCACGGCTGCTACCCGGCTTGACTCCGGAGATTCAAGCTTCCACATGAGGGCCCCTGCAGATATCGGTTTACGTATCAAGTACAAGTGCAAGTCGATAACGTCTAAGTCGGAGTTCACCGTCCTGTCATTCGCCCATCGGACTCTAACGACACCGCAACCAAAACGCTTGGTCAAGTTTTATTCTTCCTGACGAGCCCCTAGACAGTCTATTCTTATCCCTGTGGTAAAGCCTCCTCGGACACCGTCGCCATCGCTATGTCGAACTTGCCGTCCAACGTCCATGTCTCGCAGCACCCGTGCCTGCTCGCCAAGCTCAGCCAGCTCCGATCACAAAACACACCGGCCCGTGATGTCAAGACATTGATACACGACATCGCCCTGATCGTGGGCTGCGAGGCGCTGGCCAAGGGCCTCAAGACTGTCCCAGGCTCAACAGTTCGTACTGCCCGGCGTCTCACTTTGTCAACCAGACCCAGGTCTCATCAAAACTACAGGACCAAACACCCCTCGGTTTCGACTACCAAACCCACCAAATCCTCCCTGACACCATCTCCCTCGTTCCCATCCTACGTTCCGGCTTGGGCATGGTCGCAGGTAAAGCACCACTCCTTTCCCCCAGATTCCGCTTTCTCTTGCACCCAAGCATTGGGCTGACCACCCTTCAAACCTTCACTCAGCAATCCAAACCCTCCTTCCGAACCCCGTCCCCATCCATCACCTCGGCCTGTACCGCGAGCCCACGACACTTCTCCCGGTCGAGTACTACAACAACCTGCCGAACCACGTGTCCGGGTCCGGGTCGGGCGGCTCCAACGCCTCGAGCCTGGCCATCATCCTCGACCCGGTCATCGCCACGGGCGGGACCTGCGCGGCCGCCATCCAGACGCTGCGCGAGTGGGGCACCCAGCGCATCATTGTGATTTCGGTGCTCGGCGCCGCCGCCGGCGTTCAGGCGGCCGCCGGCGAGTGGCCTGAGGCCGTCGAGATTTGGCTGGCCGGCGTGGACGAAGAGCTGACGGATCGCGGGATGCTCAAGCCTGGTTTGGGGGATGTTGGAGATAGGCTTTTCTTGACTATTGGCAAGTAGTATACTCTTTACTCTTGGTAGGCAGCAGTGACTAGATCGAAAAGATGAACTTTGCCTGAGGTGCATGTCGGCGTTCTTGGCCGACGCCGCGACAAGTCTGACCTACAGTGAGACAGGCCCCCTTGTTCAAGAAATAGGACGAATGTCCCTGATACTCTCATCAACTGCAGCGCCAAGGCTATTGGGCATTGCCTTCTCATCCTTCCATCGTAGTGTACACTTCCGTCAAGTTGGGGCACATTCTTCCTCATCCACCAATGTACCCTCCTTCCAGCAATCCTCAACCCATCTCGCCGAGACAATCCTGGGCACCGCCCTCCTCGAGCTGACCTTGTACCTCACATCTGCCGCAACCACCTTTTCAGACGCTGCCGTGTCCTCCTTCCCGCCGACGACAACCACATGTGTGATCCTATTATTGTTGATATTATCCACCACCTCACCATTCCCAAACCGTACATAACTCTTCAGCCTGAGGGCCGTTGTTGAAGGCAGGCGCTCGCCGAGCGCAAAGTAGACTCGACATCTCCTGAACATAAAGCTCTTCAACGATTCCAAGTCATTGCCGTGCTCCTCAAGCTGGTCCAAAACCCTACCGGCGTCAAACGGCCGTCCTTCGCCGTCAGGCATATCCATCCTGTCCAATATCTCTCTCAGCTCGTCGACACCCGCGTCCCGTGCATAGCTGTCCCCGTACTGATCCGTGCTCTCCTCCGCGACCTTCTTCATTCCCTCGGTCGCATGGAAGAGATGGCTCTCCTCAAAGGGGAGAAGATACCCTTCTCCCCCGTTTTGCTCCAAGCAGTCAAACACCCACTTGGGCCGCACAATGTCGGCATCGCCCGTCCTCTTGAGGCTCGCCACCTTGACGACATTCTTGTCTGCCAAGAGGATCATTCCCGATCCCTTATCCACCGTCTGGTGAATGCGCCCGCCATTATCCTTGATCAACTTCTCCAACGCCGGCTTGGACATCTTCTTGGGATGGACGGCCTCCGACAAGACACAGAAATTCAGCCCTTGGAACAGCTCGGTCCGGGGCTTCTTCGCAGCCGCGAACTCGGCCGTCGCGTCCGCGGGATCTGCAGCGCCGGCGATGACCAGCTCCCTCTTCTGGCGCTTCGCCGGCTTCCGCTTGCGGTTCTCCATCTCCATGGCCTTGCGCTCCTTCTCCTCCTGCTTGACCTTGGTCCGCAGGGCCTCCACCTCGTCCACGTCCATGCCCGCGTCCCACGCCTTGTCGAGCCGCAGCTTGCGGAACCGAGGAAACCGCAGCGTCCAGCCCATGGCAAACTGGTCCGACGGCGCAAACGAGGCCGCCTTGATCGAGATGACGATCGACTCGCTCGGGCGGATCCACACGTCGGGCCGCTCGTACTGCAGCCTCTCCCCGCCACCGAGCTCGATGAACTCGGACGGCGGGTTGGCGCCGTCCCAGTCCTTCCACTTGCCCTCCGTGAGGTGCCGGATCTCGCTGTAGTCCTCGGCCTTGAACCCGCCGCCGACCTTGCAGAAGCTGAGGCACTTCTCCCTGCTGGCGGCGGCGCCCGACCTGACAAAGTTCTCGCTGACGCGCACCCCACAGAGGAAGGTGGACAGCGTGCCGCCGCGCCGGCCCGAGCCGTAGTAGCCGCCCACGACGACGCAGTCGAGCGACTCACCAAACTCGGACATGTACTCGGGCTTGACCTTGATCCAGTCGTTGTTGCGGCTGTTGAGCTGGTACCGCGAGCGCGGGTTCTTGAGGACGAGGCCCTCGGAGGCTTCGGCGACGACCTTGCGGAGGAATGGCTCGATTGCGTCGGCCGAGGTGGCGGATTCGTAAGGGTGAATTTCAAGGCGGCGCGGTTCACCTTTAACAGCGCGCTCGAGAGCCCGGTGGCGGTCCGCGAGGGTATATTCGGTCAGGGACTTGTCGTTGAGAAGGAGGATGTCGAAGACGCGGTAGAGGGGTCGTGGACCGGTTTGGAAGGGATTCTTCTGCTGTTCTTTAGCGGCCGTCTTGAGAGTTCCAAAAGGCACAATTTTGTCGACCTCGGGGTCCCAGGTGATCATCTCGCCGTCGAGAATTAGGTTGCGGACGCCACTGTCGAAGGCGTTCTTGAGGTGCCGGGTGAGCGCTGAACCATCATCTTCCAGCCCGCTCCCATACAGGTATGTATAATCCTTGGCCTTGCGCGACCAGAACGCAAACCTGTACCCTCCCGGCACGGTATCATCCTCCTGCATGTGCACCTGCATTCGCTCGCCATCCAGCTTCTCCTCGATCCAAAACTCGGGTTCGTCTTCTGTGACGCCCAAGTTGGTGACCAACTTTGTAAACGTCGTCGTCATCTGGAACTGCGCCAGCTGAGGCTGGAAGCACGACATGAGCGTCACTCCCGTCTCCTGCTGCTCCAACCGAAACTCGGGATCGTACAACTCCCAACACACCCGCCTCAAGCTCGACGACACGCTAAACAGCGCCTCGGCATCCGGATGCCACAACCCCAGAAACGTCCTCTCGGTCGCGCCCACCTTCATATCCTTGAGTATGATTCTCACCAACCACATCAGCTCCTCGGCATTCATGCCCTGGTAAAACTCCTCAAAGATCGGCAGCTGCTCCGCCTCACCACTCGCTCCCGCCAGCCGATCCAGCATAACATTCACCTCCCCAATAGTAAACTCCCCCGGCTCAGTCCGCATCTGCCGCTTCCCAACAATCTCAAAACACCGCCCCGCAAAATCCCCCGCGCTCCTCGTGCTCCCGAACCGGCCACCCATGCCTCCGCCCCCTCCCCCTTGGCCAGGCAGCTTCCAGTGCATGAGCGCGTACCCGTCCTCCGAGTTGCGGTCAATCTTCATGACCTTGACGAGCAGCTTGCCGATGGTGTTCTCCTTCAGGCCGTACACGCCGCGGTCGCGGTCCTTGTCCGGCAGTATGAGGCGCATGGCCGGGTAAAAGTCCGGGCCGACCCCAGCGCGCCAACGGGCCATGTAGCGCTCGATGATGTGGCGGCGCTGTTCGTGGTAGGAGAGTTTGGAGGGGGCGGCGCCGGCGCCGCGGCGGCCGCGGAGGGCAGGGCCTGGGCCGGAGCTGGTGGGTTTGCATTCTATGAGCGGGTTGAAGAGGGATTGGTAAAGATCCGAGAAGGGGGGTGTTTTGGAGTGGTTGCGCGGGCGGTTGGGGAAGCTGGATCAAATGTTAGCGGTTGGTTGATGAAGAGGGACACGGGTAACATTACTGCTCGTCCAGCTCCTCGAGGCTGAGCGGGCCGCTGCCGTATTGTTTCTCATCTTCCTCGATCGCGTCGACGTCAGGCGACTCGGCGCGCTTCGTTCTGCTCATGTTAAAGTCGACAATCCAACAGAGAGATGAGCGGTGATGGCGAATGAGGCGATTTGACTGGGCTTTGAGGGAGCATCAGAAACAGTGATGAAACCAAACCGGATCGTGAGATTGGCAGAGTGGCATGGTTTAAATGGATGAGAAGTTGATTGAGCAACGACAGGAGGTAGTCGCCTGTTTCGTGCATTAACTTCCAGGCAGCAAGGGCATATACAACCCTAACCCCAGGCTGAGTCGACGTCACTCAAGTACCCTATCCCGAAGAGCTTTGTTCATCCCTCCTTCTCGTCGACTTGGAACTCGGCATGGCATGCTTCCAGGTATTGAGTGATGTTTTAATTTGGCTCCCGAGAACAGTACACAAATTCACAGGAATGTGGCATTATTGTAAAGCATGGGTCTGTGTTACACAATGCAACCGACCTCATAATGGAAGATGGTATGAAACTAATCAGACAGAACCCCTGAAGAACAGCGCAAGAGAGTCAGCAGTCTAGTATCTCCCCAATTCCCTCCCACTTAGACATCCTATTAAACCATTCACAACTGTCTCGGCTCAACCGGGGTATAAAACTCATCGCATTCCTCCATGCAACTCTCCACTTACAGGGTATTATATTCCACATCCTCGTCATTTCCCTCTCACAAGTGCCCCTGACCCATTCTAATAAGCAGACGGAGCAGCCGGGTCAAAGGCAGGCAGATGATGCTTGGCGCCGCCGTTCACCGTGTTGTTCCCATTCAGAGGAGCGCCGGTGTGATGGGCGCCCATGGGATCAAGAGCGCTCCCGTTGACGGCGCCGCCATTGCCGTTGGCATGATGGCCAATCATCGGAGCACCACCGGGGCCCGTAAGAGGGCCATTATCCTGACGACGCTCGCCAGGCTGGGCAGTCCGGTGTGGTTTGCGCACGACCTTGGGCGCGGGCGGGATGTCAGAGCTCTTTGCGGCAGACCCGATCGAAAAGACGGGGCTCTCCCACTTGTCGCCCTTGCGGGCGAGCTCCTTGTACTCGGTGGCCTTGGTGCTAATGCCGCCGGGCAGGTGGATGTTGGGGAACATGCTGTCCTCCTTGGTGATGGCGTAGTTAACCTTCTTGTCGGCCGCAACCTCCTGGGCCTTCTGCTTGCCCTGCAGCATGCGTTTCTGCGCGGCGGTGAGGTAGCGGTTGTAGATGTTGGGGATGTGGTCGGGGTCCTCGCGGGCTTGCTCTAGGGCACGGTCGGCTTCCTGCTTGATTTCAAAGAGATAGGAATCCACCTTCGCGGCCTGGTCTTTGATAGCCTTTTCCAACGCCTTCTCCAAGCCGGGGCGCAGGACCTTGAGCATGATTGGCTTGAACAGTCCGAACAGCATCTTGTGCTTGGACTTGACGAGCTTGATGTTGAAATTTTTGACGGAGACGTCCACCTTGTCAATCTTGAAGAAAGAGTTTCTGTCCTTCTTGTCTGGCGTAGACAGCTTCAAGCGGAAAGTGAAACCGTCGCCAGCCAGCAGAAAATCGGCCACGCCCTGGTCCGTGATGGCAGGGAAGCCTTGCTTGCGCTTGATGTAGTAGCTGACATCACGAAGGTCCATCTGGATCCCGGCCACTTTGACATCAACCGAGTGCTTGCTGCTGCTGGCGACCTTCTTGCGGCCGAAGCGCATGTAATTCTCGCTAGCAATTTCCAAGACGTTGGGCATGAAGTTGTCGCTCTCGAGAACAAGGTTCTCAATGACGACGTCGGCCTGGTGATCCGAGTATTCGATCCGCGGAACGGGAATGTAAGCCACGTTCTCGAAAACTGCGGGCAGAATCACATCCGTCAGGTCTTTGATGAGATGGGGCTTGAAGGTCGGTTTCCCGTTCTCGTCGTTGCCGAGGTCGTTGAACAGCTTGGTCAGGGAGGCGGCGAAGGCCTTGTTTTGCGGATCTTGGTCGAACTGATCGGCCAAGAACTTAATCTCGTCGACGACACGGTCGGTGTGGCCACGATACTTGTCGCGGAGAAGGTAGTTGCCTTCTTCGTACAGACGGTTCCACTGGGCGTCAGACTCGTCGTCCAGGATGTACCCCTGCTCCTGCAGGCAACGGCGGATGTACTGGTTGAGCGCCTTGAACCAGTTCTTGAGCTGAGGGTCACGGTCCGCATCATCGTAAATGGTGTGGATAGAGTCCCACAGGTCATCAGTGGAGGTACCATTCGCAAAGCGCTCAATCAAGGTTTTGAGATCGGACTCGGCCTGCGCCAGACCAGAACGAGCCTCCTTAACTGTACCCGTGCCGCCTCTGGCCAGCCGGTTTGCGTGGTCACCGTACTCCTCGGCGAGGTCCAGGAGGGTCTGGACCGCCTGGTGATAGTCAGGGTGTTGCTGGCACTCGAGAACCATTTTCTTTAACGGATGTTAGCCTTTGTCAGCCTAAACATGCTGGAATCAACGTACCTTGAGGCGCCAGACGGCCTGGTCACGGCGTTCTTGGGGAACCCTGCGGTTGAAGTAATTCTTCACTCGCTCTCGATACTCATCGCGCCTAGCCCGAGCTTTTTCCTTGGTGTCGTCGTCAACGTTCTCCTTCACGTTACCCTTCACAGCGTCCTTGGCAGCCACAGCACCTCCGAGAGCATCAACCCCCGAGGATGCACCAGTCTGGTTATCGCGGGCTGCAGTAGACGCCAGATCCCTGGGATCCGATGAACCCGCGGGGTGTGCAGTCGACGCCCCTTCGGTACCAGCAGCCTTCACGTCCTCCTTCGGGTTGCTCTTGTAGTAGTCGTGGAACTTGTCCTTCATCGACTCCTTCGAGAGGTCAGGAGCATCATGCCAAGTGTTGTCCTGGGCGGGAAGGTCAATCTGCTCGAGATCTTCCGGCTTCGGCCTGACGCGTCCAGCCGCGTTGGTCGCGGCGTCGGCAGCTATATCCCGGAGGAGGATGGTTGCATCCTTGACTGCGTGTGGTTAGCACGTTGACTGCGGGTAGATAATTGGCATCGAGCAAGGGCCACATACGCAGCTTTCGGAATTGCCCGTTGGAAATGATCAGAGTGCCCAGCGTACGGAGTCCATCCAGAGCCTGGTCGCGGTGCTGCTGCGCCTGCTCCTTGTTGACGGGAGCACCAGGAGTCGAGACAGCCTTGGGGTCAAACTGCTGGGTCTGCCAGATGAAGTCCTGCAGCAGGTTGCCATCATTCTTGGATAGCAGGAGATGCTTAGCCTGAGTCACCACCTCCTTGACGTCGGCAACAAGTGTCTGTCCCTCAGAAGACAGCCTCTGAGGAGGGCTGGAGAGCGCCCGGGACTCAAGGAAGCTGTTGAGGGCTACATCGATTTGATCGTTCTGTGTGACACCTGTCAGTATGAGTGGCGAGCGAGTGCCTGTGGCAGAAGAATCTGTGCATACCGATGGAACTTTGCCAGACTGGAAGGCGCTGATGATTCCGTAAATCTGAAGCTTACGGTTGACATCGGCTTCCCTCTTCTTGATGTCTGTTGGTTTGTTGACGTTCGCTGCCATTCTGAGTTTCCGGTGGTTTGTGTGTTTTGGGCGATGGATTGGTGGCTGGTTGTTATGGTGGTGCTGATTACGAGCCCTTGCAGGTAAATGCGCTTGAAGTTTCGGGTATCACAAAAAGGGAAACGAGTTTTGGGGTATCGAATTGCTGTGACAACTTTGGTACTGAAAGAGAAAGAGTTTCAAAAATCACGGTGTTGGTTGTGATAGACCAGGTTGCTGAGTGACGTTTATTATAGCATGGCCGGGAAGGAAGCAGGTTGTTTCACAAGCAACCAAGAGAGTGACGCGACATTGCGTAGCACCTGTGAAGTATTCAAGTGCGTCATAGGGAAGTACCAAAGGCCAAAGAAAAATTCCGGCTTTCCAAACCGAGAAAGCTGAAGATTGGCTAGTCTTGTCTTCCCTTCCTCAAAGGGTGCAAGCCATCGGCGGCAAGGTAGTTTGATGTCCACGAAAGCAGGAAGCAGGGAGGCGAAGACGGGGGTGCTGCGTCACAGGCCCAGTCCCGGCATGGTCATTATTACGGGCAGCAACAGCTCACCTCGGCCCAATTCTCGTAGCATGGTTGTTGACATATGAGTCCAGTGTCCATACCTTGAATCAAGAACCGAGACCCGGGCTGAGGAGGGTCATGTTTGCTGCCGTGGACCCTGATGTATGCACAAGTGGAGTAAGCTGTACTGGATGTGCATAAACTGTACACGCTCCAAAGTTGTTCGCCAGAAAAACAACTAAACGAAACTAAGCAGACGCTCGAGGCGTGTTTGAGTAACTTTGTTCAGCTTCAAATCCATGACGTCAGGAATTTGATTGACGTACCCCACATCTCGGGCTTGCCGATCACACAACTGGACAGAGCGCAGCAACTTACTGTGTACACAGCTGCTCCTGTTCAACATGCGAGGCAGTGGCAGGAAGTGGCGTATGGTGATTTCTGGGAACGAAACGCAGTTTGTCTCAGCTTGCTCCTTGATGAGTTCCGTAGACCGAACGCTTCCATTGTTCTTCTTTGAGGCCGGAGGGCAAAGAGAGAGGGTTAGGGTACTTTCACATCTCTAGAGGCAACCGAATGGAAGAAACATCGCCCCTTTTATAAGGCAGTTGCCGTTCTAAGATCGCGGGAAGCGAAGCAGCGCCAGCCCATCGAGGCCTATGCACAAACTGCGGTTTTATCTAGGTTTACGTATCTACCAATGTGACAGCGCCTGCCGCCGGAGTGCATATGGCGGAACTCCCACTGAGTGTGCCCGACCTGCTCTGGCATTTGACCTCTCCATCGCGAGACCTTTTCATTTTCTCTTCCTTTTCTCCCCATCTTGTGATTAGCAGAATCGAGTTGCATCGGCAGTGCCCGCGCGCCTCGCCTAGATGTACGCTGTCTTTCACAACCGATTTAATTTCTCAATATCTTTCTCTTCTATATTTGTTTTCTGTTTCTATTGCTCATCTTATTTAACATATGTTATCAACAAATTGTCACGGGTGGGCGCAACTGACCACTGCGTAACACCCTCAAAAGAGGGACCGTGGTTTGAACTGTCCAGTCGAACCAGGAGTTCCGCACATAAACCTCACAGTGTCACTACCCGTGACACAAGTCGCGTATATCAGCAAATTGTACACTCTCCATTGAGTTACCCTATAGCAACTATCCCTAATTATCATATACTCTAGCCGACGGCCGAGGCGGAAAGAAGACAGCAGGGAGCATCATCCACGCGGCCTGCGACAGGATACACAGAAGATACAACCGGAGAACAGACAACAGGGGCCGACCGCGAGCTTTTGGGCCGCAGGAGCCTACAGCGGTAGAACAAGCCGCCAGTGTAATTGCAGTTTGGACAGGGGGAACGGCCGACACAGACAGGGTTATGCAGGAGGCTTGGAAGGAGAGGTGGCTGAAGGAACGAGACGGCCGGGCAGCCACGAGGCCAGCCGACGACTTCGACCACCAGCAGGAGACCCTGTTCAAAGATGAGACTCTAAGGAGGCACGAGGGCCTGAGCAAGGCGAAGAGTTCACTGCTGATCCAAATCCGAACTGGGGCTATAGGCCTGCGGGACTTCCTCTTCAAAAGTGGTGTCCCGGAGGTCTTGACACCCAGCTGCGAATGTGGAGAAGGGCGAGAGACTGTCGAACACCTGGTGATTGGTGTCTGGCGCCACCATTAGCTCGAAGATGGGAGAGGACCCAGGTTCGAACGCGTAGGGACTTTGACTCTGTTCTCAGGGAATGAGTCTTACAGCTGCACGGCTGACAGGAGGATCCTTGGCTGGCTGATGGATTCGGGGAGGCTGCCGATGTACAATCTGGCTAGAAGGCTGGAGCTGGAGCTCACGGTCTGATATTCCCCCCCCCCCCCCCCCCACCTTCGAAGGCCAGGAGGCCTTCTCCCTTTGTACCCGCAGGCTCACTCACTGACCGTTTCCTTGATTGCCAATACGGGTTTTTCATCCGACCTGCAAGGGTGCGGTTTTCCTGTATAGTAATAGCTGAAAATCTGGCACGCCCTAGGGTATAGCGGTGTAGAAATAATCATAATAATTATCATGTAACTAATAACTAATATTAGGAACTAATAATGATTCCATTAGATACAGCTGAATAGATAACTCTATAACCTCCTGGCAAGTAAGTATATTACAGCTAGGCTTGCCGCACATATTGTAATACTGAACCGTCATATGACTCTGCCTATACTACTACTGTCCAGCTATATTTCTTATACTTTCCCTCTACACTCTGCCTTTTGGTCTGGAACGCTTTATATATCTTGCACAGTAAGTAATTGTCACGGGTGGGCGCAACTGACTGCTCAGTAATGCCCTCAAAAGAGGGACCGTAGTTCGAACTGTCTAGTCGAACTAGGAGTTTGCGCACATGAACCTCATACTGTCACGACCCGTGACACTACTTCCCCTCCAGGTGCCGCTTCGCCTCGCAAGATCAAGACGTGTCGCGCTCCGCGCTCGGATTATAGCTCTGCGTCGAAGTGTGTCATATTCTCCCCCGAAAAGCCTCCCCCGACTTTTCCCCTCGAGCGTCGCTTGGATCTCACCTTGTGCCACGGCTCCCACTACAAGCCCTTCACTTGGGTTACTGGCAGGCGAGACATTGTGGATTTTATGGCGAAGGGACATGACTCGCAACAGAGGAAGGATATCTGGAGACGGGAGACTCAGATTGGACCTTGGAACTTTCCTCTCCTAAGGATCAGTCAGTTGGTCAGTGGTGCACACACAATACAGTCGTCTTGCCTGCTTCTCGTTGTGGATTTGGTGCATCTTCCTTGGCGAACCTGTGTGTCACCTTACAAAAGGAATGTCTGGACTTATTAGACTTAACGTTCCTGGGAAACGAACGATAGGAACGGGCAGCATTCTCAGCGATCCCTTAAAGGAACAATAGAAACCAGCGCTTCATTCAGTTCAATCAGATCAGATTAGACACCCAAACTTGGTTGATTGACAATCCCGAGCTTTGAGTCTGATTAAACTGATCTGTCT